CTTGAGCATCTTCTTGAGCTTCTCGCGGTTGCCCGTGATGAGGTAGAGGAACGAGAGACGCTCAAAGTTCTTCGTGCGCTGGTACGCCATCTCGACGACCGAGATGTTGCCCTGGCGCAGCGCCTCGACCCCGAGCTGGTGCCAGCAGTTGGCGTCGTCGAGCTCGTACGCCGAGTTGAGCGCGACTTCCAAGTTGCCGCACGAGATCGCGAGCTTGAAGCGCGTCTTCTCGTCGTTGACAAAGTGCAAGGCGACCTCGGGGTACCCCTTTTGCGTCAAATACGTAATGATGGCCTGGCCGCAGAGGCGCGAGTGCTTGACCATGCGCATGACGGTCGTAAACTGCTTGGCCGCGAGCGCGAGCTTGAACTCGCACTCGGTGAGGTCGATCGAGAGGATACGCATCTTGGCGTCGCGGTCGAGGCAGTAGAGCTTCGAGTCCTCGAGGCGCGTGAGGTACACGGGCACGTCGAGCGACCGAATGAGCCCCGAGTCGCCGTTCGGGAGCGCGTACTTGATGTGGTTTTGCGTCGTGTAGACAAACACGTCGTTGCCCCACACGCCGCTCTTGACCTTGACAAGCTCCGTGACCGTGCAGAGGTGCTTGAAGCTCTTGTCGGCAATGTACACCGAGTGCTTGCTCAAGAGCGCCACGTACTCGCCGTTGGGCGACCAGATCACGTACTTGACGCGCGGCGCGACGAGGTCCGCGAGCACGCGGCGGCTGTCCGTGTCGTAGAGCACCATCTTGTCGTCGATGCGGAGGAGGACGCGGCCGACGGTCCCGCCAGGAAAGAGGCCGTCGGTCGTCCCCGACGGCGGCGTAATCTTCTTGACAATCTCGTTTTGCATGTTCTTGATGACGAGGTGGCGCGACTTGTCGAGGACCGCAAACCGCTGGCGGGCCACGAAGACCGCAAACAAGGCCGTGCCCCGGGACGAGTCCGAGACGTCGTTGTTGGACGGCGTAAACGTCACGAGGTCGTACGACCCGCCCTCGGCGTCGCTGCAGAGAAGCACCGAGTTGGACGTCGCGCTCGGCGGGTCAAACGGGTTGTAGTGCATGTAGCGGGGCTGCTGGCCCATCTGCAAGCCCGAGCCCGACCGACGCAAGGTCGCGACCGGGTTGTCGCTGCCGTCCGCAAACTTGTACCGACGCACGTAGCGGTCCTTGACGTAGAGCACGCCGCCGTCGACAAAGTCCATGGCCGGACGCTCGCGCTCGAGCTTGAAGACAATCATGCCCGAGTCGTGGCCGGCGGCGAGAAGGTTCTGCGTCGGGTGCGCCTGGAGCATCCAGAACCGATCGTTCTCGCGACGGAACGTCTGCAGACCCATGCGCTTTGCGATGTCCCAGACGCGAATGCTGCGATCTTCCGAGTTGGAGATGATGAGCTCGTGGCGCGGGTGGAAGATGACACAGGACACGTTGTTGGTGTGCCCGCGCATCGTGTCGACTTCCCACGCCTTGGTGTCGTTCATACGCCAGAGCTTCACCTGACGGTCGTCCGAGCCCGACACGATGAGCGGCAGCGTCGGGTGGAAGCTCGCCCAGTTCACGCCGCGGTCATGGCCTTCAAGGACATACTTGACAACAGCGTCGCTCGCGCCAAAGAGATCGGCGCCCGAACGGCCGCCAACACCCGGCGGCAGCGAGTCTTCCATCGTCGACGGCGCGCCACGCACCGTCTTTTGCGCAGGCCCGTCGTGTCCCAGACGCGCACCTACATGATGGCCGCATGAGCTTTCTTTCGTGCGATCCCATGAGATACCGCTTGATCGAGCGACGCCGACACGATAAGGTCTTCCTTCGGATGGAACATGCAGCTCATGACGTAGTGGTTGTGGCCCGTCAAGACCGAGACGCACGAGCGCGACTGCCAGTTCCAGATGCGAATGGTTTGGTCGTCCGAGCACGACACGATCCACGGGTACTCGTGGTGGAACTGCACCGTGCGGATGTAGTCGAGGTGCCCCAGCAGCGTAAAGAGGCAGCGTCGCAGCTTGTAGTCCCAGACCTTGATCTTGTAGTCGTCGCCGCCCGAGACGAAGAGCGGCTGGCTCTTGTGGAAGTCCACCGAGCGCACGGGCCCATCATGCTCGTCGAAGCGGTCGATGAGCGTGCCCATGCGGAAGTCCCAGAGCTGGATAACACCATTATGGAGCGACGTGAGCACCCATGGGCGCGACGGGTGGAAGCACAGGCCCTTCACCCGGTTGCTCTTGGACTCGAACTTGGTCAACATCCCAAAATGACTGTCCCGGCCGCAGGCCCGCCCCTCGTATTACGTTCACACGTATATCCATTTTTAGAGGTTTTGTTTTTGGTGGCAATCGCCGATTGGCTAGATTGCCCCATCCAGGTGCGGCACTCTGATTGGCCCATTTGGAAAAAAGATCGCAAATTTCAACGTGTAGCAAACTGGAGAGCACGAGGAGCGAGGCAGGCGCCCGTGATGGTAGGCGTCGCACATACCGAAAGATTAGGGAGAGGGAGGTTGGACGATATTGAAAGCGTCTTCAGCGCCTCGGTAAATCGCAGGAAGGCGGGCGCGTGAACCTTCAAGGCGGTCTGCAGCGTCGCGCACCGTTAACACCATCGAAACCATCGATACCGTGGGTCAGTCCTGTGTCAGACATCAGTACGTGCGTGACAGTACCTACTACTGCGAGGGACAAGTGCGCTTCCTCTTGACGGATCGGTCTCACCGCAGTTGCTCCTTCAAATGTACAATGCTGCATACCACGCTCCTCGCGTAGTGGAGGCACGGGAAATATAACCTTGGCGATCGACGCAGATGCGTGTGCCATAACGCAGCCTCAAGGGTGAACGACCGCCTCTTGAAGATTCAAAGGCTCCGATACGACAACTAGAGTTTCTGTGGATTGATCAAAGGAAGTAACTTGTTTTATTCCTTTTAGATTGATTGACGCATCTTCGCAACACATCTGTTCACCACAATCCTATACTAGTATGCATTATTTGGAATTAGCTGATGCATTAGTGGGATAGTATTCGGCTTGCCTTCAAGTTCAAAACGAGATCAACGACGCAACCACCAGCTTCCGGCTTTTGGCGCCGACATGTTACTGCGAGCGCCTGTCATTGACGCGGTTTCATTGACCCTCCTCGATGGCGACAAGGCACCGATTCCACATTAAGCCCCCAACGTCACGCGTCGGTTGGCGAAGGTTTTCTTAACGTTCGCCAATCCTTCTTCTTCTTCTTCTTCTTCTTCGACGCAGGTAGGGCGTCATGATGGGACATGATGCGCCGCAGACCTTCCATAGTGGTCTCGTGCATGAAGTGGGAAGTTGGCTCGACCCGTCCCAGCTTAGCTCCCATACCCGACGAAGCTTTGTTAGTTGGTGTGCTAGTGTAGTCCATCCCAAGAATACGAGAACTTGAAGGCGTTGGTCAACTACTCTCGCCCATCACACGCCGGGTGGGGGGTCCCCGGCAAAAAATATTGTTCGGCAACGCCTCGTATATATGTGTTTTAACAGGTTTCTATATGCAGGCGAGGTATCAAAGGCGCACAGCGAAGCATATGCGGTGTGCATACATATCGAAAGCGAGAGGTTTGGACCACCAACCCGTTTTCGAAACCATTACGTGCAATCGCTTCTGGCCAATGGTCACGAAAAGTCAGTGACGGAAGAGGGGCCAGTTTTGCCTTTCTTCAGACGACGCGATGGCCGAGGAAGAAGCCGACTGCTGCCCCCTCTGCATGGAGGAGCTCGACCTGACAGACAAGACCTTCAACGCATGTGCATGCGGGTACCAGGTAGCGCGCCGGCGCCACGACGTCGGTCATCATGGTTCTGCAGGTGTGCCTGTGGTGCTGGCATCAATTAAAAACGAGTACAATGGCCTGTGCCCGGCGTGCCGAGCGCCGTACACGGAGCTCTCGAAGAAGAACACGACCATTGACCGAGAAGAGTACGTCTCTCCTCTGTGCGGATGCGGCGAAGGACTGACCATGCGATCTGGCAGTGTGGCGCGGCGAACCAAGCAGCGGAAACAGAAGGAAAAGATCGAGAAGAAGGCGACGGTCGTGCCCAAAGTGCAGCCCGTGAACCGGAGAAACCTCACCAACGTGCGCGTCATGCAGCGCAACCTCGTCTACGTCATTGGGCTACCCGTGCATTACGCCGACGACGACGTAGGAAGAATCGCCAACTGCGTCCATCGTGGCTCAAAATCCTTGGTAGATGCTGCGATCGCAAGAGTGTTTTGGCCAGTATGGACGCATCGTCAAGGCGGTCGTCAACAAGTCGCATCTGAGCACGGACCGCAACAACGCGACGGCGAGCGCCTACATAACGTTTGCCAACAAGGCCGACGCGCAGAACTGCATTGATCTCATTGACGGGTACATTCTGGACGGCAGCCTCCTCCGGTACGTTGCTACGACGCGGTATGGATATGAATCTCGACTGCAGGGCATCGTTTGGCACGACCAAGTACTGCAACTTTTTTCTGCGCAACCTCGTCTGCAACAACCCCGAGTGCTTGTACTTGCACGAACTTGGCGAGACGGACGACAGTTTTACGAAGGAAGAGATGGCAACGGGTACGTCGCACACGACTGACTCTGGTAGCTCATTGGCGCTAGACTTTGTCGCGGGCAAGGGATGCTTTCGAGACCTCACTGGCTACGACGATCGGCGGGGCACGGCGTTTCCAACGCTGTCCATGCTGCAGCCCGGCGGTGCACTCGACAAGGTGGCGCCCACGGACGCACAGCGCAAGGCCCAGAGCGCCGCTGCCATCTATAAGTTAAGATCACAGACGCCCGACGAACGCAAGTCTCCGACCCGGGCCCCATCGTCGTCCTCGTCCTCGATGTCGCCCAAGGACGAACAAGCTGCCACGAAGCACCGAGCGCCCCCCAGCACATCGGACGCGCCGCCCAGCGCGTCCCCGCTCTCTGCTTCGTCGGCGTCGTCGTCGTCGAGCACGTCACCGGCCAAGGACGCCTCGAAGCCGTCTCTGTATGTCAACACACATCCGCAGCAGAGCTCGCCGCCGAAGAGCATGCAGCCTGACGCGACGCCGCTGTGGAGCCAGCCGTTCCCGCGCATGCAGCCGCCGCCGGAGCTCCCGTCGCGGCCGATCCAGCACGTCTTTAGCCCCTTTGGCATGGGCTTTGATGGCGGTATTCACCGCAACACGGTGCAGCCGCCGCCCGAGCCCGCACCGGCGCCGACCTCAAATAACGTGTCGGCTTGGACGTTTGACGCGCCGCGCCCGGACGCCCCGTTTGAGTTTTCGGCTGTCGACGCGGCCTTCACGCCGCGCAACGAGTCGTCGGAAGCGCTCGCGGGGCTCTTGGGCGTCAAGCTGAGCGCCAAGCCGCTCGTGCCGCAGGGCATTGGGTCGGGCCCGAACGGCCGCGCGTCGCGCTTTTCATTTGCCAACAAGGACGGCCCTGGAGAGTACAGCCCGTTTGGTTTCGACGCGCCGCCGCCGCCGCCAACTGCGTTTGGGTTTGCGCACCACCAGCCGCCGCCGCCGGCCGCCGAGTATCTGCACATGGCGCCAGCTGCTGACGCGTCGGGGCTCGCGTTCCTGCAGCAGATGCTGCCGAACGTCAACATTAGCTACGGCTCGGACCCGCACCGGTTTGCCGAGCCCAGCATGGGCGGTGGCACGGCGTGGAACCAAGATTTGCGGCCGCAAGAGTCGACGCCGTTTTGGTCGTCCCAGGGCGCGTTCGAGTCGGCGAGTGGGTTTGCCGCCGGCTTTCAGGACCCGGCGATTGTCAACCAAGGCGCTGGCCCCGGCTTTTACCACCACCGCGACGAGCAGAGCAAGATGCAGTTTGCCTACCGGGGGTAGACGAACAATACACATGTACACACAACACAATCACATCACATCACATCCACTGCGGCGGCGACGGCGTGGTACGTAGCGGGACATTTCTTAACCGAATTATCGAAATGCAATCCTGTGAAAACTGCCTCCACCTCGCTACAAGGTCCAGCGAAATCGGTCAATCGTTGCATCTCAATGCCGAGCATTTCAGAGCTTATTAGCCGACGACGAGTTGGGCTGACCATCTACTACGCAGTACTAGTATGATAAAAATCTCGGAGCTGAGCAACTCAGATCTAGGAGTCTCAGAGCTGAGCAACTCAGATCTAGGAGTCTCAGAGCGGAGCCTCGCAGTGGTTGCGATCATCTACAACCCGTCGACTGGAACTCTTCTCAACGCAAAGCCACGCAGATAGAGTTTACATGCATGGGATTGAGATAAATACGAAGGCGCCGCGGAAGATGCATGTCTGCGAGGCGCCTTGGACAACGATGGACATCTGCGCTCACAGGATAGCCGCGGCGCGGAGACACACGAGGAGCACGAGCGCGGCGGACGCGACTGCGAGGCGTAGCGCCATGTGCTTGAGTAGCTCGATGGACACGACAGCGAACGTCTCGAGCACGAACGCATACGACTTGGCCAAGGCCGTCTCGCCCGTGGTAGGCGACCGCTGGAGGAGATCGGGCGACGGAGCTCGTGCGTAGTAGCGCTGGAGCGGGCTCGTCGACGCCCGCGGTCCGTGCGCGCTGTCTTCGTAAATGGTCGGAAGGCGATGCAGAGTGTAGCCCATGGGTGCTAAAGTGAAAATGAAAGTGAATGTCCATGAACCAGCTCACTGGATTCTTTCTTTCGAATACCGCGCGCGGTCGTTGTTGACGCACGCAGCAAGACCGCATCATCCGTGTCGAAACCCGCGAAGTTGCGCCTCGCGAGGACTCTGCGTCGCAAGGCAGCCAACCTGCGGCGACGGCTCGTGACCGCGGCTGGACCTGTGCGGAGACACGTGGATGGACGCAAAGACAATCATTCGTGTCCACGCATCACGGTCGTACTGTCATGACGCAGCTGCAAGTCCATATATCTATCCTGTCCACGGCGACATCACCGAGGCGACTGTCCCACGTCCATGTTGCTTCCGGACGGCGCGGCGATCCGAATTCCATCCTGGCACGGCCATGTAACGCATGCCGGATACCCGAGAGATCGACACGAGCCGGAGGCACGATGGCGTCGGGCGACGACGATCCGTTCTCGGCGGCCTACAACTGGCGCGTGCCCGACGACGACGATGACGCGGCCGTCGACGCAGCCCTCGTATGTGACGAGTGCGCCAAGCGCGCCGCGCGGTATCACTGCGAGGACTGCCACCAAACGCTGTGCTTCAACTGCGCCGATGCCATCCACTTGGTAGGTTGATGTACACGCTGAGAACCGAGTGGTGACGACGACGCGTAGATCCCAGCCTTGTCGACGCATGCGATTCGGCACGTGCGCGTCGGCGATGTCGGGTACGTCGCGCCGGCCCGCGACGATTTGCCCAAGATCGCCCGGCGCGCGCCGCCTCCAGCGATTGCCAAGCTCGAGCCGCACGGCTTCACGTTTGGCCAGCACGTCGTCTTTCGCGATCGTGACCTCGGGCACGGCCTCCTCTTTGGGCTCGCGCTCACGCAGACCAGCGACCAGCCGCGCATGGGTCCTTGCAACGGGCAGTTCGTGCGCGTGCTCTGGCTCCGCGGCGTCGTGCCGCTGCCCAATAGAAGCTACCTCGCGTCGCTGACGTTCCCGGGCCAGGCGTCCTGGCCGGTGCCGATGACGGCGCATGTGAGTCTCTACCACGCGTACCGAATGGCGGTCCTCGCCGAGAAGACGGCACGGAAGCTGTGGCGCCGGGAAAAGTACGCCGGTCGGCTTCGGCGTCTGCGCGACCAAAAGGCATTTCCGTCCGACGCGGTGCTCGATGAGATCCTCCAGCTTGTCGACGCCGACGCGGGCGGTGTGACGCTGCAGCACATGGCCCACGACCGGTTCCTCGCCGCGCTCATGAGCGGTACTTACCTCGACGGGGACGAGACCGAGACCGAGACGGACGCGCCGTACCCGCCGACCACTCGTGCACGCCTCGTGCTCTGCGCGGCGGCCAGCCTCGAGCGCCCCGCCGACGTGGCAAGACGGTACTTGGACAACGTCATCCGGCACATGGTGGATCTCTACGTCGGCTACGCGTGGACGTCGTGGCGCTCGTTTGTCGCCGCCGTACGGTGTGCACAGCAGCGTGCGAAGGCATAACGATGCATAGGGCCGGGAGCGAGACCGGCAAGCGCTTCGCAATGCCACGGCGATCGTGCTTCAGCGCTGGGTGCGACGGGTCTGGCGGCGCCGCCACGAAGAGCGCCTCAAGCAATCGCGCTCGAGGTCCGTTGGCGATATATCTTCGTGCAGCGTCGGAAGAAGCAATCGCCAATGATGTAGTGGGCTGAGTGCGCTGGAGGCGCTGCAGCGGTTCCAGAACCGACAGGCGGCGGTCGTCCGGATGGGCGACATTTGGGCCAAGACGCAGCGGCGGCTGCGGCGCTACGGCGTCGTCACGTGGAAGCGAATCAGTGACGAGATCCAGGTGCCATTTTCCCTCGGCCTTGCTCTTCTATGACAGTGACACGCGCCAGGCAAGGACTCCGATGCCGCAAATCGAGGCAGCGTGGCACCCTGGGCTCGGCATTCGGCTTGTCAAATTACCCAAGGCGTATGCGGCCATGAAGAGCGACGGGAGCTTGGGTATCGAAGACATTGCCAAGTACAAGCAGTTCCGGCTCAACCACGCAGGCCCGACAGCCGTGTCGTTCTGGATCGTCCGCGGTATAAAGACAATCTGTCCGACTTGACATGGACTACGTGTAGACCGCATTTTGATTGGCGAGTACCCCCACGGCGTCGCGTTCCCGGACAAGAAGCGCAAGACGACCGAGCGCGCGGCGTCGCGCGATGACGCGCTTGCGTGCATTCTCCTCGAGCAGATTGGCACGTTTGTGAGCTTGATGGCGTTCGACGAACTTCGGGCATTCGAAGCGGCGCTGGACCCGCCAGCGACACCAGCGACAACACCCGATGGGCCCTTTGGCTACGAGACGCAGCTCTTGGAGCGGCACGCCAAGCTCACGGCCGAGCTCGACCGCGCGGTGGCCGCTGCCCAAAAGTACGTGACGAGTGCCGCCAAGAGCGTGCAACAGGTAGCCACCTATGTAGCCAGATGTCTATGCAATAAGATTGCTCGGTACTGTGAGCAGGCCGAGAGAGACCCGAGTACGGACGACTTTGTGCGAGATTTGCTCTTCAAGAAAAAGTCGGCCGCCGACGCCAACTTGAACACGGCGCTGGCCAACAAAGCGCGGCTGCAGCCCATACGCATTCTGCGGTGTCCACTGCCGCCGCGCTCGGCAACACCCGAGGCCGACGTGCTTCATGTCCTTAACCAACTCGAAACGTGTCTTCGAGGTCGGACGCATGATGACGTGGCACTCTCACCAACGAGATATCATTGTTCGTAGACGGGGAAAACCTCTACATTTTTAGCCGCCAAGGACGGGGCCGCGCCGGCATGGTCGCCGCGCTCCTCCTCGGCCGCCTCTATGGTCTCTCGGCGCAGCAAGCCCTCGAGCGCACGCAGCGTTGCCACGACGCGCAGAAGGCGGTCGCGGGGCTGGCGTCGACGCGGCTCGTCTCGGCGCCCGAGTCGCTCGACCAAATCCGGCTCGTGCACCAAGTGCTTGCATCCACCGCGACCATCTACGAGCCCGTGGCGACGTATGATGGCGACGCGTACCTCGTGCTTCGGCGGCAGCGCCCCGGCCTCGCCATTCAGTCGTTCGTCGCAGCGCAAGGCTTTATGGTCGACGAGTTTCCGTCACCGGCGCAGCGTGCGGCCGACCACGCGGCGCTCCAAGCCGCAAATCGCATTGCGCTCAAGGAGAAGCGCGCGCTGCAGCTGCGCGTGCGGCGGGCCATGGAAGGCGTCGAGCGTCAAGCCATGGGCGTCCAAGAGGACTACAGCCGCCATGAGCTGCCCATCTGGAGCGCGCGACTCGAAATGAAAGCGGAGGAAGCCGACTCGCGCCGCCGGTGGCGCATCCTACTGCAGCACGCCGAACACGTAGGTATGCTCGCTGAAGACGTACGCATCGAGTGGCCCCAAGACCGTCCGCCGCCACCACCCATTCCGGTCGACCCGAGCACGGACGTGGCGACATCGCCTCGTCGCATGTCATGACGTGGCACGCGGATACAACAGAAGGCTGCTAACATACAAAGACGGAGTGTTGATCGATTTTACTGAAAGTCGAGGGCCGAGTCGATAATGTCGACGTGCGACTGGTCCGGGAACTTGGTGAGCGAGAGACCGCAGAGGCGCTGGACGACGCGCATGACCTGGCACGAGTAGCCAAACTCGTTGTCGTACCAGACGTAGAGCACAATCTTCTTGTTGCGCACGATCGTGGCCTGGCCGTCGACGATACCGGCGGCGCGGTAGCCGACAAAGTCCGAGGACGCCGCTTCGTTCGAGTTGATAAACTCAATTTGGTGCTGGAGCGGCGAGTTGAGGCTGAGCTTGGCGCAGTACGCGTTGACCGCCTCGGCCGTGAGGCCCTCCTGCTTGACGTGCAGCGACATGATCGCGAGACTCACGTCCGGCGTCGGGACACGGATCGAGTTGGCCGTGAGCTTGCCCTTGAGGTGCGGGAGGCACTTTTCGACGGCGGCGCCGGCGCCCGTCTCGGTGATGACCATGTTCATGACCGCCGACCGGCCGCGGCGCTCCTTCGGGTGGTAGTTGTCGATCAAGTTTTGGTCGTTTGTGAACGAGTGGACCGTCTCAATGTGGCCTTCGTCAATGCCGTACTTGGCGTCGAGCGCAAAGAGGAGCGGCGCAATCGCGTTCGTCGTACACGACGCGCACGAGTAAATCTTGTTCTCGGGCGTGATCTCGCTCTCGTTGACACCGGCGACGATCGTCTTGACGTTGCCTTTCGGCGGCGCCGTGAGCACGACCTTGGCCACGCCCGGCGACTGCAAGTGGCGCGAAAGGCCCGCCTCGTCGCGCCAAATGCCCGTGTTGTCGATCACGACGGCGTCCGAGATGCCGTACTTGGTGTAGTCGCACTTGTCGGGGCCGTCCGAGTAGATGACCTGGATCACGTTGCCGTTGGCAATGAACGCGTTGGCTTCTTCGTTGAACGAGATGGTGCCGTGGAAGGCACCGTGGACCGAGTCGCGGCGGAGGAGCGACGCGCGCTTCTGGAGGTCCTCCGTGGAGCCCTTGCGCACGACGATGCCGCGAAGCATCATCTTGGCGCCCGACCCGCTCTTCTCAATCAAAAGACGGGCGAGCAGGCGACCGATCCGACCAAAACCGTAGAGCACAATGTCCGTGGGCTTCTCGAGCGTCAGCGGCTTCCTGGGCGACACCTGGCGCAGAATGAGCGACCGGAGCACGCGCGTAATGTCTTCGCGCGTCGGCTTCTTGGACTTGGTCTCGCCGCACACGAGGAGGTACGTGCGGCCGAGGTCGAGGCGCATCGCGCTGAGCTTGTTGATTTCCTCGACGACCTGGAGCACCGGGAGCGTATCGGCGGGGTGCATCTCCTTGCCAATGTGCTTGCACACGAACGAGTGCGTCTTGATGATGTCGATCGAGTTTTGGTGCACGAGGCCCTTGCCAAAGAGCGTGACGACCACGTTGTTGCGGCGGTAGAGGTTGCCGATGATCGGGATCATGAGGTCACTCGCCTCCTCCTGGACGTTCCACGTCGAGATCTCGTTCAAGCACAGCGTGCTGAGTGCGTCGGCCGAGAGCGAAGCCATGAGTTCTTAGGCGAAGGCAAATTGCAAAGTGGATAACTGCAACCGAAAGCTGCCACTCGATATCTTGTGGGGCCCCCACCGTGCCCCGATACGATTTATGGGGACCCACCATAACACTCGACACCGGGCATCACCTTCATCGTGATTGGCTGAATCGGTCCTAAACACGGGTGAAGCTCGGGTGTGACGCGCCTAGTGTCATTTTACGGGCCCCGGGGGCCCAAAAATGGCTGGACGTTGCCATGGACTGCAAGCGGCTGTTGACGAAACCCAGGGCATCCCCGGACCAATCTCCCCCGTGCCCGGTAGACTCGTTCTGCCACGTACAACGTGCTACGTGTCCACAATGCTATCATTTGGTCCATTTGCTCAAGAAATGACGACCTTGGTGCGCGCGTGCTGGCAGAAAAGGCAGCCAATAGGTCGTCTTCGTCGTCGTCGTGCAAACCTGTAGTAGTGCTATCATTTGGTCCATTTGCTCAAGAAATGACGACCTTCGTGCGCGCGTGCTGGCAGAAAAGGCAGCCAATAGGTCGTCGTCGTCGTCGTGCAAACCTGTAGTAGTAGGTACGCCGTCGAGGATGAAGTGTTGATCTGATCCAGGTCGGATTGGGTGCGCGCTCGCTTCTTCTCGTGGCGAGATCGTCGATTCGAGAACGAGATGCTAGCACGTCCGGTCTGAGGTTGGCCGGGAGATGCTATCTTCCCTGGCTCATTGCTACGAGCTGCCAAGCATGGCAAAGGCCCGTGACTCGCAAACGTGCATGCAGCTAACAAGGCGAGTCCTTGCCATGTGACATAGCCCCTGTGCTCGCGCTTGCTTGGTGCCTACGAGCGTCACCTTGCCGTCATATCGTCGGCAGCAATGTGCACTATGGCTTCTGAGGGTATCTACTCCCTCTGAGAATGAATAAACCACTGGGGTGCCATTGTACTTGGCGTTTGTATGGATTCGATCGAAGAATATAAAGCCCGCGGTTGTGTGGCCTCAAAGTTGGAGTGCAATTGGACGGCAGGCGAGCAGGATGGCCCACGGACACCACGACGAAGAAGGTACATGGCGGTCGCTGCGGCCGGAAGCTCATGGCCCATGTAGCGTCTACCATCGCGACGCGCCAGGCGATGCACGACCACCGCGTGCCGCTGGCCTACCGCGACCAGTGCGCGGGCATCCTCATCCCGCTCAACGAGTGCCGGCGCGACACGGGCTTCAAGCCGTGGCAGTGCCAGGACTTGCGGCACGCGTACGAAAAGTGCCAATACGACGAGTACGCCATGCGATCGACCGCCTTGGCCTCGCTGACGTGGGTGTAGGTGGAAGAAGCGCTGCAAGATTCTCAAGGAAGAGAAGAAGGCTGGCAACTAAGCTCGTTGCGTCTTGCGGGCAGGCGCCTCGGTGCGCGGTATGTGGTTGCGTCACGACGTCCGAGTAGCTGCCTGCGCAATATACAAGATCGATCTTCCTTGGTACTACTTTACACTCGCGGTCTTGGTCTGGTAGCGGCGGGCGCGATGGATCCTCATGCAGTCACTATTCATTGGTCATCCTTCGCCGTCTGCCCTCTCGTTGGTCACAAGAGGCGGTGCGATGAGCCCTGCATCGTGCCCACACCAGAATGGAAGCATCTGCAATTCGACGTAGCACTGCAGGAGCTACTACCTGTGTTGCCGTTGCCGTCAAGCGCATTGGCATTAAAGTGTCATGCATTCTGTTAATAATTAAAGTACTGCCTGCGCTCGGCGAAGTCGCAATGAGATCTTAGACCATGTTCTCTTGGACGCTAACGCGTTCGTAGCTCGGCGAGCGTCGGCGCGGCTTCTCGAGCACAACCTTGTGCGTCGTCGACGTCATGCCCATGGGCTTGAGGTCCTTCTCGTGCGTCGCCCAGGTCGGCGGTCGGTACAGCTTGAGGTGGAGCGATGAGACAATGACCGAGATGGACGAGAGCGCCATCATGATACCGGCGCAGGCCGGCGGCAGCGGGTTGTGGAAGAAGCGCAGAAAGACGCCGGCCGCCAGCGGGATCGACACGAGGTTGTAAATGACCGAGGCAAAGAGGTTAAACTTGATGCGCCAAAACGTTTTGCGCGAGAGGTCGAGTGCCGTGACCACGTCGGCGAGGTGCGATTTGATGAGCACCATGTCGGCCTGCGCGAGCGCAATCTCCGTGCCCGCGCCAATCGCGAGGCCCACGTCGGCCTGTGCCAGCGCCGGCGCGTCATTGATCCCGTCGCCCACCATCGCCACCACGCGCTTCTTGTTCGTGAGCGGGTTGGTCGTCGCCTGCAGCCGCTTGATCTGCTCGACCTTTTGGCCGGGCAGCGCAATCGCCTTGACGTGGTTGATGCCCAGCGCACTCGCAACGGCCGTCGCGGTCCGGAGGTTGTCGCCCGTGACGAGCCAAATGTCGAGGCCCATGCGCTTGAGGCACTCGATCGTCGCGGCGGCTTCGGGGCGCGCGACGTCGGCCATCGCAATCGTTCCCGCAAACACATTGTCGAGCGCGACGCAGACGACCGTCTTGCCTTCGTTTTCGAGCCGGTGCATGTCGGCTTCGAGGAGCGCCGGCAGCGGAATCTCGCGCTCTTCCATCCACTCGGGGTTGCCAATCGCGACTTGAATCGCTTGTTGCGGCGCGTGCAGCGACGGCACGAGCGCTTGGAGGCCGCGGCCCGGCACCACGTGAAACGCCGACGGCTCCTCGAGCGACATCTTGTGCGCCTCGGTCGCCTCGACGACAATGGCCTTGCCGAGCACGTGCTCCGACTGCATCTCGACGCACGCCGCATAGTACAAGACATCGGTGGCCGAGATGGCGCCGTCCTTGGGCACCGTGATATCCGTCACGACCGGCCGGCCCTCCGTGAGCGTCCCCGTCTTGTCAAAGACGATGGTATCCACCGCGTGGGCCGTCTCGAGCGCGCGGCCGCCCTTGATGAGCACGCCGTACTTGGAGCCGACGCCCGTGCCGACCGAGACCGCCGTGGGCGTCGCGAGGCCGAGCGCACACGGGCACGAGATGACGACCGTCGAGATGCAAAAGAGAATCGCCACAAAGAGGTCGTCGCTGTGGTCGCCATCAGTCAAGTGCAGCGCGTCACGGTCGATCGCTGCGACCCAGTCCATCGAGAGGCTCGTGTACCAGCCGAGAAACGTAATCGTGGCAATGCAGAGGACGGTCGGAGCAAACCGCGCGGCAAACTTGTCGGCCACCGCTTGGATCGGCGCCTTGTCCAACTGCGCATTCTCAATGAGCGCGCAAATCTGCGACAGCGTGTTTTGGCCGCCGACGCAGTTGGACTCGATCACCAAGACGCCTGCTTGGTTGATGGTCGAGCCAAAGACAGCGTCGCCAGCCGCCTTCGCCACCGGCATCGACTCGCCCGTGAGCATCGACTCGTCGCAAAGCCGTGGCCGTCGCGCACGACACCGTCCGTGGGCACGCGGGCGCCGGGCAGCAGTCGGAGGCGGTCGCCGCGCTGGACGAGCTCAATCGGTATCGACACGTCGCCGTCACGCGTGATGAGCACCGCCGTCTTGGCCTGGAGGCTCAGCAAGGTGCTCAGAGACGTCGCCGTGTCCTTCTTGGCGCGCGACTCGAGGTACTTGCCAATCGTGATAAACGAGATGAGCATCGTCGACGACTCGAAAAAGTAGTGGCCGCGGTAGTGCGGCAGCAGCGTGCAGCCGACCATCGAGATGAAGCTGTAGAGGTACGAGGCGGTCGTGCCGACGACGATGAGAAAGTCCATGCCCATCATGCCATGCTGCAGGCCCTTATACGCGGCCTTGTAAAAGCGCGCGCCAATGCCAAACTGGACCGGCGTCGCGAGCAAAAACATAATCAGACACATGCGCGTGAGGCCATTGACGACTGGTTGCATGAGCCACATGCGGCACGACGGGATGTTGCCGAGCACCATGTGCACGACCATCGCCGGGCCCGAAAAGACGAGGCAGATCAAGAGCAGCCGCAGCCATTTTTGGTCTTCCGAGACACCACTCGGACCCGACGCTTGCGTCATGATCGTCGCGGCAAAGCCAGATTTGGTGATCGCCTCGAGCACGTCTCGGGGGCCCGTCGCCGCCATCTGCTGCAAATGCACGGTCGCAATCTGCTGCTCGACGTCGACGGTGACACTCACGACACCGACGAGCGCCTTGACCGAGGACTCGATCTTGATCGCATCGGTCGCGCCCGTGACGCCAGCGACTGCGTACTTGAACGACATTGAGTCGTCGTCGGCGTCGAGCGTGTTGATGTACGTCGGTGTGTACCCCGCGTTGCGGATATAGTTGCCAATCGTAACACGCTCGTCGGCAATGATGCTCCGGTCAAAGACGACCTCGGCCTTGGCGGAGATGAGCCCGACGCGAATGTCAATGATCCCGGCTTCATGACGCAGCGCGCCTTCGATGCCCTTGACACACGCCGCGCAGCTCATGCCTTCAATCGAAAAGATCGCGTGCGGATGGGACGCGTCGCCTTCAATGGCGACAGCAACGTCGTCGCCAGTGTGCGAAGCATCGGTCTTGGCCATCGCCGCAAGGCGTCGCCGGCAGCGCTCGCCGTGGTTGAACATGTACGCGTCAAAGCCGACGCACTCGACCTCGTCAATGAGGTCTTGCACCGTCACGTGTTCAATGTGATCGGGATAGAGCGTGATCGTGGCCATGGCCTTGGGGTAGTCGACGACCGCCGACTCGACGCCGATGGTCGCAGACAGAGCATTCTGGACCGTCGTGCCGCAGTTCTTCATGCACATCATGCCATCGATGCCAAGGCGAATGACGTTGCGTGGCAGCGGCGTCTCGTCGCGGATCGCGGCTTCAAAGCCAACCATGTCCAGCATCTCGACAAGGTCGTCGGGCGACGCATTCGGTGCCATGGTGACCACCGCAATGTGCTCGTCGTAGTTGACGACCGCGGCCTCGACGCCATCGACGCTCCGGAGCGCGTTCTGGACCGTCGTCCCGCAGTTCTTCATGCACATCATGCCATCGACCTCGAGCACGATCCGCATCGCGAGCAACTTGTCCGACTGGTCGGCCATCCCGCAGATGAAATTCCGAACTGGACGTCCCAGCTGGGATCGGCGATTTTATTTGTATTTTTAAATTTCTATGGTCGGGCATAAAACAGGCGGCGCAGTAATATTATTCGAACGCCTAAAATATCAGCACATACAAACGGCAAGAGACATCGTGTTCCCAAGAAGGCAAAGCGAGGTGTAACGGCCTCTTTTACGTGCGTTAAAGTACGTTTTATTCCTTCATTGCACGATGATGGACTTGAAAAACGACGCACGAAGCCGATGGAAAGAGATGGTTGCACTGCGCGTCCGTTGCGTAGTAGTACTATATGTGTAGCGTAGGTGGGATCAAGTTTGAAGCGACCGGCTCGATGGCGAGCAGTCTATATACGGACTCCCATTAGCACGAGAGCGAGGGCGGCATTGCAAAGTTGACAATTGTGGTAACGGCTTGACCTGCATGTTGGTGCGACGGAAGGAAGTGATGTCGAATGCGCGGACCGACAGTGCTGACGGAAGGCTTGAGACATGGAGAAAAGCTCCACGATCATCGTGGACGTCAAATAAGATCTGATAGAAAGTTGCGGCATCATGCAACCAGCCGCCTTATCCGTGGGACGATCTGCTGCTGGTACAATGAGCAGCGTGTCGTCGTTGCATGGCCACGAGGGTACCCTTGTATCTTGGTATCTTGACGCGCGCCATTCGAATGCGTTCGCAATCTGACCCGAAAAACCTGCGAACACTTTTTCACACCATCGCGTCAAAGGCGAAACGTTTAACCCAACGCGTCAAATGTACGGCTGCCTATCCAACGATCCTGCTTTCCATGCATCAAGCAGGCACGCGCTGGATGGTCTTCGCGCCGTGTGATTCGCTGGCTTTTTCATGCGACATGCCCCGGTCCGCGAGCTTGCTTGGGCGCCGATCGCATAAGCGCGAGGCCATCATCAGCGCCATCATCGACAGCTATCGGGATTGCCGCCCGTCATTATGTCGATTAGCAAGCTGCGTGTGTCTCAAGTTGCGGCTCAGTCGCTCAAGTCGGAGAGAATGGTCGTGTGGTGCGAGCCAAGCGACTCGCTGAGCTTGTTTTCTTCATCGCAAAACTGCGCGAGGAGCCGAAGTCGCGTCGACGCCCAGCGCGCGCGGTCCTGCCGCTCGAGCTCGAGTTGGTCTAGCACACGGCAGAATGAGCGACAACAGAACATGCCGTGGTTGACAACCTTGAAGCGCCGAGATGCGTTCAATGAGCCCTTTGCGGTCGTCCACAACGTCCTAGCGCCTTTGTCAACGATCATGCCATCGGCTTGTACAGCGAGGTACGCGCAAGTTGGCCTCCAAGCCCTCGATCGTGCTCTGCAGCACTTTTTCGCGCTTGCGCAGCTCCTTGTTGGCCTAAGCACACCGTTATGACGTGGCAGTCCGAGACGCCAGTGTTGACTACCTCGTCCAAGTGGAAGCGGTGGCGCTCCCGCACAACCATTTCGCGCTGGTTGCTCGTCGCCCTAGGACACGCGTTAGAATATGGAGACGCTGCTATTGCAGACAGTCGCTCGTTCTCAGCGATGGAGCTCTCCAGATCGGCGATGTGGCTGGCCTTCTCGTCGAGCTGCTTCTGCAACACCTAGTACCACAATACCGCGCCGCGTCAGAGTTGGTCGTTCGGTCGTCGATGTACTCTACCTCGTTGGTGTTGTGAAGCGCATCGAGTTCGTGCTTGGTCTCGATCTCGAGGACTTTAAGCTTTTGCTCGAGCGCGTGGTTCTTGGCTTCGAGGTCTGTTTGCGTCTTGATCTGCGCGTTCTTGCGCTTCATAAAGTCGTTCATGCGTTCCTGCATGCACATATTGTCATCGTGCTGCTCGACTAGAGACGTTGCGTACTTCCGACTCGCAAATGACGCGGTCGCACTCTTGGATCATCGCCGTCTGACGCGCCGTTGTCGCCACAAGGGATGCAACCTAGATGCACCGCGTACTACACTCCTGTTTCTCTTGTTGCCACCGTACTTTTTGATCCAGCTCGGTTTTTTCCGCTTCAAGTTTGGCGGTCGCGGCTTCGAGTCCGTCGATTTGCGCTAAGTACTTCTTTTCGAGCTCCATGTTGGCGTTCTCGAGGCGTTCGATCTTCTTCTCGAGCTTCATTTGCGCACTCTCCTACCTCGCTACATGAACGATGGCAACTGATCGATGCGAACGTACGTGCATGCAACGCATCTCGTCCATGTCTTCTTGTTGCTGCTGCACCTTGGCCTCGCGGTCCATGACGTCGTCCTCGAGCGCAATCACCTTGGCCTCGTACGTCTTGGTGGTCTCATCGACCATGCGCTGGAGGTTATCGGTCGCCTGGGACCAGCGCTTCTCTAGTGCGACGCGCTTCTCTTGGGCGTCGGCGAGCGCACTGCGCTTTTCTCGGTACGCACTCTCGAGCCGGTCGTACTTGGCCTCGAGCGACGTGAGCTTCCCCGTTTGTTTTTCCAAGTCGGCTTCGACCACCTTGAACCGGTCCATCTACCACGCACGCATCGCCGTGGATCACGAAGCTCAACCGTTGCCTAACCTCTTGCCGCAAGACGCGGTTCTCGCCGCGCTCCCGCATGAGCTCGATCTCGAGCCGCTCGTTCTCGTGGCGAATGTGCTCGACCTACATAGGACGCGTCGTCGACCCCGTCATTATCGGGTGCGTAAACCTGAAGCCGCTGCTTCTTGAGGCGCTCGACCGACTGCTGAATCTCGGTGAGTTCTTGCTGCGACTCGGTCATCAAGTATGGCGCATGCATGGGCGCGATCGTTTTGGTCGGACCCGGCTTGACCACAGACGAGACCGGAGGCGACACGACGCCGACCTCCTTGACGACCGAGAGCGCACTCCGCGGTGAGAACGACGTCTTGGACGGCGTCGTCTTGAGCGACGTCGTGCTTGCGTAGCGCGGCGCGACGGCCGACCCGAGCTCGCTGTAGGACATCGACATGGTGGCCCTTTGCCAACGCGCCAACCAAGATTAACTGCGAAACGCCCGCCGCCTGTCTGCAGTTTCGGGCACACCTACCCCTCGGGTACAGAGGTGCACCTTGCCAACCCATCTACCGTAGTGATCTTTTGAATTGGATTTGCTGATCGACTTGGTTGATTGACAAATGGACGAGACGATGGAGAGATGTATTTTCTAGTTGAAAGTAGGCGATGCAAGGTACCGAGACTCGGTTTGTGTGTTGTAGGATGCTGCAAAGTTACGAGATCGTGCAGCATTGGCCGCCGGCGCAGGCCGCAGGCGACGCGCTGTTATCGTCATCGTACGCGGTCTCGGCCCGTGACGTCTTGGTGTGGTCCACGACGAGGCTCTTTGGCGCCGTGGGGGCCGCTCGTGCGACTGGCTTCATCGCTGCCAAGTGCTGCGACACGGTCGGGGGCGCGACGATAACTGGACCGTCAGCCATCTTCGCGGGCTTTTCATTGTTCTGGATGACGCTCGACTGGTTGTCCATCTTGACGACTTCTTCGTCCCGAACGTCGCTGCTCTCTTGCTTGAGCACGCTGGGATTAGTTGGCGTCAGGACGATTTCAGGCGCCATGTAGGCCTCTTGCGGCTGCGCAATCTCAACCGCAAGCTTGGCTTCGGCGGCGGCTTCAACGTCGGCCTTTTCGATTGTGCTCGCCCGCGACACATTGGGGATGCTATCTCGGGCCACGGGAGACGTCGGTGACTACGCATCCGCATGAGCTTCGGTCGTTTCTGCATGGAAAGGCGTACGAGGGGCGGAATGCTGTTGTCGGCTTGACGGACGCTAAACGTGACGGCCGTGCCTTTCTTGGCACTTGAGAGGTACCCCCCTGGTGTCCCCTTGAGTCGCTTGTAGTAAGTCATGGGGTTGTTAAAGTGCTTCCGGGTACGGTTCGAGTCGTGGACCGTAATGACGAGGTCAGCGTCATCGAACTTGACCACCTATGGATGGGATGAGTACGATGCAGTACGAAATACTAGTACACGATGTCGTACCCCGCTGCCGTTGGGCTTGGAAAAGTAACACGTCATTTCGCCCTTCGCGCCCGTCTTCTGGAGCCCGATAAAGTCGCCGGCGCCGGGCGGGTCGTTGTTGAGCGACTGCACGCCACCCTTGGCGTCCACCACGTGCAGGTAGAACTGCTGGTTGTACTTGAGTTCCGATGCAGTGGCAGTGCCCGCCAGTGGTGCGCTAATTCGTGAGGCATGATTAGACATGATATCGTGCAGACACACGAAGTGTACATGATGAAAACGGCTTGGTGGGCCTCGCCTTGGGTTGGTGGGACGGCCAGCACGCGCTGCGCAGACTTTCCCTTGCCTTCTTGGACGAAAGCCAAGAGACCGCCGTCTCCGGGAGCGCCGGTGCACGTCGCATGAAGGCTGATTCGGTCACCGATCTTAATGGCGGAGGTTGTACTTGCCGCATCGGTGACGATGGGCGTTACGTCGACCTTAACTGCCGAAGGCGCCACGTCGACGGACGGAGAAGCCTTCGATGCATCGTTGGTCACGGGTTCCTTCGTCGCCTCTTGGCTCCCAGAAGCGTCCTTTGCGGTCGCATCCTTCACGGGAGCTTCTACGGCCGGCACGGCGACGACCGAGCTCGCGACGATTGCCGACGGCTTGTTGTCCTCGGCCACGGAGCGGATCTCGATCCCAGACTTGCTGCCAAGGTCGCGCTTCGTGATGGATGGGATACGTGTCATGTTCTTGTTCGAGCCGCTGAGGTCAGTTGTCGAGCCCGGCTTGGTGAGCGTCTCGACCTTCGCCTCCATCATGATCGACCCACGCTTCATGGAGGCGTCTACCTTAACATCGTTGGCAGCCATCTTCAACGAGCTATCGCGCTTGAGGTCGGTCATGGAGCTCATGGAGCCGGCCTTCGTCGGTGCTGCGCTGCTCACTACTTGGCTCATCTTTTGCAATGTCTCGGTGGCTTCCTGAACAAGAATGAAACCTGCCGCAGGCGTTGGCTATATTTAGATCGTTTTCCGGATACCACCATATCCGGATGCTATGTTTAGCTGCTGCAGTGGAGCGCCATAGTGGCCCGTAGCTTTTGCATGCATGGCTGCCGCACACCAAGTCGATGCGCAGGAGCTAACTGCAGCACGTCGGCAAGGCTTGGCTCCTGGCTTGTATGCTCTCCAGGTCGTAAGGTCCAGCACGCATCCTGTCGTGTAGCATACAAGCGCACCTGATTTCGAATCTCTTGAAATAGAATTCGGAAAGAGGTGCGCTTTGTAGGTGCGCTTTTCCAGCACCGTATCCGGACGGGCGGCTCGTGGGGTCCGCACCCGAGACCACAGCGCGATGTGGTTTGTCACGGACGGCGGCTTCGTCGTGACGCTGCTGGGCGTCGCGCTCATGCTGGCCGGCGTTGGCCTCTGCCTGAGCAACATGCATGAGTGGCTAGGCGCCTCCATGGCCAGCGGTATTCTCGCCAGCGGCCTGCTTGTGCTGAGCGTCCTTACGGCCTCGGCGCATTGGTACACGATGACGACCAACCCGGGCACCGTGCCCAAGTACGTGCACGTGCTCTCGACGCCCGCAAGCGACGACACCGACGCTGAGCATGTGCCATTGCACGATGAGGACACGACGCTTCACTGCGACATTTGCGACGCGGCGCGCCCGAGATGGTATACGGCTTAGCAGGATGTAGGCTGTCATGGCATTGGGCTTGTGTAGCGTCACGCACTGCGACTCGTGCCAAGGCTGCATCACCATGATGGACCATCACTGGTACAGTATCGCTTTGCGTCATCTCGACAAATTGAGCGATTGCACACTAGCCCATGGGTCAACAACTGCGTTGGGATCGGCAACCTCAAGAACTTTGTGCTGCTGCTTATCTACCTCTTCTTGACGTGCGCCTACATGGGCAGCATGACAGTGGCCCAAATTGCTTCGTGCCCGGAGACGTGCGGCCTCGACGACGGCAAGCAGCCCGGCAAGGCCGGTGTCGCCGTCATGGCCGTCGCGTTCATTTTTGGCGCGCTCGCCGCCATCATGTTGATCCTCGAGGTCTTCAGCATCCACTACGACGAGCGCATCAAGTGGATCGTCCAGAAGACGCAGGACCGGCGCGTGAAGAGAGCCACGTTGACCCAGAAACTCGGTGTGCTTTTTGGCAGCCAGACCTTTCGATGGCACTGGCTTCTCCCAGGCCGCGACGTGCACCGGCACCGATCGTCAACCGACATGGACATTATTCTTGGCTACCGCCCGCTCTTCCACGAAAGCTAACATTGTATTTTGTTGACCGTCGAGAGACATCAATCTGAAGTGCAAAAGCCAGCCCTCGCTGTAGATAACCTGCATTTCAAGAGGTGTTAAATATGAACTCTGTTGTAATTGACCATGCGCGATCAAACCTCCCAGATTTACTACGTCGCACCAGATTTGAGCTCCAGATTTGAACATGTGGCCCAGATCTGACTGGCAACATGTAATGATCCTGATTTACCGTGTAAACGAAGACTCAAATTCGGCTTTGTCCGAAATGAAGTGAAATTCGGCAATTTACTCTTTTGCGTGGCAGCAAGACGCGATGGCGTTCTCAATGAAGCTCAAGCCCGGGAAGAAGCCCGTCAAGCCGGTCGTGAACCCGATGGCACAAGGCCCCAAGCTCTTCTCCATGGATGAGCGCCCGCCAGAGCTATCGCGGAGGGCCAACCTACCGCCTCCACCAGCGCCGATGCTGGCCGTCGTCAACCAGAGCAAGTCGGACCGCGCCGTCCAAGAAGCACTCGCGAGCGACCCGAACGCGTTCGATTATGATGGCGTCTACGAATCGATGCAAGCCGAGCGCGTCAAGCAAAAGGCGGCCAAGAAGGTCCAAGGCGTCCCGCAGTCCAAGTACATCAACGTGCTCATGGAGAAGGCCAAGGTGCGCGAGATCGAGCACGACCGCATTCGCGAGCGCCGCCTTTTGAAAGAGCGCGAAGAAGACGACAAGATCCACGGCGACAAGGAAAAGTTCATCACGTCGTCGTACAAGCGCAAGCTCATGGAAGCCAAGCGCTGGGAAGAGGAGGACGCTCGGCTTGCGGCCATCGAAGACGCGCAAGATGTCACCAAGCGGGGCGAGCTCGGCATGGCCGGCTTCTACGCCAACTTGCTCACCAACAACATTGCGATGGGCGGCGATGTCGAGAAGGCGACCAGTGCCTACACGACGGGGCACATTTCCGAAGCGCCAAAGCGACAAAAGATCGACGCGCCACAAGAGTCGACGACGCCAGTCAGCGACGCCAAGCCAGCCGCCAAACCGACAGTCGAAGATGCGCCTGTTGACATGCCCGCGAACGATACGATCCAGGAAGAAGTGCCGGCCGCGCCGGTGAAGAAGAGCCGGGAAGACTTGATTCGCGAAGCCAGAGAGCGCTACTTGGCCCGCAAGCAGCAAGACCAACCACATTAATAGAGTCTTTCGACTGTGTGGGTTACAAGTAGCCTGCTACGATGACGCAGGTAGCCTCGGTGTCGCAAACTCGTCCAACCGTCGAACGTCGTTGATGTCGCGGAGCTTGTTTTGCTCGGCGCGCTTCCGAGACCGCTCTTGGACGAGCTCGTTGAGGTACATGCGCTCGGGCAGCTTTGTCTTGGTGGCTTGGTTCATGAGGCGCAGGGTCAGCTGCGCCTTCTCGCGCTGCACTTGCGGCGCTCGGGGCGTTCGCGGCTGGCAGAGATTGGGCATATAATGCCCAGGCGCCACTGTCTGGGGCTGCAGCGGCGATGTTATGTACACTAAGAAGCGCATGAGCACATAGCATCGATCCAGCGTCCGTCGCACCTTGTTGCCGAACCTGCACGATTGTGTCTCGCTTGCCTCGAGGAATGGTAGGCAGCCTACAGGGCAAACTCAAGCCCATGAGACGCCAACCACAAGCGTACGTTGGGGACTTGATAAACGTCGAGTGGGCTGCGAGGTCTTGGTTGAAGCCCGGCGACGGGGTGTCGTACTTGGTATTGGAGCAGTCGAGCGCGTCAAAAAAGCGGTGCTCGCCTTGGAGGAAGCCCAGGGTCTTGGACCGATGCAAATTTGGGGTGCTCGTACTACCATCGCCATGAGACACGCAATAGGTGAGATAGTGCGTACGTGGCGGGCCGAACGACATCGAGGAGCTTGGTCTTTTCTTCCACGAGCGCGAGGATCTTGGCTTTGGTCTCGGCCACGAGCGCCTTTTGCTTCTCGATCGGAAGCGACTGCAGCACTTGGTGCTTATGGTACTGGATCTCGTAGATCTCGCGCTCAATGAGCTTGATGCGTATGCGCTGGGGCGTCAAGTCCTTGAGCGGCGCTTTTCTGCGCCCACAGATATTGTGACGACTCGGATTCCGGGGCTCGCCATACCGCAAGAGGTCGTCGAACGGCGGCGTCGTGTACACGGCACCGAGGTTGGCGGTGTATTGACCGGGCCCCGGGGTATCTGGCTTTTGGATCCGTGACTGGTTCGTCTCTAGCCGGTTGCAATCGAGCACTCGCTGACGCACAGACGACGTACTGTACGGCGTCACAGCCCGCGCGGGTTTGAAGCTCGTCTGGATGCGCTCGACGGGGTACCTGCCGGGGCCCGGCACCTTGTTGTCCTGCGCGCTTCCATCGTCGTACATGGTCCGAAATACTACATGGAACGTACCCAGAACGAGAGCGGTCGCAACGCGTCACGCGTCTCGGTGGCTACAACAACACATGTAGGCGGAGCATATCACTTTTGTAGACCGTTGAACGCGTGGCTAAGACCGTCCATGGCGTCGTCGCGGATCGGGCTCGCGAGGCAGCCCCAGTGCTCGTACAGCCGCCTCGGGCTCGGGTGGCGCTGCCCGTCGGTCATTATTGAATACTAGCATTCAACTTGGCGCTAAATTTAGGCGGCCAACCAAAGTGCACCTCGAGAGCTCTCGCGCCACCGCCATGGGCGACGCCTTCTTCGCGACGCGGCAGACGCCGACGCGCCACGTGCCGCTGCGCACCTCGAGGTTCTGGTCTACATCGGACGTTCGTCTCACGGTGACGCTAGCAGTAGCAGCAAGACGTTGGCAGCATCCTCTCGCCCGTCACATGTGCGTTGGTCATCATCATCGACCACGAAGAGCTAAGAACAGTATGCAGGCCGCAGCGACTCCTTGGACGACCAAGCCCAAGCCAGCGGCGACGGGTGCCGCCGTCGTACGACCCAAGACGGCGGGTGCCGGCAAGAAGCTGCAATATGCACTCACGTGCGCGCGGATGCTCGCTGAGAACAAGGCGTCGGAGCTGCAGCGCAAGCAGCTGCAAAAGCCAGCGCCGGGGGTAGGACCCACTTTTTGCTAGTACGTGGGAGCACCGACACTCGTCGTAGGTGCCCCGCTGCAAGAGCGCAGCGCCGGCGCGAAGCAACCAGCGCGAAATTGTCACACGCACTCGTGCCTTTGAGCCCTTTGCGCCTCGGACGCTACGGATCGGCGAGCTCCAGCACGCACTGGAGGACATTGTACTGGCCACCGACGCCGCCAGCGTGCGGGTCGAGGGCCTCGGCGGCTACGAGTTGGGGCCTGTCATTGGCTCGGGGACATTCGGCAAGGTACGACTGGCGACGCACAAGGCGTCCAACCAAGTCGTCGCGATCAAGTCATACGAGCGCAGCCGCGCCCGGGATGCGCACCAATGGAAGCGGATTCAGTACGAAGCGCGTGTGATGGAGCGCCTCGATCATCCGTACACTTGGCTGTTTCCCCTCGAATAACGTCGCGCATCCCTCGAATGTAGATGCATCATTCGGCTCTTTGAAGCGATTGAAGATCCGTCGACATTGCACTTGGTCATGGAGCATGTGCCGAGCGACGTGACCAGTTTGTGCGAGTACGTCAAGCAGCAGCGTCGACTGATCGAGGCCGATGCGGGGCCGCTCTTTGCCCAAGTGCTCTCGGCGCTCGTGTACATGCACGACCGGCACTGGGTCCATCGCGACGTCAAGCTCGAGAATGTCCTTCTGGACAAGCACGGGCTCGTCAAGCTCGTCGACTTTGGCTTCTCGGCGCTCCAGACCGCCAAGCCGTTCCAGACGTTTTGTGGCACGCCGTGCTACATGGCGCCCGAGATCGTCCTACGCAAGAGCTACTGGGGCCCGCCCGTCGACGTCTGGAGCCTCGGCATCCTCCTCTATGCGATGTTAGCGGGCTTCTTCCCGTTCCGCGCGCGCAACTACAATGATCTATACCGCAAGATTCTGCGCGGCGTCTACGAGATGCCGTCGATGCTGAGTGCCGACGCCCAAGAGCTGCTCCGGGGCATGCTCGACGCCGATCCCACCAAGGTACGGCATCGCCTGTCTGCCGAATAAGCTCATCGCGTCGCAGCGTCTCACGATCATGGACGTTCGCGCGCACCCGTGGGTGCGTCGGTTTGCGTCGCCTTTGCAGCGCCCGCCGGCGCCGTTGTACCGGCAAATCAGTCTTGGCACGTTGCCTCCAGTGCTCTACCGAGAGCTGCGCACGAGTGTGCTCGATGCGATAGCGGCGCTGGGGCTCTCGCGCCTTGACGCCGAGGCGACCCTGCGCGAGAAGCGCCACAACAGCCTCTCGACGCTGTACTATTTGCTGCTCAAGCGCGCCGAGTCTCTCTGCTACGCGCGCGAGACACCGCCGCTGGTCCATCCACGCCCAGTGGCGTCGCAGGAGGAATGCCACAGCCTCGCGTCGCGGCATGTGCTCATTGAGAGCCTCCAGGAGAGTGACAATTGTGAGAAGGACACCAACGATTTAGACCGAACGATGTCTCTTGCGCCAGGCTCGCCCCCCGAGTGCGATGAACAGCTCGCCCACGACGACGACATGCGCGACGTGCTAGCCATCCTCAAGCAGACCGAGCTGCATCGCCGCTAAGATCATATCGAAGCATAAAATACTAAAACTACATTCGGCGTGTTATTAATCACGACCGGGCGGTGGCGTGGGGTTTTCGGCGGGACTCCTTTGTCGAGATGTCACTCGTGCGAGGTTTCTCCAGTCGCGGCAACGACGTGCTCGCTGTGGATTCTGGCAGCGGCTTGCATGTCGGCAGCTTGAGCTGGGGAAGTGGGATCTTGGGCAGCCTGGCCTGCGCCGCCTTGGTTTCGTCCGCCACAACACGGAGCTCGGTGTCAATCGCCGCCATCGCGACAATGGCTGCGTCGATTTCACTGCGCATGCGCTGGACTTCTTGGCTTGTATGGAGTTGGAACTGGGTGGCCTTCTCGCTGTAGTACTGCTCGTCCGTCTTGAGTAGAGCGGCTTCGCGCTTTCGGAGCTTGGCGAGCGCCGAGAGTCTCGTCGGGGATACTCGTTTCGGCTCGTTCAAGTCGCGCCACTGGTCCTGGAGCGCATCGTATCGGGCTTGCAGACCTTGGACTTTGGCGGTCAGGTCATTTGTGCTCTGGTTGGTGGGCACTTTCTTACACGCTTGCACGCGCCGCTTGACGAGGTCGAGCTCGTCTAACGACGCTTGCAGAATCGCGTGCCACTCGTTGGCGTCGATGCTTTCTTTCTGGCGCTGCGTGACTTTGCGCAAGCTCTTCTTCTCGGACAAGAGGGCTTCCAGCTGGAGCTCGACGTTCTTGTCGAGCACGTGCTGCTGCGGCGGCTTGCGTTCGAGGAAGCGCCGCTTGAGCTTTTCGTTTTCAAGTTGCAGCTGCTTGCACTCGGCCATGGCGGCGTCGAGATCCGCGTCCGTCACTTGCGGCCGCTTGGCCTTGCGCGCACGCGGGTTTGCGCCCGACGGCTTGACGGGCTTCTCCGGTTTTTCAGGTTTTTTTGGTACTTTAGCGTCCAGTGTCGCCGTGATCGTCTCGAGGGCGCTCTCTTCGCGGAGCACGACAACTGTGGCGAGGTCCGCAAAACTCATAAGAACGTCGTCGACCTGGTCGTGGTACGCAAGGAGCTCCAGCCGCATGCGCTCCTCCTCGACCTCGAGCGACGTCGCTGAGCGCTCGAGGTCCACTCGCTCCATGCGGCGCTGCACTAGCTCGTCGTCGGCTACCGTCGTGCGCAGCACAAACACGACCTGAGGTATGAGCCCCCGAGCGATGAGCGCCTCGGCGTCTTCGATCGAGTGCGGAAAGCCGTCGAGAAGCCAACCTGTCGTGAGGCAGTCGCGTCGTTCCAAGCGGGTGAGCATGAGCTTTTGGAGGACCGCCTTTGGTACTGGTTCGCAGCGATGCAGGTACTCGGTGGTCAAGACCGACTTGCGCTGGATCGCCTTCAACAACGTTTGCTCGGCGTTCAAATGCACGACGGGTACAATGCCGCGGATGCACTGTACGTGTGGCTCGATCGACATGCCCGGAGGCGCCAGAAAGACGACCTTGGGCGCGTGGCGAACACTTGCGACGGCCGTGTCGACCATGGCTTTAACCCGCGACGCTTCGAGCTCAGCGGACGACGCATGCATGATCGCGTCCAGTGCTGCCAATGTCATGGGCCCCGACTGGAGTCGCTCTTCCAGCGCCTGTTCCGGGTGCATCGACAGCGTAGTCGTCATCGTGGGAAGCTTGGGCTTGGGCTTGTCGTGAGTGACGCTTGCCTCGTCTTGTGGAGCGAGCGCCGCTTGGACCTGCGCGGTGATGGCAGCTTTGCTACTCGAAACTCCGTCGACGTGGACGATGCGAATTGCATTGGCCGCAAACGCCGCGACAACTGCCTCGGCGTGCTCGTGGTACGTTCGGAGCCGGATGCGGAGCGTCTCTTCCGTGTCGTCGGCGCGCTGGACGACCTTGTCCTTGCGATCTGGCGGCGGCGGGTCAAAGGTCAGGTGGTACGTCCTGTTGGTCTCGAGGTCGACGCGCCGACCAGCGATGCGCGAAATGACTTCGTCGTCGGGTACCGTTAGCTGCACAAAGAGGTCAGGCGATATGCCAGCGGCGAGCATTGCAGTCGCTTGGGCTTGCGTGCGCGGAAAGCCATCGAGAAGCCAGCCGCGGGACGCGCAGTCGGCGCCTCGGAGCCGATCGAGGATGAGCGAGAGCATAAGGCTGTCGGGCACGAGATCGCCAGCCACCATGTAGGCGTGGGCTTGGCGCCCCAACGCCGAGTCGGCGCGCACAGCGGCGCGCAAGATGTCGCCGGTCGACAGATGGACGACACCATATGCAGCGACGAGGCGGTCGCAGAGCGTTCCTTTGCCGGCCGCGGGTGGACCAGCGACAACGAGCCGCCGGCAGCCACGGTGCTTTCGCCTCCGTCGCCGGAGCTGCTTGCGCACGAGGTACTGTAGCTGGATGATACCTGTGAGCGTCTTGGCCTCGACAGCATCGTACACATAGCTCATTTGCACGACAAATGGTCGTGGCGTCGCTTCCGGCGCCGGCAGCTCCTCGGCGATCTCGGCCTCGGCGCTGCCCCGTCGCTCCATCCTCGCTCAGTCGATCGACGAAACGATCGCGACCGTTATGCTTCTTCGCCACGAGGTGAAATGCTCATGTTATTAGTCGCAGAGTATAGAGTAGCACAGAAGGGATGATGGACAAGTTGTCTGCTAAACCGATAGATCCGTCGAGTCGTCTCAGGGGCACCCGGCGCCGCCGACGAGCCGATGGCACGGCGCGATGATGGCCAAGAGGCTCGTGGCAATCACCCAAACGAAGCCAAAGAGGTACACGGCAATGATGACCGTACCGGCCTTGCGCGACGCCATGTGCGGGCTCTTCCACGCATCGAGCTCGTCGACCGAATTGGGCACGAGCCACGGGATGAAGGGGAGCGCGCCGAGGCGAATGAGGCTCGTGAGCAGCGTGAGCTTCCAGACACCGTCGTAGTTGCCGCCGACCATGTCTTCGAGCTGGACGGGCCAGAGCCCTAGGAGCGCGTTCGAAATCGTGCTGGCAAACCCGCCCGACATGTTGGAGAAGCCCGTGAGGAGCGCGAAGGCGACCGCCTCTTGGCCCTCGGGGCAGACGCGAACAAACATGATGGCGGACGGAAGGTACTGGAGGCCGACAGCGAACTTCTGCACAGCCGTGTCGCCCAACGCAAACCAGTAGGGCGGAATGCCCAGCGATTCGTTGATGCGGAAGACGAGGAGGAGGTTGCAGACCGAGAAGAACGCAATGACGACGCTCGCAAAGGCGTACACAAAGCGCCAATGGCCGCCCGCGAGGAGGTAGCGACGGTAGATGTAGACGCCGGCAAAGCCCACCGAGGACCCGATCGCGGCCATCGAGCCGTACTGAAACGCGTTAAAGTTGTACGCCACTGTGAGGAAGTTGCCCCACGCCGCATTGTACGTGTGCAGCGTGTGGTACAAGACGAGGAACGAGAGCGGCTGCCACGTCGCCCGGAGCTGCAGCATCTTCCAGATGCCCTGGAGTTGCTCGTGGACCGTGAGCACCTGCGCCACCAACGGCTCATCAAGGACGTAGATGGATGGAATCGCAAGGACGAATGGAAGGAGCGCGAGAAGCCCAAAGCACCCCGACATGCTGAGGCCCCAACCCCATGTCTCGAGGTTGCTCAAGATGCTGCCAGCCCAGTACCCGACCATCTCGGTAAGAAACCGGATCATGTAGATGGTGGATTGGACCTGCCCGCGCTGCGACGGTGGTTCGTGCATGGCCCGCGACGTCAGGAGCGCGTCGGCCATGACGTCCGTCATGATGAGTCCCAGCATCGCGCCAAAGAGGAGCAGCGTGAACGAGACAACCGAGAGCGACGACGTGCAGAGCGCGAGGATGCCATGGAAGAGCGACGCGATGAGGTACCCGAGCACCATGTAGGGCTTGAAGCGCAAGCCGCGGATCGGGTAGACGTCGGCGAGGACGCCGTAGAGCACCTACACGCTGCCATGAGCATGCGCCACGAAGCGACTGCGTCGTACCTTGAACATCCACGGAAGGTTGCGCACGACGCTAATCGTACTCAGCTGCGCGTCCGACGCCTGCAGCTGCCGCGGAAAGTACTCGATGTACGCGTTCGGGAGCGTGATGAGGATGCCAATGCAAATGTAGTTGAGCGGAATGGCTATCGACTTGGGCGCCCAGATCGATTCGGGCCGGGGCGCGACCTTGGCCTTGGCCTTGAGCGACGGCGACGTGGGCACGAGCACATCCACGTGGACATGGTACTCGGTGGCCCAGTCGTCCTCCATCGCGAATGGAATCGTTTCAGAAAGATCGTGCGTATCCGGCGCTGCGGTTCATGGAAGCTTGCGTCTACCTTCGCCATCTGCATATACTTGACAACCCCCCGACAATGCTCGCTCAAGACGACAAGACAAGACGACGAGAGAGGAAGACGCTGCAGGATGCAAGGCCGGTTGGCATCTTATCCTGTTCGTATCCACTGCTCATACTATAAAAGAGGCGTCGCCACTTATGCTTCCTCGCACCACTTGTTCTCTTCACGGATTTGGCTCTCTTCCTCGGGCGTAAAGTCGTTGGTGATGTTGAACGTGTCGCGGATCTCTTGCGGCGTCTTGCCCTTGATCATGCTCGCGACCTTGGCGCACGCGAGGTCAAGCAGGCTCTTGATGTCCATGTAGTTGGCCGCCAAGATGAGCTCAAAGAGCAAGTCCTGCTCAATGTCGACGAACGACGCGTCCCACTCCGAGACCACGTCGTGCATGTCGCCGCTGCGCAAGGGCTACCATACATGTAAGCGCTCCCCATGTGCTCATGGATCATCTCATGTACCTTCTCGATCTCCTGCATCGGGTTGTTGTGGTGGTGGCTGCAAAACTCGATGACCTTGGAGAGTACCGTGCTCTTGACGTTGGGCAGCGGGATCTCCTGGACCTCGTCGTCGTCCTGCTCGTCCGCAATCATCGTCTTGACGAGCTCGCTCATGCAGGCCACGGAGCGGGCGACCTCGAAGCTGTCGCCGTCCTGGGACACGAGGTTCACCTTGCGCGAGTCGTCGTGGTCGGCCATGCTGCTTGACGTTGGGGGGTTTGGATTTTGGACCGGTCAGAGGCCGCTCGGTTCTTTAAAATATGTCTTGCCCGCATACAACAATCAAGGTAATACAATACGCGAATTTATCCATTCGCTTTTTCGTGCGGGCTCAACTTGATCTTCTTGCATACTCAAGTGAAGAGAGCGTACATCCGGAAGATGGTGCTCGCCGATTGGCCGAAAAGACCCGCGCCTCGTCGCTGGATTGGCGCGCCTCGAAGCCCATGACGCGATCGACGTCAAAGCGAAGTCGACGTGCGATGGTCTATCCATACACGCCGACATATGACCAGCGTGCTCACTCTATGTGCTTGTATCCTCCAAGGGCAAAGCGACGCTCTTGTTCGCAGTACCGGTATGGCCTCGAGGCGGTGCAAGCGCGCGTTGCAGTGATGCTGGTGCAATTGACACGTTGCTGCGATTGGTTGAACAAAATCGAATTGGCCGCGGCGGATTGGTCAAATATGGACGCAAAAAAACACGCCCACAGTATACAAAAACGCAGATGCGGCCTAAAAATACGGAGCACGCGCTCTGATTGGTCCAAGACCGTCTGGTGGTCGCCGGCCATTGGCAGTGATCGCGCGCTGTTTGGCTGGTGGAAAGCGTCTCGGCATACATACTCGCCGTGATCCTCACTTCCCATTTCCCTCTTTTCAAATGAGCCACCGCAAGTTTGAAGCCCCCCGCCACGGTAACTTGGGTTTCCTCCCCAAGAAGCGCACCAAGCACCACCGTGGTCGCATCCGCAAGTTCCCGCGTGACGACCGCTCGAAGGCCCCGCACTTCACGGCCTTCATGGGCTACAAGGCCGGCATGACGCACATCGTGCGTGAGGTCGACCGCCCGGGCTCGAAGCTCCACAAGAAGGAGGTCGTCGAGGCCGTCACGATCCTCGAGACGCCGCCGCTCGTCGTTGTCGGCGTTGTCGGCTACCTCGAGACGCCCCGCGGTCTCCGCACCTTGACCACGGTCTGGGCCGAGCACTTGTCGGAGGAAGTCCGCCGCCGCTTCTACAAGAACTGGTACAAGTCCAAGAAGAAGGCCTTCACCAAGTACGCCAAGAAGTTCGCGGAGAAGCCCGCCGAGATCGAGAACGAGCTCAACCGCATGAAGAAGTACTGCCAGGTCATCCGTGTCATCGCGCACACGCAGATCCGCAAGGTCAAGCTTCGCCAGAAGAAGGCCCACCTCCTCGAGATCCAGGTCAACGGTGGCTCCATCGCCGAGAAGGTCGACTTCGCCAAGTCGTTCTTCGAGAAGCAGGTCCCCGTCGCCACGGTCTTCGGCCAGGACGAGATGATCGACATCTGCGGTGTCACCAAGGGTCACGGTTACGAGGGCGTCATCACGCGTTGGGGCGTCACCCGCCTCCCGCGTAAGACGCATCGTGGTCTCCGCAAGGTCGCCTGTATCGGTGCCTGGCACCCGTCGCGCGTCCGTTTCACGGTCGCCCGCGCCGGTCAGCACGGTTACCATCACCGTACGGAGGTCAACAAGAAGATCTACCGCATCGGTGCCGCTGGCGACGCCAAGTCGTGCATGACGGAGCAGGACTTGACGGAGAAGTCGATCACGCCCCTTGGTGGTTTCCCCCACTACGGTGAGATCAACGAGGACTGGCTCATGCTCAAGGGCGCCATCATTGGTGTCAAGAAGCGTGCCCTCACGCTCCGCAAGTCGCTCTTGGTCCACACCAAGCGCGCTGCCCTCGAGCCCATCAACCTCAAGTTCATCGATACCTCGTCGAAGTTCGGTCACGGTCGCTTCCAGACGGCCGAGGAGAAGGCCAAGTGGATGGGCCCCCTCGCCCGCCAGAACCGCGCTTAAACGCCTGGTTCTGCCACTCGTCAAAGGACTGGGGTGTCTTCGCCTGCTTTCGTAGGAGCTGGCGCCTCATTCTGTAGGGATAAATTGTAATGGGAATTACGATTCAATCGGCTCTCTTTGTGTACTCGACCTCCATCGCTGGTCAACCTATAGTGTGATCGAACCCAATGTACTCGAATTTAGGAACACATACGTCGCAGGTTACGATGAAGATGTAACATATCCACCGTTGCTTCATCGAGGATCTCAATGGTGAGCGAATCACACGAGTACGGGCATGGCAAGCTTTCTCAGGACGACCTTTCAACTGCAGCGAGCTACACCTAGACGTGAAGAGCTGGCGTTGGTTTTCTGCTTGACGACGGGAAAGACCCAGCAAAAAATCCGCACGCGGGGAGTCGAGCTCCGAGTACCGGCTGGAGTACCGGTAGGTTGGATCACCATTTGCGCGGTGCAGCGAGTGCAGGATCGAACGGTTAGCATGCCCACCTCGACCTGCCATCGGATTGGTTGAAATACCTCGCTTTTCGCTGTGTTGAGACGCATCCATTGGCTAAAATGCACCATGGGTGGACGGCTGGTTAATTTGCCGATTGGATCGAATGGAAACCGAGGTCGAGAACGTCCGTGTGCTCTCGCGTGGCCGCCTGGAGGTCTTCCCGCGCGATGGCGTCGACGAAGCCGCGGACGCGCTGCGGAAGGACGTCCTCGGTAAGGACTACCCCCGCTGCCTCTGCCACTCGAGCCGCTACGGCCTCACCTTCCTTGCGACGCCCGCCGGGCTCGGGGTCACGGCGTTCACGACGCTCGAGGAGGCAACGCTGGCGAGCGTCGAGCGGGCCGAGAACAACGTTGACCCGCTCGTGGCGCTGCCAGTGACGTTCACGGTGGCGCTTCCTACGTCGCCCCACTTCCTCGCGCTCTCGGCGGCCGAGACGCTCCTCGCCGTGGCCTTTGACGATGTCTTGGCCGTCTACGAAGTCGCTCGGCTCGTCGAAGGCTCGCACAACCCCATCTTTATGAGCAACAACGTCCAGACTCGGCATCTGTGCTGGTCGTCGATGCAAGGAATGGGCCAAGACGCGTGGCTTGTCGTCTTGACGACCGACCGCCAGATTCACGTGTACAACATGAAGGGCGACTTGGTCTGCGCACACAGCAACATCGAAGCAACATCCATCTGCTGGGCGCCTGAGGGCAGTGTCCTTGCTGTCGGTGACGACGAAGGCATCATCTCCAAGCTCGAGTACACGTACGACGACGCGAGCGGCGAGGGTCACTTGACGACCATCACCACCTATGACAAGCCCGACCACGTTGGCGACAGCTGCCGAGGTAGGTTCCATATTCTCGCAAGTTAATGACCTGTGTCCTAGTCCACCACTTGAACTGGGCCGAGACCGACCTGCTCTTTGCCGGCTACATCAACGACGAGGACGAAGTGGCGTCGTGCATCTTTGACGGCGACGGCGTCTTTGACACGACAGAGCTCGTCGCCTTTTTCATGAGCGACTCGCGCGCCCACGTCTTCTACTCGTGCTACCTCCAGCCCTGGTACGCGCCTCGATCCCCATGGCGATACACTCATCCTTGTCGTTTCTGCAGGCGCATGTTCTTTGTCGGGTGTTCGCTGAGCACGGACATCGAGTTGCTCGTGTCGGACCCCGAGTCGGGCGAGTGGCAGATTTGGAAGCCGCAGGAAAAGTACTCGCCGCGCCTTCCGATGGACGCAGGTAGCTCGACTAGTTGACGATTGTATGTCGACGGCAATCCGAATGTGTAGACGACGAGGACACGTACCCGGTGGGGATGGCGGTCGCTCTCAACTCGACGGCGGTGCTGCCGGGCGACGAGGTCGACAGTCCGTTCTACGCGTGTCCGCTGGTGCTGTGCGCGACGACGGACGGCATTTTGCTCAACTTTGCACTCCTCGACACGAACGAAGCCGACTTCCCGTACCTTGTGGTGCCGGCGTCGCCTGTCTTTGCTGCGGTGGGCAGAAGCGACGTCAAGCGGGAGGAGGAAGTGCCCACGGAACTGATGGCCGCATCAAAACACAAGAATCCAAGACCGCGGTACCACCACGATCGACAAGGCCGCGCGGCAACATCACGATGGACAAGGGATCGTTCACGCCCGACATCTCGCAGGCACTGGCCCGCATGGCCACCGCACCTGGCTTTGGCTCGTCGCGCAAAGCCGTGACCAAGCCAGCGGATCTGCCCAAGGAGACGAATCAGAGCAGCAGCACGTACGCTTCGGCGTCACCGCCGAGCCGCGCACCTCCAGCACCAACGCCTGCGACGCCATCACATGCGGCAGAAGACGCGCTCTGGAAGCAAATCCTCGCGTTCGATCGGACCTTGCAGCAGCTGCGCGCGACACCGCGCTTGGACGTCGCAGCGCACGAGATCCTTTTCTATGACGTGCGACGCGATGTGCTTGCAACGTCCGACGGCGTCCAGCAGCTCGACAGAAGCTTCCATGCGACCGAAGCCGACGTCGCTGGTGTCGTCTCGCAGAGCAAGACCGTGCGCGACGAGATCGACCAAGCCAACCGGCTGCAAGAGTTTGCCGATCCGGCGACGGAGCCTCTCGACGCGCGGTCATTGGCCACGTACGAGGAGCTGCAGCGAAAGATGCGCGTCGTGCAGGAGACGTGCGCCTGTCTCACGGCACATCTCGGGTACGTGGGTCTCGTCGTCGTGACGGACGGCTCTCTGATTGAATGCGGTAGCTGCCACCGTCCGAACGAGGTGCTGCGCGCGCTCAAGCACAGCTACGACCGCTCCAAAGAGCAGTACAACCATGCGCTGGATCTGGCACGTCATATGGACAAGCTCACGCCGGCAGTGGCACAGCCAGTCGCGCCCTCCATGCTGCTCGCGCTGCGCGAGGAAGACGCGAGTGTCTCCGATCTCGATAGCGTCTTTGGCACCCTACGTGTCTGTGCGCCTCGGCTCGTCTCGACGTCACTCGCGCCGCCACCAACGACCACGTCGGCCGCCAAGCCGCCGCGTGTCCGTAGCTCGCTCCTTTCGACGACCGCGCTGACGATTCCGGCGCCGCCCAAGACGCCGAGAGGCCACCTCTCGTTCCAAGCACCGTCCCCGATGCCGACGAAACCGGTGCAGGCAAGAGATGCACCGACGAGCGAGACAACGGCGTGTCTGAACGACGCGCCATCGTCGCCCGGCGGCCAGAGCCCCACTTCATCCGTCCCATCGACACCGACAAGGACCACGAACCCGTCCAAGCCCATCAAGGTGGCGATGTCGCCCAAGGCCAAGGCCCAGTCGCCACGGCAGCGCCCCACGCCGATCCCGATCCCGCCGCGTGTCGTCTCGGAGCCCGAGAGCGACGAGTCGCCTCGCGCGCGCAAAATGTCGCTGGGCGCCCGGACGCCGCCGCCGTCAGTGCTGGGGCGACCGCCGACACCCAAGCTGGCCGCACGCAAGACAGCGTACGCAACCGACGTCAAGTCGCGACCGATCATGTCGCCGCTGTCGCTGGACGCGCCCAACTACCTCGGACGACTCGAGAGTTTCTGTGCCAAGTACGCCCCGGGGCACGTGATTGCGCAGAGCGCAATGGAGCGGCTCTTGCGCGACCACGCTGGGCGCGAGACCGAGTTGTTTCTCCAGCTCTTGCGGCAGTTTGTGCGAAAGGACGCAACCGAAAGCGACGCGCACGCGTACGTAACCCGGGGCGCGCTTCCGCCACCACCAACGGTCAACTACAAGGCGCTTCTGACTGCCTTTTACGCCAAGCACAACCCAGCCAAGCTCCCCGAAGTCGACGAACTCCTCGCCAAGTACCACGGCAACGAAGCGCGGCTCTTCAAGAGCCTCCAACTCAAGTACACTGCGACGAACGCTGCGTCCCGCCCGACGTACGTCCCAGCTTAAGACCTGTCGTCAGTCCTCCTCTTGCGTGTTTTATATAGACTTGTCGATCTGCTAAAGCGATACTGGCAGCACTGGCATCATCCTTGAAGTGTAATAACTCCAGGGGCTTGACAAGTGGCGTCAAATTTCCCGCCAGAAACAATCCAATTATCCGGCGTATTGTTTATCCGGCATTTACAATGAATTATCCGGACTCTCGGAGGCCAAAACGCGATGGCGCTGCCCCGGCTCGTGGAGGAGATCGAGATCATTAGCGCGTCCTTGGGGCGCCACGAGTTCCACCCGATGGAGCAGCAGAAGCCCATCTACGTGACAGAGCTCAACGCACCCAAGCCAGACCGCGCGGCCGAGGCGCGGCGCAAGACCGGCGACGAGTTCTGGGCCGAGTTCCGAGACACGTCGGCTGCGCTCGGCGACCCGGACGGTACCAATGGTCACGAGATGATGTGGAGCTCACGGCGGCGGCGACGTAGAGATCACGCACTATTCGACGACGTTTGAGAGTCTCGAGAAGAAGTGCAAGGCGCTCCAGGCGCAACTGGCCGGCATGTCCAAGCAGCTGCACACGCGCAAGTCGGATCTGTACCTCGACTCGCGCATCAACGAGCGTCAAGAACAGAAGGAGCAAGAGTGGGAAGGCCAAATGCAAGCGGGTCGCGCCGAGCTCGAGCATCTGGAGGCCAAGCTTGCGCGGGTGCAAGAGGACATTGAGAGCCTCGAGACCGACATTCGCGACGGCGAAGCGCGGGCCGCCATCGGTACGTTCCACGCGACGTCTCTGGTAAGGTGCTCACGCGAGCGAATAGACCCGTCGCTCTTGACGGACGAGAACGAAACACTCGAAGAGATTCTGCTACTGCGTGCCGAGGAGAAGAAGGACCTCCTTGCGGCCCTCGCCGCCCTCAAGCGCCAGCGCGACGAGCACGTCCTTGAGTCCGAGAAGGTTCAGACGTCGCAGTCGGCCGAGCTGGAGCGCTTGAAGCTGGAGCGCGACGGCCTCAAAAAGACCATCTTGGCGTACGAAGAACCCGTGGGGGACGACGCGAGCATGGACCGACCAACGGTCGAGGCCCGCGCCGCCGCCCTCGCCGACGCGCTGCAGCAGTGGCAAACCAAGCTCGAGATCGAGACGGCGTCCGTGACGGCGCTCAAGGCCCAAATGCAGCGCCTCGTCGAGACGCAGGCCGCCAATGGCACGCGTGGCACACCGCACCACACATGTGCCGTCGTGCTCCAGCTCTTGTACGCCAACAACGGCGAAATGAGCAAGACACAGCTGCAGGCCGAAGCGGCGGCCACCGGCTGCGACGACGCGCACGTCGTCCGCGCCATTTACGCCCTTGTCGGGAAGAGCCTCGTGCACATCGATCGGTCGCTCGCCGAAGGCATCGTCACGTCCATGTTGTTGTAATGCTTCCTTTTGCATTTCTTAGTTTCGTCTTATGGAAAGAGGTACGCCTTGGTAGCGACTTCGTAGCCTGCGAGGAGCGACGGGCCGCACGCGATGACAAGGTCGTAGATCGGGTCGGGGAACTGCCCCAAAGCCGCCGTGCGCTGCGCGTAGGCCTCAAGCGTCGCCGCGACGTTGGTCCAAATGGCTTGCTCGGCGGCGAGCGCGAGTGTGCGGTCTTTCCAGCTCGCGCGGCGCAGCGGCAGGTCGGAAGGCGGCGTCGGCGGGCTGTACGCCTCGAGACCAGCAGTGGTTTCCATCCAAGTGACGTACGCGGCGGCCGTCAAGTTCTTCGTCTTGTGCGGCAAGACGAGCGACGCGGGCGCCCGCGAGAGCACGTGGTGCCACACGTTGCTCGGCCGCACCTTGTCGAGGCGCGCGTCACGGAAGATGCGGTCGAGGTCGAGGAAGAGAAGGTGCTTCATGGCGCGAAACTCCTCGTACACGAGACCATCGAGCGGCCGGACGCGGCTCAAGAAGGCTTCGAGCTGCGCCATGTCGTTGACCAAGCGGCACTTGCCGCTGTCGTTGAGCGGCCGGACGAGCGAAATGTGCCGCGCAAACGCCGAGAGGAGCCGATTGCAGAACGCATCGAGACACGTGGTCGCGACGGACGCGCCATCGAGGCCGAGGCGGCCAAAGTGGTCGGTCAAGAACACGTTAAAGACGGCGGTAAACTCGACCATGAAGCGGTCAGTAGCGACATTCGAGACAAAGCTCTCGTCGTGCATGCTGGCGAAAATGTGTTCGCAGCGCGTCGCGAGGATGTCCAAGTACGCGCTCAGGAGGCGCTGGGAGAGCCTCTCAAGGGGCTCTCGAAGCGTTGCCAGCGGGCTCGCCATCGCTTCGGCCACGCTTTGGCTCTTGTTGACGGGCAGCTCGAGGAGTGCGTCGTCGAGCTGATGGCAGAGGTTGAGAAGCGCCATGTTGTGGGCGTGGGCGACTGTCCGGGCCGACGTAGGCGGCAGTGCCAGAGCCAGCGGGCCAGCATGCGCCGTGGTCTCGATATTGGCGCAAAAGTGATCGACCGCGCGACGAACGCCATGGAGGACCATGCGCACGACGACAGGGTCCTCGCCGCCGGCATCGACTTCGAGAGAGAGGATCTTGAGCAGCGTTTGCATGTCACTGCGGCTCGGCGGCGACGGGTGGTACCCGTTGGACTGCGGAAACATCATTGTGATCGGGTGCAAAAGACGGTCGCCGGATCGCTCCTCGAACTTGGTGGCAATCACATGGAACGCATCGAGGAGCTCGGCTTGCATCGATTCCGTCGGCAGCGCCATGGCGCGGTGGGGACGGCCGGCGTCGGCCGACAAGAGCCGGGCCGTCGTCGCAGCCCACGCCGTCACGATGCGCACGGCCTCGGCGCGGAGCCGCGGGTAGTGGCCAATCAGCACGCTTTTCACGCTCGGCCGGTACTCCATCGCCTTCTTGAAGAGCTCCGAGAGGAGTGCGCAGCCAATGTCCCAAAACGTCGACACAAGCGACGGCTCGTCCCGCTGCACAACAGCATCAAAGAAGCATGCCTTACTCGACCCGCTCGCAGCTGGTAGCTTGACAAGGACGCGCTGGAGGTGCCACACTTGAAGCGCGTACGAAGAGAGCATCTCGAGTACGTTCTGCGCTGCGATCCATGCATCAGCCGCCTTGGCATCGCCGTCGCTGGGCGATGTCGCAGCCGCGATGTGGCTTTCCTTGAGCATGCTTGTGGCTTTGGTTTCAAATTCGTGGAGTACTTCGTTGACGCAGGCTTGGACCGTCTCGGAGAAGGTATCGAGTCCGAGCTGGTAGAGAACTTGAAGCGTACTCGCGATCGCCGTCTGGTCCGTCGAAGACATGCCGATCTTGAGCGTTGTCTTCATTTGCTTGACCAAGTGCGTGCGGAGCTTGCGAAGATGTGGCACTTCTGGCGCCACGAGCGAGAGCCCTTGGAAACGCGATGCGTCCGGACTCGACTGCAACAAGAGCTCAGCTTCGTAGAGTGCAAGGGACGCTTTGGAGCACGCTGCGTAGTAGTCAGTGTCGTCGGCCGGCGCGGCAAGCACAATCGGCGACAGCGCGCGCAGCCCATGCGCCAGCGTCTGAAAGCGAAGGAGGCGCTGGACGATCGAGCTGCACGTGTCCACATTGCGCAGCTGCTGGATCGTGCGCGAGAGAACGCGCCGGACCTTGTGCACGTCGTTGTCCATGCGGTCGATCGCGTGCTTGACGTCCGAGACGTCGCTGTGCAGCGTCGTGACGTGCTGCTTGAGCCCGTCGACCGACCCAACCTGCCGCAGAAGCTCCATGTGCGACGCGCTTACGTACGTTTCGATCGACGAGTCAATGTGCTGGATCGCGACCGAGAGCTTTTGTAAAAACTCTTCGGACCCGCTCGAGGCGCTCGTGTCCTTGGTGGCCTTGGCGTCCGATGCGATGATCGCACTCGCGATCTCCGTCACCGGCACCTCGGGCGCGACAAAGACCTTGAGCTCGTCTACGCAGCGGCCATGAGCTCAAGCGCATTGCGATCGGCTACCGTCGGCGCGGAGCTTGGCGACAACGTCCTCCATCGTCGACGTCATCGTTGCAACAAAATCGTATCCGATTTGACAGTGCGAACGGTGGAACCTTTGCTAAATCTATTAAATGTACGAGGTATGTATTAATACAGGATTCAGTGGGTGTCGTACGCCCAGGAGCCGACTCAATCTTGCTCGTCGCCATGGAGCTCCTGCACTCGCCAAGGATCTTACGCGCAAGAGCCCCAGCCCACAAGAGACCCTCTGCCTCCAGTGCTTTGGCGGTGTGATCGTGGATGATGCATCATGCAGCGCCAAGAAACCTCCTACGCATGCACTAGTACATGGTGGTCGCCCATGCTGCGGCGCGTCGGTCGCAACTCATGCAAAGGATATGATCATGACGAGTGGGAATGCTATAGATATCGAGGTAGAAAGCTGGTTTACGCGTCCGAGCGCTTCAAGCGGGTATCGCAGATGACGCGGAGCGACTCTTGGGCGCGCTGGTTCCAGAGGAGCGCTTCTTCTTCAGCCTCAAAGAGGTTGCGTGCTTCTTCGTCGCTCGCAAGCTGGAGCTTGGCCATCTCGTCGAGCTGCTCGTCCTCGGTCTTGTCGAGGCCCGGGAGGCTGTCGATGACGTCGTTGGTCTTCTTGGCCGTGAGCAAGAGGTCGCGCGCGAGGCCCTTGACGCGCTCACGCTGCTCCTTGACCTCCTCGGGCGACGCGTCCTTGGCCATCGACGGCAGCAGCCGCAGCGCGTTGAACATGTCGAGCGCCATTTGGTCGACGCATTGCTGCAGCTCCGAGACCTTGTCCATGGCCGCAAACCCGTGGACTCGACTTTTGGCCAATCATCGCTCGCCGCAGGCTTGGTAGCCAATCACACGCGTTATTGAAACAGAGCCAATCCCAGCCCAGCAGCCACGCTCGGGACACCACTGCAAGCGAAGCCTGCTTGCAAGCTCAGTGGTAGCTCGGTGATGGGGCGTGGTATAGCCTTAAGCGAACCATGCAGAGTCCGAGGCAGCGTCCATATTCAAGGCAGGAGATGCCATGTAAAAGCAACAATTTGGCCTCTGCAGCATCACCGTGCATTATACGCAGCCATCCGAATGGCCTCGGACAGCACTTGCTACGCTACATTTGACGGTTTGACGGTCATTGATGCATCTCTTCGCACCGAACGAGCCAGACCTTTTCAGATCGAGATCTGGATCTGGATCTGGAAAGGTCTGGCCCGTTCGGCTAGATAGGCAATGAGCCAGACCAAACGGAGGGCCACTGCGTCCGTCCTGTCACGACAAGCAGCTCGTGGCCGCGTCTCGCTGGCGTCGACAAGAACGTTGGCGGATTTAGGATGATCACCGTCGTCGGTCGCACGAGCAACTTCAACCGCCGCCAGGAAAACCTCCGAGTTCTGATAGTATCAAGTCTCGGGGCTGGCCGGTAACTCCTTGCAATCTTCATACAAGTGGGCGACATGGACGAGTTCATCCACTGCTGCGACGTGCTCCTCGTGAATGGCAGCGCCGGGTCCGCGGCCCAGCGAGATGCCCACGACCGCCTCCTCCGCTTCCAGATGGACCCGACCTCGTGGCAGCTCGTGCTCCGCGTGCTCATGTCCTCGGCGGCCGGCGCGTCGGTCTCGGAGGCCGCGCTCTTCATTGCAGCGCGGCTGCTCCGGAGCGCGATCCCAGTGCTGGACGCACCCGACCAAGTCCATGTGCGCGACCACTTGCTGCAGTTTCTGTGTGCCGACCGGCCGCGGACGTCGGCGTCGGTGCGCCCTGTCGAGCGACTCGTGTGCCTCGCACTCGCGAGCGCCGTCGTCCAGATCCAGCAAGATTGGCCGTCGTGGAAGGAGCGCCTGCACAGCACGCTTTTGCAAAACCAAGCGTCGCCGCACGGGCTGCTGCTACTGCTCGAGGTGCTCGCGGGCATTCCTGGTGAGATCTACTCGCAGTGCTCGCTCGCCGAGTCCGTGCCCCAGGTCGCCACGATGGTCCAAGCTTTCCAGAAGGACGCGATCCACGTGTTGCATCTCGTCCGGGACACGCTCGTCTCCATGTATCCTTCGCATCGTTGGAAATGATGCGAAGCTGACGTTGCTGGTAGGCCGGACGCTGCGTTCGTTGCACTCACGTGCCTCCAAAACTGGGGCCACGACGTCATGCCGGTGGTTGAGATTGAGTTTGGGCTGTGCTCGGTCGACTTGAGCGAAGGGTACGTGCAGCATCGCCAGTGAAGCGTCAACTCTTTCTGTAGGCAGCTCTTTGATCTGCTCATCGATCTCATAATCACTCCCAAGCAAGACGTCTCTCAGGTACACACATCTCGTCTTCATCTCCATATTCCAGGCTGTCTAGCTGGCTGCCGAGATCATTGCCGACACGCTCTCCCACACCAACTCGTCGCCAGCGCTCGGCAACATGTACCATGCATCATCACTTGCGCCGTGTTGGGAACTAGTTACTCCTGGCTAGTCCTGCTCAGCGCTATGAGCGGGAAGCAACGCTCGTCGTGCGCGTCGCCAAGCGCATTCTCTCCACCAAGCCCGTCTTGCTTGATGCAATCCAAGCACTCTCAGCGACAGAGTCGTCCGAAGATACCTTGATGGACGACCCGTCGCTCGAGGCCAGCATCACGGTCGCGCGCGGGCTGGCCAAGGTCGCGTCAATCATCGCCTTTGCGCATTCGCACTGCGTCTTTGCGGGTGGCTGGTGCGAGGCCATTCGGACGGCCGAGGCGTGTGATCCCGCGTTTGTCGAGGTAGACACATTGCACCACCTAGGACGACGACGACGTCATGGGCTTACCTTGCGTACCTCGTCCTCTGCACGTCGTTTCCGGACGCGGCCGTGACGGAAGAGACGCTCGAGTTTTGGTTCTTCGTGTTGGAGATGAAGAAGCGCTGGAACGACATTCCGTCGCTCTCGTCGTGGAACGCGTTTTTGCCGACGGCGCTCCCCGTCGTGCAAGAGGTCGTCGTGCTCCTCATCCAAAAGTGCCAGTACCCGCCCTGGTTCCTCGCGACAAACAGCCTCACGTCCGACCACCCGGCCATTGACGCGACGCGGGATCTCCGCCGGTGCGCGTCCGGTCCTTCTTCCATGCGTCTGATGATGGCTGTATATATGTAGGTATATTGGCGACACGCTCCTCAACATCTTTGCCCATTGGCCCAACGTCGACGGACGACTCGGCAGCTACGTCTGCCTCGAGACCGTGGTCGGGCTCATGAAGACGTCCAACGACCTTCCGCAAGTCGATGCGCTTCTCTTCGTGCTCGACTACATGGTGGAGCTCTTCGACTTTGACGACATTGACACGGAGAGCGACGGCTTGTTCAACGCGGTGCAAACGCTCTGGGAGTCGGCACTTGCGGTCTTTCCGACGTTTCCCGACCACCCGCTGCTCATGCAAGGCGTGTGTCGGTATGACATCTCTCTGGCCCGAGTGGTGCGTCGATGTCATCGTGACGTAGGCTCGTCAGCTCGCTCGTCGTCTCGATGCCGTTGAACGACCCGTACTACACGATGGTCACGAGCGTGCTTGCAAAGGGCCTCGCGTCGCCGGCCGTGTGCGCACCGGCCGCCAAGTCGCTTCTCAAACTCAACAACGCGCTCACGTAGTCGCTTGAGTTTCGCAAGCTCGTTGAACGTGTGTGGCTGTAGGAAATCCAAGGCGACGCCGGCGACGAAAGCCGAGTGCATTCAGCTACTCTTGAGCGCCATCGACCGCCCGGACGTCCTCGCCACACTCTTTGCCGCCGCGCCCGCGTACGGAGATTTTTTGGAGGCGCTCCTGCGCCTTGGCACGGGCTTTTCCGAGACCGGTACACTCCCTCTGTCCCCCTCTCTCATCTTTTACCAGACTACATGGCGGTCATCAACTGCGCCTTTCCGCGCATCTTGAGTGCCCTTGGTCAAATGACAAACGAGTCGAACGCGGTCGAAGTCGAGGCCGTCCTGTACCTCTTGTCGCGCGGCCTCCAGGGCATTCGCCAAGCGAGCATGCGTGACGCGTTCGTCGTCGAGCACTGGCCGCTCATCCGGCATATTACGATCGACCTCTTTGCGCACAGCGGGCGCGTCCGCGAGCTCGCGATTCAAGTGTTCACGTCGATCCTCCCGGCGTCGAGCCGCACCGACGTGGTCCTCGCCATTCTCGAGACGTGCGTGCGCTGGCATCGCGCGTACGCAGCACCGTACGTGCTTCAATGCATTGGCACGTTTGCGCAGTCGTGTCCGCTAAGCCTCACGCCGCATCTGGCCTCTGTGCTCGAGGTAGTCTTTCTTGTTTTGTGGCGCTTGTCTCGAAGCGGATTATGTCTAGAGCCTCTTTCAGTCGGTCTCGGAGAAGCTTCAGTACGACCCCAGCGCATCGCTCGAGGCGATGCGAAGCCGGATGCTCGACCGCTTCAAGCTCGCACAGGACGACTTGGCCGCCGAGACAACGCTGTACTTTCAAATGCTCCGCGACACTCTCGCGACGCTGCCCGACGTGGTGTGTCGGCCGCCCCTCTTTCTCGAAGTGCTCAAGCTCGCGTGCGTTCTCTTCTCGATCGAGCACCAGCTACCAGACGTGACGGACGCGCTCTGCAGCTTCTTCATCGACGCGCTCAGTGCCGACGCTGCCGGCATCGATGCGTTCAAGACGATTGCGCCCGTGCTCGTCGACACCATGCTCCGGCTGCTCGCTGCGACGCCGATTTCATCGAAAAAACGCGGTCTCCTCAACCTCCTGTACCAAGCACTGCAGGCCGCCACGACCCGCCCCGCCATCCGAGGTACTTCTCTTATTGCTGCGAGCTCGATACATTATTGATACTAATACACGGGCGAACAGATGCGTTTGGCGCGGCGCTCCACCACGCACTTGTGGTGACGCGCGTGTTTCCATCCATGGCGCCCGCCGACGCGCTGCTGCTGTCGCAGATGCTTCTCGGAACGCGCGAGAAGCGCAAGTTCCAAGTGCTTGCGACCACAACCGCGACGTACTTGCAAGGTCTCGGCGCCGCGCCGTGGCTCACGCCGACGCTGCACGTGACGAGCCCCCGCAGCCCGACGCCATTGGCGCTCAACGAGATCATCGACGTCATGAACTAGACGACGTGTAGATATGACACGAACGGTAATGTACTAATTGAGATCCAAGCATTTGAAGCGCGACGAGAGGAGGTGGTTGACCCGCACCTCGTTCTCGGTCGACCGCTTCATAAAGACAGCATACTCGTGGCTCGCGCTGCTCGGCGGCGTGTCGAGCGCCACTTGCGAGTAGCCGCGTAGCAGGCATGTCCCCGGCGCGTCTGGCATCGGCTCAAAGCACCACCACGTCGCAACGTGCTCGGCGATCTTGTGCTGCAGCGTCTCGTCGTAGAGGATGCTGCGGTGCATGAGGAAGACGCGGTCACCGTCGTGGACGAGCTGCATGCAGATGCGCCGTCGGATCCCGCCCCACGGAAAGGTCGCGAGCACCAAGTCCTTGCCGTAAAAGTTAGCCTAGGATGCGAGAGCACGTGAGCGTGGAGACAAGCGCGTTGGCGCACGCACAAGAGGAATTACCTCGCGGCCCTCGCCTGTCGTCGTCGAGAAGGCGTCGTAGATGGTTCTTGCAATGTCGGCGTAGTGGCCCTCAATGACACCGTACTTGCGCTGCTCGAGGAATGCAATGTGTTGGTTCGTGTCATCGAGCACGAGGTTGAACATGCCCGCGGAGGACGACGAGGCAAAGCGGCTAAAGAGGTCGGGCGTCACCTTTTCCCGCTGGAATTCGGCGAGCGCAAGCACGTGTTGGTCGCGGTACGCGTTCGAGAGCGTGTGCAGCTGCCACGGATCCCGCTTGGGATCGATGATCATCTAATACGAATGCTTGGTGCTGCACGTACGCGGGAAGATGAGATACGACGTACATCGCCTTCGAATCGACGCCACGAGAGGCTCTTGAAGAGCACGGCTTTCTCGACCTGCTCGACGACTTGGTTGAAGAGCGACGTGCGCGTCGCGATCGCCTCTTGCACGCGGCCCCGCTCGACAAGCGCATTCGACTTCCACTCGGACACGGTGCTCGTCTTGCGCTTGCGCTCGGCCTGCGCCACCGACAGCGTTTCGTGGAGCGTCGCGGCCGTCTGCTTGAGCTCGTCAATCTCGGTCTGGAACTTCTCTTTGCTCTGCTGCTTCCGAATGCGGTCCTTGAGGAGTCGCTCTTCGCGCTGCGATGGCGTCTCGTTGAGCTGCGCGAGCGACTTTTTCCGCCGCCGTTGCAACACGCCGACGCGCTCTTGGTCATGGGCGAGAGCAAGCTCATGAGGAGCACGGGCGGTCCATTGGCATGGGCGTCTGCGAGCCGCTGCCGCTCGTCATGGACCTTGGGCCCGCGCGGCGGGCTTGAGATGATGTCGTAGAGCATCGCCGCGTCGGCGGCCGAGATCTCGCCGAGCTGGTCGGCCATGGGAGAGTGCAATATCGAAAATAGCTGCTGCCCATCTAAATATATGTGGCATCCGGATGTTTATTGTTACGCGGCCGGGCGGCGGTAGGGCAGTCTGATTTGGATGCACCTGGTCAAGGTGACCGAATCGCATCTGCTTGTAGCGGCCCTCGGTATGTATACGAGGCTTGGGACATCATGGATGGCCAGCTAGAATAGCCGAATAGCCGGAGTGCTGGCTCGGTACCGAGCCCGCGATGCCGCCGACCGGCGAGACATGCCGGTGTGATCGCGTTGCACCTTCGCCTGCTGCAACAGCATGCGCCGTGCCACGGTGGCCAGAACTTGTTTGGTATCTTTGCTGCACCGTCGCAAACCACTGTGGGCGTTCCGAAGTCAGACGTTCCTTCCGTAGTCGTCAGCAATTGGCGGCGTGCACGACCTGGTTTTACATTGACCGCGACAGCTTGTCCTGCAGCTGGTCCTGCAGATCAAGTGCTGAGCAAACTGCATGCTATTTCTTCCTGTCCGACCGACCGAAGTCGCTCGCAAGCTGGCTTGCGAGGCGACAGGCTCAACAGCACAGAGAAATGATCCTCGTTGCTTCTTTCTTGCGGCTTGGAAAAGATGCATCGCACGACAATTCTATGAGTCGCATTCGAGCGTCATATAGATGATAGTACTACCTACACCTGCATGATCGCTCTGCGCTGGATCACGCACGTTCAGACTACGACGTACGAGCGTGGATACGACCGTCGCATTGAAATGACTCATTGCACCTCCTTCAAATTGCCTTGCCGCTAGACTAGGCCATCACTCTCTCCGGGCGCGTGATGCCGCGAGGAATAATCTCCGATCGCCACGTCATCGGTCCACACCGCAAAGCGACAACGGTGATCAACGTCGACCTGGCATCGCTACATGCGTCCGCTCCGCACAGTAGGACGCAACGCATCACCGAAGAAGCAACTGCGTATGCCATGACGCGTTCGTGTGGCGATCCGAATGACGTTTTCTGGTCGTCACACGACCAGATCTGCTGCTGACTAGATAGTTCGATGCTTTCTTAGTCGTCTTCTTAGTCGGCAACACACGGGCGTGGCGCGGACGGCCACTCCATGGACGAGGCGCGGTACAGCGCCCAGGCTAGGAACCTATTGCGAGAGAAACGATTTGCTGGTACTATTTGATCATTAAGCAGTGGAAGCGCTCGGCGAGGTACCGGTTGGTCCATTCTTCGTTCTCGACCGTCCTGCGCATGAAGAGACCATAGTCCTTGCTCGAATTGGCCGGCGTCGTCGCGACCGAGCACTGATCGTAGTTGCGCAGCGTGCACATGGGCAGCCCGGACGGCGTGTCGGGCATGCGCTCAAAGACCCACCACGACGCCACGTGCTCGGGCACGTCGTGTCGCAGCGTCTCGTCGTAGAGGATGCTGCGGTGCATGAGGAAGACGCGGTCACCGTCGATAAGGCGCTGGAGGCACAGCCGCCGCACGACGCCCCCCCATGGAAACGACGAGATGACAAGGTCGTCGCCAAAAAACTCGACCTATCGCCATCCATATATAAGCGCCATTACCCCACGAGGAGTATTTTACCGAGCGGTTCTCGCCCGACGTGGACGCGAGGCCGTTAAATATGGAGTTGGCGAGCGCGCGGTAGTCGGCCTGGAAGACCGCGTACTTGCGGACTTCCATGAACGCAATGTCCTGGCCTCGCTCGTCGAGCACGAGGTTGATCATGTCTTCGGTCGCGGACCGTGGAAACTTGCTGTACAAGGTCGGCGTGAGCTTCTGCAACTGGTACTGTGCGATCGCGCGGATGTGCTGGGCGCGCTGGACCGGGTCCGAGGCCAACGTATGCATTTGCCACGGATCTCGCTTCGGGTCAATGATCATCTACACGACACTTTTGAGTTGAGATGACCTTTGGAGCGCAGGGAAGGACCTCGCCCTCGGCCTGCCGCCACGTCATGTTCTTGTACAGAACGGCCTTCTCGATGAGGTGGACGACTTCGTTGAAGAGCGTGTTGCGCGTCTGCATCGCGTGGGCGAAGCGCTGCTTCTCGTCGAACGCCCGCGACTTCCACGCCGCATCGTGGATCACGGCTCGCTTCCGATTGTGCGCCATCACAAGCTGCTGCTCGAGGACGCCGACGGTTTGCTCGAGTTCGTCAATCTCGGTCTGAAAACGCTCCTTGCTGTGTTGCTTGCGCAGGCGGTCCTTCAGCAGTCGCTGCTCGCGCTGCTCTGGCGTCTCGTTGAGCTGCGCGAGGGACTTGCGCCGCTTGCGCTTCCGCGTCGGCTTGACCTTGGCCGGCAGCTTGGAGCTCGTCAAAGGAAGCATCGACGAGCCGTCTGTCGTGGACGACCTCGGACTGCTGATGATGTCGTGGAGCATAGAGGCCTCTTCCTCCGAGATGCTGCTGAGCATGAGTCGCCCGGCCATGAATGTGAAAAACGTCAACTAACCGGCTGCGGTAATCGTGATTTCAAACGTCCGTATAAATGGCGGCCTGTCTACCTAATATTCACGCGGGCGAGTCATGCTGTTGGTTGCCCCCGCGACGCAAGTGATCACGTCGTCGACCTGCTGGGTCCTCTCTGGATGCAGGATTCTGAGCTTCTCCAGGCTATCATACCGGCAGCTCACGAGGCTGCTCTGCCGTCGAAAGACGCAGCCGACACCAACGACTACTCGACACCCCACTGTATCGAGTACATGTAAACGACCGGATCCGTAGTTGGCACGCCAAGCGGTTGCGTGGCAGAGGCCGCATCGCGCAGCAAGCGGCGACAAGCCGTCCGCGACCGCTGCGCGGTGGCTTGCGGTGAGGAGCCCACTTTTCTCCGACGGCGCGCGTTCGATCGCACCCATAACTTCGAATTCAATCAATGGTGCAGTTGGTTATGGGTGTGATGATGCAGGCAATTGTTCGGCCAGAACCCATCGGTGACGACGGAGGACGCCGTGTGCTCGTCGCACTCCACCACTAATTAATAGCCAAGGATTTCATAGCGACGAATAGCCCTGCTATAAAGCTATGTGGCGGGTGGCAGACGTTGCGAACCAAGGGCCATCGTCCGTACTCGTGCTCGGTCACGGAGAGGCGCATCACGATCGCACTCCCTCATGCGTCGAATTTGCTTTACATGTATATACCACGTACGGTCGAGGCCCTTTTACCATCTCACAGCACAGTCCATTCCAATGCACTAAGCTTACTGTAGTGTAGTATCCTTTGGCGAGCCGCCACCCGACGCTTGCCAGAACGGCGTGACGTCGTCCAAGCAAAGCTGGACACGAGCATGCGACCATAGACCGCGTCGTGTTGCAGACACATGATGAGCACTCGGGTGGGCACGTGGTTGCCTTTGTCGAGGGACGTTGGTTCCAACAGAGATGCAGGGGAAAATGAAGCTCCGACTCTCATTTCTGAGCGGCAAGCGCGAGGTGACGAGACCGCTGCGATACTGTGGGATTCTCCACTGGCGACGCGTGCAATCGATGCGGATTCTGTTGGCACTTCAACACGGGGAATTCTGGAAACAGTGTTTATCTCGCAACCAGTGTTTGCAGCAACCATGTGTGCTAACAACGATTATAACAATTGACGACGCTGTTAGGAATGTGCGTCTGAGTACCGAAGTTCGAAGGTGAGCCTGGGACGAGTGAGCAGATGCCATTTGGCGTTGGTGATTTGGCCGCGGTCCATCGTCGTCTCGCGCCGCCGCCCGACTGATTGTGCCGTGTGACACGATCGCACCTGCCTCCTGCCCATGGTGATCACAGTAGCCAAAGCTGCGCTGCCAGAGGATCTCGCGCTGCTGTCCCACAACCACGAGAAGCTGCGCCCGCCGCAGGGCGTTGTCCGCGCACCGACAGCCGAGGCGACCAAGGCGGTCTCGCCCGACCGCGAAGAGCGCTTGCGCAAAGACCGCCTTCGGAAGCGCTTGAGCAAGGAAAAGTTCCAGACCGAGCTCAACCATCTCCATCGCACGTCCGTCGCGCTCGAGTACCAGCTCAGCGCCGTGCAAAAGAAGCGCCGCGTCGATGCCGAGACCGACGCGCAGTGGAGGCAGCGCGCCATCCAAGAGAAGGCTCGGCTCCACGACGCCTACGCAACAGGTCAAGCGCTATATCGCGAGCTTGTGAGCCAGATGGAGAAAGCCGTCATCTTCAAGAGCATTTGCGGTCCCACGTCCGACACCATGGTACGACATCCCCTCCTGGTTTATGCATGCACTCATGTCGGACTCGCGTAGATGTTTCTCGACCCACGCCGCGACCCGTGGAGCCTCCACACGCTCTGCAAGGACCCGGACCGGCAAGAGCATGCGCTGCGAAGTATTGCCCAGTACCAGTCGTGCAAGATTACCCCCGAGCTCTTTGCCAAGCTTCCGGGGCCGCGCGACGGCAGCTACAACCTCGTCCTCGACGAGACCGACCAGCATGTTTCGTACGTCGAGCTTTTCAAGCACGGGACCTTTGCGGCACACCACGAAGATGTGGCGCAGGCGCTGCACCGCTACTGCTTGACCGCCCATCAAGGCAAGCAGGTACCACCTATGCGTAGCGATAGAAGCCATACCTCACCAGGCTAATGTAGGTTCGGTGTGTGGACGGCACGCTGGCGTTGACCGTGTTCACGGACAAGCGGCGGCATTACGTCGTCAACTTGGTCCGCGAGAGCGACGAGCGCATGATTCTCACGCATCGAACGCTCATTTACGACGACGTGCACGGCCGCATGGCCCACGAGAGCATCGCGGGGTGGTGGGTCTGCGAACGGCTACCCAGCTTGGACGGCCATACGCCTCGGAGCGTCATGCGATGTTACGCACAAGCGTGCATCGATGTCAACACGGAGCTATCGGTCCAAGCCTACACATCGTATCTGGTCAATGCGGCCAAAGAAGACGTTGGCATGAACCAAGCGTTGGCCCAATTCCGCATCCTCTCTCTTACATAATCTAAAACGCTACTTGATATTAATATATTTATGGACGAACGTCCTCGTCGACTAACTCATGCAGACACGTTGGCCATGGGGCTCATACCGGTACCGGGGGGGGGTTGCGGGTTGACCTTCATTCCTCCCATCTCGACGGTTCAGAGGATGGCCCAGGCTTGGACACCTCACCGAGGACCGAGGATATACCATGGCAAGAGAAGCACCCGACTCAGCTTGTTCGGCAAGGCAACTGCCTGTCTGTCGTTTGCGCAGGCTCGCATGTTGGTGCTTGGTTTGTCAAGTAGGCTCCGTTCGCCGTCCGCTTGGATTTTAGCTTGGCCATAGAATATGGCATTTTACATGCATAAATACACTTTCAAAAGAAGAATATTCTAAAACCAATAGTAAAATGAATGCCTTTTCAGCGCGCAGCTTGCACCGGCAAGCGCTTTGATCGCGTCAACTTTCGATGGACGTCGGTCCGGATACGACATACTGAGCCCAAATGCGAGCGAAATGTCCGGATACGGAAGCGCACTACTGGCCAGCAAGCCATTCGCATTGCTCAACCCTTCTCGAAAGAATATGGCCCAAGCTGTCGCTGTCGCTCTTAAAGCCCTCAACCAACTCGCCTTCGCCGGCGCCGCCGTCGCTGGCGCCGCGTTCGTTGCGGACAAGTGCATCATTGATGGTATGTCGACCCGCCATGGCCGTTCTCGCGGCGTCAATTTGAGGCGAAATGCTCATATCCGCGCCACGTTGTAGTCGATGGTGGTGAGCGCGCTGTGATCTTCAACCGCTTCAAGGGTCTTTTGCCCATCAGCAAGGGCGAGGGCTCGCACTTCATCATTCCGTTCGTCGAGGTACGCTGCGTGCAAGCGCGTGTACAGTGACGCTCATGGTGCATCGTGCAGGAACCCACAATCATCGATGTCCGCACGAAGGCCCACGAAATCCCGTGCAGCACGGGTACGAAGGACTTGCAGACGGTCAACATCCGTCTGCGTGTGATGTCGCACCCTGATGTCAACCACCTCCCGACGATCTACAAGGAGCTCGGCACGGAGTACAACGAGCGTATCTTGCCCTCGATCGGCAACGAAGTGCTCAAGGGCGTTGTCGTACGTGCTCTTCTCTGCATTTTGTATGGCGCTTATGCGTTGATGTGTAGGCGCAATATAACGCCGACCAGCTCTTGACGTCGCGTGAGAAGGTCTCGGGTCAGATTTCGGAGGAGCTCGCTGCCCGCGCGGCGCAGTTCAACCTCAAGTTGGACGATGTGGCCATTACGCACTTGACGTACGGCAAGGAGTTCACGGAGGCCGTCGAGCAGAAGCAGGTGGCCTTCCAGGAAGCCGAGCGCTCCAAGTTTGTTGTCATGAAGGCCGAGCAGGAGCGTCAGGCCGCCATCATCCGCGCTGAGGGTGAATCCGAGGCCGCCAAGTTGGTCTCGGAGGCCGTCGCCAAGAGCGGTTCGGGCTTCATTGAAGTCCAGCGCATTGATGCTGCCAAGGAAATCGCCGAGGCCCTCTCCAAGTCGCGCAACGTGTCGTACCTCCCCAACAGCAACGGCGGTGGCATCTTGCTCGGCTTGAACACCGAGTAAACGCAGGAGTAGATGAAAAACCAAGGCTTGTTCAAAGTAGTCGTAATACACAGTCCCCTTTTGACAGTCTTACTCCAGGGATTTGCCGCTTCGAGGCAAAGCGTCCTCCCCAGGCGATGGCACGTGCAGTCGGTGTCGACATTGAGCTGCCTAACCACACGCTTGCGGGGCAAGCAGCAACCAAAGAGGAGGCACGTAGATAATTCATGAATAACAATCGTTTAGTAGTAGTAGTTTCACACGGGCGGGCGGCGGTCGTCGCGGCCTAGTTGGCCGCGGGCTGGTTCTGAGCCTGGGCGAGCGCCTGCTGCGCCTCCCATTCCTTCTGCCGCATGACGTTGCGCGTGTACATGACGTTGAAGCCGCGCGTGATGTCGTAGAGGCCAAAGGCCGTCGCGCCGAGGAGGCCCGTGACCACGGCCTTGTGCACGACGTCGAGTACCTTGCTGCCGGCCATTGCTTCGTCGGTGGAGTTTTTTATGACGAAACCTGGTGAAGTACCAAGTGGCCGCCCATCGTTTTCATTGGTTAAAAAGCGTCATGTCGACGCGACCGCTCATTGGCTGTTTTTTGTAACGCGCGTATTTTTTCCACATCCCTCTATCAACGCATATTCAAGAGCATGCGATGATAGAGGCTCTAACAGCTGCAAGAAGATCGCGCGCGCAGACGACGTCGGCGGCCTTCGACGCGTCCCGCCTTGTTGCATGGCATACTCGGATCAAGAGCAGCATGGTCTCCCACGCTTTTCACCGAGAAATAACGCGTTTTACGCAGGGTTGGCCCGGCCCACCACGCGTTGCACTTGCCTGTAACGTGCACTTTAGCGCGCCAAAGAGTCACCCACGACCGGCGACGGTATCCACGCGCTCCATCTTCTAGTCTGCCATCATACGACAATAGTGTACACTTCTCATCAGTTAACTTAGGACATGGTTCCATAGTAGGACGGGCGCTTTGCGGCGCGAGGCGGGAGCGTCGTTTCGGGCGCCGCCGAGAGCATCGCGGCGGTGACGTCGACGTGCTCGGTGGACTTGCGCGTCGAAAAGACGACGAGCAGCGTCCCGAGAATGACCATCAAGCCGCCAATCATCGTAAGCGCGTGCGGCACATCGGCCGTGCCCGAGAGGAGCGAGAAGAGCGTCGCAACGATAGGCTCGAGGAGCATCGTGACCGAGATGACGAGTGGCGGAAAGTACCGCATCGCGTTGATAAAGCCCATGGTGCCGAGGCCCGAGCAAACGACAACGATGAGGACTTCGGTGCCTAGATGGTGGACCCACCCAAAGAGGCCAAGCCTCGGGTCGGTCGAGACTTGAAACTCGACTTCCAGCGCGCACAGCAGCGGCAAGATGAGCAGCCACGCCGTTGTAAAGAGGAAGGCAACAAAGACCCACACGCCGAGCTTCTCGCGCAGTACTTTGGCATTCACGAGGTAAAAGACGCCACCGATAGCACCAGCGAGCGCGACCACATCGCCTCGCAGCGTCGGCTCAATCACTGTCGAGAGCGAGGTGGACGACGACGCGCTTTCGCTGTCCATGGACGTGAGCGCGCCGCCAAGCGCCCCGAGAAATGCCCCAGACGACTCGAGCGCTGCGACGGGCTGTCCGAGAAAGCACTTGCCAAAGACGATGAGCACCGAGTGGCAGTTGCTAAAGATGTAGGCGTGGCCCACGGACGTGTGGTCCAGCGCATAGAAGAACGTGGCGTTGTACGTCAAGTACGAGACGATGCATACCATCGCCTCCAGCACAACGAGACGGGGCGACTGCAGCATCGGCCAGCCGTCGCGGAGAACTGAGACGAACGCGAGAGCGCTAAAGACACAGGACGAGCCAAACGCGCGCCAGAACATCTTGAGGAAAGGCGAGATGCCGCTGAGCGTTTGAAGCGCCGCGCCTTGGGCGGAAACGCTCAGAAGCGCGGTGAGGAGGATGAGGTACCCGACGAGTGGCACTTGCTTCTGCACGGTGAGCCGCACGGCGATTGCGCCGTCGCCCGTCGTCGCTTCGAGCGCGACGTCCACGACATCCGACGGGAGTTGGGATCGGCGCCGCATCGGCCCGTCGGGCACGGCCAGCACAAAATTCGATGCTGACGACTGCTGAATCAAGAACGCGCTCTTTGGAGGACTCGATGTCGCCGAATCCGGCAGCGGCATCGATACGGAAAGCTCGTTGCGTGGGGACGATGAGACGTGCGTCGGCAGTGCGCACTCGTGGACCTTGAGACTCAGGCGCGGCAGGAGCGGCGACGTGGCCGTGACGCGCGTCGTGGCTACGTCAACGATGAATCCTTGGAAGGCGTCGCGCGCTGTCTCGGATGCATGCGACGACGGCGAGCTGCCGACCGAGAGGAGAACGCTTTTGCGCGGCTTTTGGGGCGAGAATGCCGCAGGGAACGTAAACGGCGAGAGCGTCGCCGCGAGGTTGAATTCGACCGCGTGCAGCAGTTGGTCGTCCGAGTCGACGCCAAACCAATTGCAGTTCTCGGTCGTCGACATGACTTTGAGGCTGCGAAAGCCAAAGGCGAGCGCCTCGGGTAGCGAGAGTGCATCGGTCCCGTGCAGAAGGTTCTCGAGCACGAAGAAGATCTTTTGCGAGACGATGTAGAGCCCGGCATCGACACCGTTGTAAGACGCCAAGTCCCGACCGATGCGAACGTTGGTGTTGTTGCCGGTGGCCACTTGAACACGCACCTACAACACGCGATCAGGCGACGAATCCGAAGCGGTGCATCGTAGTACGGTGGACGGGTGCATGCGCTGCGCCAAGTCCATACGCGTCTCGGCAAGCATGCAAATGCTGCGCGTTGTCTCATAGAACGCAAGAAAGCGCTCGAGAAGGCCCTTATCAAAGACGCGATCGGGCGCGTGAATGAGAAACGGACCCGACAAGAGGTGTCGACCCGCCAGAAGCGTCTCCGGCACCGACTCGAGCACGGATTGCGGAAGCTCGAGGTACTCGAGGTGCAGACACGCGGCGAGTGGTGACTGCGCCAAGTGCGCGCGGACTTCGGGCTGGTTGGCAGGTACGGCGAGCACAACCCGCGTGATACCTGCCAAGAGCAGCTGCGAAAGCGCATGCTCCAGTATCGTCCGTCGCTGTAGCTGTTGCAGCGCGAATGGGACGCCGTAGAACGTCGTCTTGCCCGATGTGAGCACGAGCGCCTCCAGCGCCGAGGCCTCGCCGTTCGCGTCGCAGTCCGCATCGCTCGCAAGCACGACACCATGCATCGCCGCGTGTCGGTCGCCACGCATCCCGTCGACGAGCTCGTCGAACGAGATGCCAGCGAGCGAGCTCGCGCGCTCGAGGTCCACGGCGAAGACCGTCGCGTCCATAGCCACTCGAGATTCGAAAAAATGGCAATTCGGAAAAGGGCAGCCGTTCGCGCACCAATCAGATGCGAGAACGCCCGATCCAAAGGGTACGAGGAGGCGCGTCTCGGGCACGTGGTGAGATGCGCCTCAGCGACGCGGACAACTCGGAAAGCGAATCCAAAATCTCGGAAAACGAAGCCAACATCTTAAATGCATCGCTTCGTTCACTTGGCTCGTATCGAGGGTTGTGGATGGCTTTGCAAAAGTCGTCTATAAAATACAAGGTCTCTAGGCTACTAGCCCCATGCGATAATGATTTATGGCGACGACGAACATCCTCGTTTTGGTTATACTACAGCCGCAATGTATAGGGATCCCGGCACGGAAAGCGAGGTTAACATGATCCAAACTTGTTGTGCCAAGTCTCGTACTTGCGCAGAAACTGGTGTGCCGACGGCTTTGTCTTCTCCAACGCGAGCTGAATGTCGTGCGGCTGAACCTTATCGAGCAGACCTTGCCAGTTGTCTAGCCCGACAACACCAACTTAGTATTCAAAGGCGTGCGTAAAGGTACCGTGTTGCTCGTGGCGCGTTTGGTTGCCCCCGGCGTTGGCTTCAATTGCCTCGAGCTTGTCCATGAGTCGGCGCACAGGTGCCATGCACGCTTCTTTGGCGACGAGCTTGATGTCGGCGCCCGAATAGCCCTACACACAGCGCCACTCGGTCGTCGTGCTATTGCATTCACGACGTGCAGACCTCGGTGCGAGACACCGTGTCACTAAAGTCGAACTGTGGCGCAATGTACGATGCCAAGAGCTCCTGAAACATGTTTGCGCGCGCCTCGGCCGACGGTAGCCCGACCAGAACGCGCTTCTCGAGGCGCCGAAGCATCGCTGCGTCCAGCTCCCACGGTAAATTACTTGCTGCAAGGACGAACACGACCTCGCTCGACTTGGCAAGACCATCCATCTGCGTTCGCTCTGACACCTTGTCCGTTGAAGTATCATTTCGTACTTGGATGAGGAGTTCTGTCTTCATGCGTCGACTCGCTTCGTGCTCTTGGCCGCCGCTGGATTCGCCACGCTGACCCATGATCGAATCGATTTCATCAAGAAAGATCGTTGACGGCGCATGGTACCTAGCGGCTGCGACCTTGAGAGACAAGAATCGGGTGACACGACGCACCGCGCGAGCTCAAAGAGCATGCGCACGAGCTTCTCCGAGTCGCCGCGGTACTTGCTCACGATCGAAGAGCCCGAAATATTGAAGAATGTCGTCTTGCACTCGGTCGCGACGGCTTTGGCGAGCATCGTCTTGCCGTTGCCCGGCGGTCCGTACAGCAGAATTCCGCACCTGCCTCAAAAATCAATCAACTATCAAGTGGATTGGACGATACCAGGGCGAAAGAAGGCCTTTAAAGAGCTGCGGGTATCGGATCGGCATGACCACAGCTTCCTTCAAGAGACGTTTTGCGTCGGTCAAGCCCACCACATTGTCCCAATGCACATTGGGGTTTTTCTGGAAAATCTCTCTAGACAAGATACATACAGCACCAAATCTTTCCTACGTCGCACCGTGTGATGGTCTCGGCAAGCGGGCGCAGCTCCGAGTCGTGCATAAAGGGTAGCGGCTTGAGAAGACTAGACAAGAGCAAGACTTTGGAGTTTGCCCACGCCAGTCGCCTCGTACCGGTCTTCAACCGAGTCTTCGTCCTCTTCATCCGGCTTGGTGTCCTAGCTCCATTCTCAAAACCCCAATTTTCATAGCAGCGACGGCGCACATTTGACTTCTTGGTCGACTTGGTCGTGCGCTGCGCAGGCTTTTGACCCACGAGACCCAACGACGCGATGCTCTCCGCCTCGTCCACCGCTACGGCGTGTCTGGATCGGTCGTCTCCACGTGCTCTTCAACATACCTGGTTTTCCGCTCCTACGCATCAATGGTACCCTATTTCGCGCATTCAGCTGACAACATACGTGGTCGGCAAGGCGCCAATGCAGTTGGAGACGGCCTTGAGCGCTGCATTGTTCTCGACGCGGGCTTCCGTCGGCATGTGCGGCGACGAGTAGCTATTGCGCTTGTTGCGCTTCTCAAGGGCCGCCTTCTTCTCGTTAAACTGTGTCGCCTTGACCTTTTCCTCGTCGCCCGTCGTGCGGCGCACGAGCTTGGGCTTTTTGGAAAATTTCAGCTCGTAAAAGTCTTCAAATTCCTACGACCCGCCGTCGTCTTAAAGCAGCGATGGGGATGGCGTACTTGAACGATGCGGAGCAAGTCGATATTGTCGACGACTTCAAACTTGGAGAGTGCGATGCCGGCTTCTTGCTGAAGCTTCTCGGCGGTTTGGAGGTACCCGTTCTCGGTGCAGTACTGCAGCATGAGCACGAGCACATTCCGCTTCCGGTCAATCGCCGTCTTCTCCACCTAAGTTACGACAAGCGCGTAATCTCGCGCAAACCCTTGCCGCAGATGGTCTACCGCCAGGCGGCTGTCGTTCTGCGCCTTGAGCTGCAGCAGCGTCGACATCGTAGTGCCGTTTCGCAACGTGAAAAATTAAAAAATACATCTCTACACGAACTACAGCACGAAGCGCTTCGGGTCAAACGGCTCGAGGTCGATGCTTGTGGCTTTGCCATTCAGAACGAGCTCGGCCATGGCGAGGCCGGACCCTGTTGCATTGAGGAGCCCCCAGCAGCTGTGGCCCGACGAGACGAAGACACCTTCGCGGAGCATGCCCATGATGGGCGTGTAGTCCTTCGTCTGCGGCAAGTAGCATGCGTTGGTAGCTTGGATCGAGTTGGGGCTGTGCGTGCGGCCGCTGAACTTGGAGAGACCGTGCAAAATCTCGGCGACCGACGAGGCGTCCGGCACCACGTTGGCGGCGCTGGATGGCAGCGGCTGCGGCACGTGCGCGCCGCAGACGAACGCCGTCCCGTTCGCGCGCGGCACAATCTCGAGCTCGTCTTCGCTGTTGGCGACAATGCCAAAGACCACGCGTGGGTCCCATGACGGCGTGTCGTCATCGCGTACAATGACGCTGTGGATCTTGTGCGTCTGCGGTGGGTTAATGTTGGGGTAGTCGCACTCGGCCGAGAGCATGCCCGGTGTCCACGGTCCCATAGCAAGCACGACCGCGTCCGCGTCGAGGCGACGACCGTCGCCGAGGAGCACGTTGGCGCCATCGAGCTTGTGGACGCGGCCCTGGAGAAAAGTGCACTTGCCTGTCGACATGGCGCGGTCCATCATAAACTCGGTAAAGTCGCGAGGGTAGAGCTGCGCCATGGTCACATGCTCCGGATCCGTTGTGCCCATTGGCGACGCCTTGAGCACGCTGCTGTCGATGATCCAGTTGGGTACGACGGCCGACTTGATGGCGATGTTGGCCTTGGGCTTCTTTGTCGATGGATGGGGCTTGACGACGCACGAGATGGCATCGACGACGCGGTAGCCGTAATACAGAGCGCCGTCGTGCTTGGCAGCGAGCTCTTGATGGAGGCGAAAGCTCAGCCGACAGAGGTCGTCGACATCTTCACCTTGGCACCAATCGGCCGCGAGGAAGCCGCCAGCCTTGCCCGAGGCCGCAGCTGCGACACCGATCTCATCGACAACGACGACTTCGACGTCATCGTTGGCATCGCGGTTGGCATGCGTGAGGAAGTAGGCGAGCGTGCAACCCACGGCGCCACCGCCGCAGACAACGACCTTCATGGAGCTCGTCGGGCGCAAATCTTAATCTGGCGACAAGTTCGCTCGAATTTAGTGTGTCCCACTCTTGTGTGCTGGACTTTTAACAGGACGCGTTGACGTCCCACCCATACACTATATACATTATCTAGAATAGTGTCACATGCCAGACCCTCAACGATGCAGCGCGGTGACGCGACGCAAAGCCAAGCATCCATACGATGGGCATCTCCCACGTCGGCCGCGTCGTGGCGGTGCGACGCCGCAGTCTCTCCACGATCGGTCGCTCTCTTTGACACACTATTTCCGGTCGCTGCCATGTCGAGAGCGTTTGTGGCCGGCTGTATCCGGATGGCGTCAGTTTTCCCGAGCTTCCGCGTCGCGATGGGCCTTTTGGAGGATGTGCGGGTACGCCCGCGACGACGATGGCGGCTGCGTGACGCATGGCGTAGGCGCCGGTGACGCTGGGCATTGTGGTCTTGATCCCTCTTCTATGGCTCCTCGGCGCACTGCTGACGCCAACCAACCAGCATGGCGTCTTTGCGCTCTCGATCGCGAGGTAGACATCATTGGCACCCACGTGCGCTCACGCCGCCGCCGCCGTGTCCAGCGTCATTCTAGAGCACATTCGCCCATGGGCCTACTTGACGGCGCCCTTTTACCACCAGTATTTGTGGGAGGTACGACTACGAACGTGCTTCACGGACAACTCGAGTGTGCTCTATTAGGTCGTGTGCATCGTGCCTCTCACGGTCCTCTTGGGCGTACGCGTCGAGAAGCACTTGGGGTCGCTTGCGATGGCGCGCCTCGTGCTCTTTGTCGGCGTCGTCTCGACCGGCCTGCTCTTTTGCGATATGTTTGCGTTGTACATTGTCTTCCGCAACCCGTTCTTCCTGTATCTCTCGACACAACTTGGTTCTGGCCGCTCAGCCTCGTACTATGGCGTAGACGCACCGGAGTCTCTGGCTTTACGGGCGGCCTCGTCGCGCTCCTCGTCGCGCTCACGCATGAGAACCCGAATCAAACGCTTACATCCCGAAACTCGCCGTCAAGGTACGCTGTGTCTCTTGCAGTGGTGACGCACGTGTTGCCGTTAGCATCACCCGCTCTTCGTGAGCTTTGTTTGCATGACGTTGACGCTCGGTGCGGTCGTGACGAAGAGCGAGGTGCTCATCGTTGGCGCGGGGCCGTACGCGGTCTCGGGCTTGTACTTTGGCTGGGTCTACCTCCGCTTCCTCCGCTTCCTCCACAAAAACCCAGTGGGCAACACATCCGACGGCTTTGCGCTGACGGTGTTCTTCCCGTCCTTCCTCAAGTACGTCAGCACGAGACTGTACCGTCGACTGACATGCCTCCTAGGTCGACTGTCGGCGCCATTGCGACCTTTTGCTACAGCGTCTGCAAGCTCCTGGGTTTCTTCAAGAACCGTCAAGACGGTGCGGGCAGCCTCCCGGTTGTGGCGGTACGACCATCCTGTGGTGTCGATTGGTACTCACTTTGCACCGTAGCCAACAGCGGATCCGATCACCGAGCGCCGAAAGTAAGATGGTTGCACTCTTGAGTTCTCACCCGAGGCGGCGTAGGGCTCGTGCGATGAAGGCTTTGGACGAGAAGCTCGCCAAGCTCGCCAACCCGGACGCCAAGATTAACTTTGACGAGCAGATGACCGTGTAACCCTCGCCTCAATCGACATCTTGTCCTGACCCCCGTTGCGTCTACCCTACCTCGCTGCGCTTTCTCAGCCTGTCCTGGTCCGAGGTATTACTAGCATCGAGGTGGTCGTGTCCATGCAAGAGGCGTCTATGGGTGCATATATATATGGCGGCGGCGCGCGTGCTTAGTTGAACAATTGCGACACCGACTTCTTGCCGTGGATGTTGAGGATCGCCGAGGCCAAGAGCGGCGCAACGTCGAGCTGCTTGATCTTTTCGTTGCCGACGCACGAGGCGGGGAGCGGCGTCGTGTTGAGGACCACGACCTGCTTGAGCGCCGACGCCTTGATGCGCTCGCTGGCCGGGCCGTTGAAGAGACCGTGCGACGCAAACGCATACACGTTGCGCGCGCCGTGGTCCGCCAAGTGCTGCGCGGCCTTGCAGAGCGTGCCGGCCGTGTCGATCATGTCGTCGACGATGATGCAGTCCGAGCCGCTGACGTTGCCGACAAGGTCCATGCTGCCAATCTCGTTGGCGCGGACGCGCTGCTTGATGATCATGGCGAGGCCGACGTTTTCAATGCCTTCCTTACCGACGAGCCACTCGCGGAACTTCTTGGCGCGGGCGACACCACCGGCGTCGGGCGAGACGACGACAGGGTTCACGAGCTCCATGTTGCCAAAGTGCGAGACGCCGACGAGACCACCATCCAGGTTATCCACGGGGACACGCGGGCCAAAGAAACCCTGGATCTGGCCGCAATGCAAGTCGACGGCAATGACACGGTCGACACCCATGGCCTCCAAGAGGCGGGCAACATCGGCCGCCGAGATCGGGACACGCGCCGCCATCTTGCGATCCTGGCGAGCATAGCCGTAGTACGGGATCACGGCGGTAATGCGGCGAGCCGACGCGCGACGCATCGTGCTGACCATGAGGAGGAGCTCCATCAAGTTTTCGTTGACGGGCACGCACGTGGGCTGGACAATGTAGACGTCCTTGCCACGGACGTTTTCATGGACCATGACATTCACTTCGCCGTCGGCGAAGCGCTCGACGGTGATCTTGCCGAGGTTCACGCCCACGAGCTCCGCGACCTTGCTCGCCAGCGGCGAGTTGGCATTGCCGCTAAAGATCTTGAGGCCGTTCATCTTGGGCTGCTTCTCGGGCACGATGATCGTGGACGGGACCGACGACAGCTCCGACGGGCGGTTCGAGGTCACGAGGCCCATGCCGAGGCCGACGCCCATGGCGGTGACGGCGTACGGCAAATGCGGACGGACGCTGGCGCGGAGGCGGTGGAACATGGTGGTATCTTCGGAAGTTGAGATGTGCCAGCGGACGTTGGCCCCACAGGTACCATATGCTGGGATCCATAGAACTCTTCACCACACAATCTCCCTACAAATTTCAAGTGTAGCTAGATCGTTGGTCCATACGCTGACATTCAGACCCATGTTTCATAATCTCAACGCAGACGGGTCAATTGGAGCACGATGTGGCGCGCCGCACTTGGCATTTGTATCGTCCCCTTAGGCCAGACGTTGCTTTGGACCTCAATTGAGTTTGTGCGGCCAAACGACTGCCGATTGGCGCAGTCAACGTGGGACAATCCATGACGGCGGCGCGCAACGGCCAAGTCCGACCACGAAGAGCGCGTGCGACGCTCGCTCCAAGGGCGAACGACGCTAGCGACGCCGCCTCGCCATCCTTCGACTGCATTCTAGACGATATTACATACTCCGATGCCAGCTCTTGCCTTGCAGCTCTCCGCATGAGCTCTCGTGTCGCCTCCTCTTCTGGCAAGCAACGATGCGTGAACACGGATCCATGTAGCACATCATGCACCTGTGAAAGCTGCTTGTGAATGGCGTCGGCAAGTTGCACTTGGGTTGATAGGTGGATTGCCCGCGCCAACCTGAAAATGAAACTCAAACGTATCCGAAAGAACAACGCTGTCGTTATCGCACGCGATCACATGATTGGTTAAAAAGAAAACGATGGGGATTGGCTGAAATCAAGATCTTTGCCGAGAATTCCAGCGCGCGACGGAGTGCGAGGATGACCAGCAACCCCATGACGACCAAGCGGTACGCGGGCGCTAGGAAGACGACATGAGCTCATGCACCTCCATGCAGAACCCGAACGGAAGCTCTCCATGGACCCATCTCCGTGGAAGACGCCAAGGTACGAGCATGCGCCGTGATCCTCCTGCAGCTCATGCGCAGATCTACCTGTGTTTTGGGGTGCGGGAAGTCGACGGGATGCAGCAAGCTCGACAAGAGATCATCGATTACGACGGGCGGCGTCTTCTTCGGTCCCCCGTGCTCATATGTAGCCCTCCATACGTCATGCTTCGTTCGTTTCCATGCCCTACAGGTGACAGTGCTATTCCCATCGTATCCAGCCCCTCCACCAAGGAGATCGAAGCCGTGGTCCTGCCCCATGTCATCCCTCCCGACGACGACTTGCCGCTTAAGAAATTGCCTCGCACGCGCTCAGTGTGCTCGGACGAAGCTTGTCCTTGTGAACGCTCATGCACCAAGCTCCAATCGGAGCTGCGAAAGAAAGACGCGCAGATCCAATCCCTCAAGGTAGAGCAGACTTGATGTACCGTACACGAGGATACACTCTTGCACGTAGAATAGCATGAAGGAGCTCCAAGCTCGGTACCAGCGCGATACGCAGCAGCTCCAACGCGTGGGATCCACCATGACCTCTTTGCGAGAGCCCATGTGACCATCCATTAGACCATGGACACGGTGACGACGCACGCAAATGCAAGCGAGAAGCTCCGCACCAAGCAGTCCCGCGTGCTCAAAGCCGTTTGCTATCTATCCCTCGACGACCACGTACGGTTGCTAATGTCTTGTCCTAGTCGCTTCAAAAGGCGTCGGCCAACTTGAGCTACTATCTCAACCAAAGCTGAATTACGGGCACAATGGTTGCCCAAAATCATCGTCGTCGATGCGTATCCGCATGGAAAACTGCTCGCCGAGAAGCACGTCGCCGCCTGGCACGTTCAGATGTACCGCAACGTACGACTCGCCTTCGGTGTAGCAGTTGTCGTTCATGATGGGCACGGGAATTGCAATCGAGGTGACGCCGGCAGCGAACGTAACTTCACCAGACGTTTGCTGGTACTTGCCACACTGCTCGCGGTTGGGTATGAGCATGCGCAAGCACTGCGCAAAACGAAGCGCGTCGACGCCCCGTGCATCCAAATCGCTCGTCGCGTACCTACACGCACATCATCATTAGGGCTGTCGTGCAACTATCGCCGCCGACTCGATCGTGAGTGGTGCCGTCGAGTTCCCGGCGCGAAGCAGCATGACAATCGCGTGGCCGTTAACATCGTTTTCCTTGACGCCGACTTCTTTGGCCGCGACCGAGACTTGCAGGAACTGCGTGTTGAAGATGTACCCGAGTCCAATGTTGTTGACCGCAGCGGCGCCGGGACTTCCGACGGCGACATGGCCCATCGTGACTGACACGGCGTACCCAAACTGGGCGCCCGCGGCTTTGTTGACTGCCTGGAGCTTGGCGGTTTCCCGACCTGGCCAGCGTGGCGGTAAGAGGACATTGCCTAGCGCGTCGCGCTCAGCGGGGATGCGCGAGTACACGTAGATGGAGCCGGTCGCAGGCTCGCCAACAATCGAGTTGTTGAGGTTGACGCCAGCTTGGCCATACGCGCCGACGATGGCTGTGCCATTGACGTCGTCGATGCTGACGCTGAAACCGAACATGTCGTGGTCGCGCTTGTCGCTTGCAACAAGTCGCGCCTGGAGCATCCACGCGCACTGCAGCTTTGGAACACCGCGACAGACGCCGTATGCAGTCGACGACGTACTTCGATAAAACACATAGGCGACGCCCGCCAGTTCAGTGGTTGCTTGCTCGATCGGCCAGTCGAAATCGAACGCATCGACGTTGATGTGACCCCAGAACGCGCTCTCGGAGGCGTCGACGATGCGAATTTGCGCCGTGCGGTTCATGTATTGCGACACAGTCCAAGTCACTGAGTGCAAGCGCTCCGAGCAGCGTCCTGTGCTCTTTTGCACCGAGATGCCGTCAATGAGTAGCTCGACATAGACAGTTCGGAAGGTGCAGCCCCCGCCAATGCGAAAGCGGATTCGACTGCCGCGAATCGAGAACGGCTGCGACGTAAGGGTGCCCTGGGGGCCGTCACCCTGGACCGTACCCGCAATGGCAGTCCCCGGTACGGCGTTTTGGTTCGCAGCGCAGTCACCGTTCAAAAAACCACAGGAGAATGGTGTCGGGTTCTCACTCTGTCCAGCCCCTGGACGCGCTTCGTACGTGCCAAGCCAGTAGCGGCCCTCAAAACCAATGACGCCGAGACCTTGGCGCTGCACCCGACTCGAGGGCCCGGGGAGCGCGCGCGGACGTTTTCGCCAAACGTCGGCTGCTGTAAAAACGCATTACCTGTCTGCACCCAGCCGGTGAGATCCCCCGTCTCGAAATTCCATGTCGTCGTGACGAGCGCCGACGAGCCGTAGGCGCCAACGATGATCGAGTCGCCATCGATGTCGACGTCGGACCCAAACCGGTCTGCGTGGTTGCCGTCGGCAGCCGCTAGCTGCTGGTGAAAGGTCCATGTCCCGAGTGGCGCAATGGTAGCTACAGTGATCTGTCCGGCGGGGTTGGCTGCATACCTATCATTGCAATGATTAGACTCACTGCACCACACGCATTCGGATACCCGCTGTTGAGAGGTGTACACGAAATACACCCGTGACCATTCCACGTGACCACAAAGGTGGGCACGGTCGTGACTTCCGACAGCATGGTCACGGTCCACGTAAAGCCTTTGACGATGCTGCCCGTTCGCACGACGTGTACTTTGGGCAGTAGCTTCTCGAGCGCTGCCGCCAAGTCGACGGCCGCAATCTCGTAGCTGAGAAGCGCCGTCGACGCGGCGCCAATTGACAAGACAAAGTGTCCCGCCGTCAACGGCTTGTCGGCGCGTAGCGTGACTTGCTGCACTTGCGCCGGAAGGTAGTAGACGTATGCGGCGCCGGTGCCCAGATAGGCCGCGTCGTCGACCCGCGTGGGGCCGTACTTGGCCAATGGCGCGCCAACGACCAGAGTCCGCGGGGCAAGCGCAACCGACGCGCCAAACCCGAATTCATGAACAACATTCTGCAGATACACAAGGTCGGTGGCGTAGTCGGAGGCGCGCAGCACAATGGCCGGCTGCCACGTGTTGGCAATCAAGGTGTACAAGAAGGTGCACTCAAGACCGGCGGCCCCCACGACAATGTGATATCCGTGGATCGCGACGGCGTTGGCGGCCGCATACTTGGTGTTTACTGAGACTGCCGTCGGTTCGCCAAGCTGCGTCTCGAGCGTCCACATTCCCAGCGCAGAGTTGCGCGTATAGACAAACGCAGCCGGCGACGGGCCACTCGGTGCGCCCACCACGAGGCGAGTCGTGCCGTACGAGGCATCGATCGCCAACGATGTACCAAAGGCCAGCCCCTCGCTGCACGTCGGCGGTCTCAACGTGGCTTCAACCGCCCAGATGCCACTGGTCGCGCGATAGACAAAGACGGCGCCGCACACCGTTTGGCTTGTTGGATCGAACTGCGTCGGTGCACCCAGCGCCGCCAAGCTGCCGCCATCGAGGAGCGCGATGGCAGATCCCAGCCGCGACGGCGCACTGCCCGACAACATGGCCGTGTACGAGGTGGTGCCAAAGCCACCATCTCCGTTGTCGAGGATCGTGATTTGCGACCAAAATTGGCTTGGATAGCTGGGCCACATGCCGGGCACGCTCAGGCGCACGTTGATGGTCTCGTCGGGCGACTCGAAGACCATGTCGTCGGTCGTCGGAACGACAATGGACGCCGACACATTGTTGGGTGGAAAGAGCAGCGCCACATTCGTGGGCGTGTAGTCCGAGAGACCTTGGTAGTCAAATTGTGCGTCAACCCAACGCGACCGCGTCTCGGGGCTGCCGTAAAACTGGGCGCGGCTATTGGCGGTGCCGACCCACGAACGCCGCAGGTAGCGTCCGGACGGCACCTGCGGGTATGGCTCGGGGCCGTTTACATTCGGATAGTACGCTGCGCCTGGCGTCGAGGCCGTCACGTCTAGCATCGCGAGCTGCTGGAACGGTCCAATGTACTTGCGCTGTCTCGCCGGCACGAAGTTGGCGCCTGCCAGATCCGAGATCGCGTCGCCCGTGTCCACATTGATGTATCGCGCCGTTGTGCTACAAAGAAGGCGTGAACGAGGCAGATCGATCACACACGAGACATACATTGGTGTCAGCTTGCACGCGAGGCCAAGCGGCCCGCAGCGCTGAATCGGCACCGACACCGACGCGCCTTCGAGCACGCTGTACACTGGCGACGAGAGCGCAACGTCGAGGAACCCCAAGTCGAAGATGTAGCCCGCGCCGCTGTTGACGTGGGAGAAGCGCGTGTCGGCGTTCGGGGCGCCAACGATCGCATTGGCGCCTGTCCGGGCCATGGCCACCGCTCCCCAAAAAAACTACACGACACAGTCGACGAGGAGGCAGACGACGCGCTAGACGCACCTGAAGAACTGCTTGTGGGTCGGACGCAACGTGGCTTGCTCCGTCCACGAGGCGCCCGACCGCACAAACACATAGACGTCACTACGCACGATCGGTGGGACAGCCACAAGCACCGACGCTGCGATACGAGCGCTACTGCCCACAAGCTTAGACCCGTCGACGCGAAGCTTGTGCACGTTGCCCGTGGCGCCGGCGAACGTGATGTACCACGTACACCCGCCGTTCGCATCGGGGCCAAGCCGTTGGACGACCAGCGCACCTGTCTGTAGCGACGCCTGCAGCGTCGTTTGAAGCGCGACGGCACTCACGTCAAATGGAATCGGCGGCGAGTATCTAGCGTTGCAAGTCACAACAACGATACCGCGAGGTGAGTCGTACATGTAGTCGGTGGCGTGGCCGCGTCGGGACTGGTGGTACCCGACGCGAAAGGTGCTGCCGGCTTGGATCGGAGTCGCCGCCGACGTCGTGATGGTTTGGACAGCCTTGCGCACCGTGCGCGGAGTGCTGAAGCCATACTTGGCGTTGGCGCCGACAAGAAGAACGTTCTGCGCGACGGCGACGCTGTGTCCAAACCCGTCGTTGGCGCGCGCGTTCGACGCCGATACTTTTTGCTGCAGTGTAAAGTACATGTCTGGTAGCGTGTAGATGTAGACGGCGCCCACTGCGCTGCTCTGCGCCGCGGTGCCCACGACCAGCGTCGACGTGGTCATGTCGAGGTCCAGCGCGCTCCCAAATCCATCGCCGAGCTGCAAGTCGGCCGCCTACCACGACATTTCCGACTCGCTTCACCAGGGCAAAAGCGGAATGTACTTGAATCGTTTCGTGGGCGATGAACACGCCATTGACACGGACATAGACGAAGACGGCGCCGAGGCCACCACCGTAGCCAGGCGCGCCGACAACAATCCTCGCACCCGAGATCGCGACGGTATCGCCAAACCGGTCGCCTTTCTCGCCAGCATACGGCGCACTCGTCAGGATTTGAATCTACGAGGACGCGGTTTTGTCTCGCTGTGCATCATTGCAAGGTCGACCTGGCTCCACGTGACGCCGTTGTACTCGTAGACGTACACTTCCCCGATCGAGCTGCTTGCGCCGGGCGCGCCCACGACAGCCAGATTGGTTTCGATGCTCGCACTCGCCCCCAGCTCGCTCGCACTTGCACCCGAGTCGCTCGTCGGTGTAAACTTGGCCACTTGAGTCCACGCACCGGTGGAATCCGACACAAAAAAGTAGGCCCCGCCACACGTCACGCCTTTTGCGCGAGCCCCGTCGAGTCGGAAAGAACCCACGGTGGTCTCGAGCACGGTCACCGTCCCCGGCCCCCCACCACTGGTCAGCTGGGTGCCGTCTACGCCTCGAATCTCGTTACAAGTGGAGCGTATGCGGCCAACGCACCAGCGACAAGGTTGGGCAGATTGCCCTCCGCATCACTCAAGTCGGGCGTTGAGAACGTGATGGCGACGCCCACGCCGTTGCACAGCGCCGTATACGCGGCCACGCTAAGCAGCCTTTCGGGTACGTTGAGAAGCGCGGCCAGTGTCGCTTGAAGTGTGGCCTACCATGCGCTTACTCAGCACCCGCCGATATCGCTAGGAGGGAAGCAGACCGCAGATGCTGCAAACGAGATCGGCGCGGACGTCATCCCGAGAAACGCGAGGGTAAAGGTCCCGCCGTCGGCCGTGCACAATAATGTCTGCACCTCTTTGTGACCTCGGTCCACCTACGCAATGTGCACTTTGACTCTTGTTCAAGGCTTCGACATGTACCGCATACGGCGCGCCAACGACAATCTGGGTGCCAGCCACGTTGACGGCGACGCTCGCACCAAACTGATCGCCCAGCTGCGTGTCGTCGCCAACCAAGACGCTCGTCGCGACCCAGTGCTGGTTCTTGGGCACGAAAACCGTGGCGGAGCCCGCGCTTTGACCCGGTGTATTGCCGTACGCGACAGCAGAGCTCGCCGACGGGTTCACGCCGGCGTATTCGACGAGAATCGTTGCGCTGGAGCCTACAAGGAGCGGTGACCCGTGGAGTTGCGTCGTCGGCACAAGCGGCGGCAGCGTGCCGAGGCTGTTGAGCACGAGCCCGTACGTCGTCATGAGGTTGACTTTTAGAAACGTGACGGTCCACGCATAGCCACCAAAGGCGTTTGGCCCGGATCGGCCAACGCTGACGGCCGAGACCACCGGCAGCGTCAAGAGCGCCGTCTCCATCGCTGCTGTCGATGCCGTGACTGGAATGTTGGGCGTCGCGTACCCCCCGAGGCTCAGCTGGAAGCTACCCGAGAGCGGTGCACTGCCCTCACGCACTGTGCGCACGGCAAGGAGAGCTTGGTTGCCAGCCAGCAGCACAGGTGCCGGCTGGAGCGGGTTAGGGTTGAAAAGCGTCGCCGTCGCATCAAATGTGATGCTCCACGTATAGCCAGACTGCGGCGTGGGCGCCGAGCGTGCGATTCTATTCCAGGTAGTAAAATTGACGCAAGTAGAATCTGCGTCGCGTACCTGAGCACAGGCAGATTCAGATCCATGGACAGGCGCGTGGCCAGCGTTGGCGCGTCGATATCCGATGCCAAGTCTTGCGTCACCAGACTGCCGTACCGAAGAGCGAACGCGCCCGAAACGACCGCTGGCGGCACGAGTACGGTGGCCAAAGCACCTCCGCGCCCGTCGCCGACTGTAGCTCCGGCGCCCGAGAGAAAGTTGCGTGCGAATAGCGTCGGGATGTCGCCCGGCACGCGAAAGGTAATCGTCCACGCAAACGCATTCCAGCAGCCGCAAAATGTGTTGGGGGACCGTGTGACGTCAATCGACCCGAGGGGGTACCCAAAATCGAGCTCGAGGGCGACCTTGAGCTGCGTCGCGTCATAGTCGCTGGCGATGCGGCGCGACGGCCCCACGGGTCCAAGCAAAAGCGAGAAATACCCGCCGACGGTCTCGCCAGGCGCCGCGCTCGTCGTTAGCACCTAGTTGGAGGCACGGAGTTTGGTTTGTATCTACCAAAACGCAACTACCTGCACCGCATCGCGGTGAATGCATGACGTCATGACGTACTGCACTTCATTGACAAACGCGGTCGCGCTGCCGGTGGCGGTGACGACTTGGACGTTGTACTCGGCGACCTTGGCGCCGGGTGACCCGACGACGGCGACGCCATTGGTGACGGCGACGCTGGCGCCGGTGCGATCGCCTCGGTTCAGTGCACTTAGCGGTGCATTGCGCACTTCATAGACAGCCGAGTACGACACATCAATCAGCGTCTTCGTGACGGCACCCGTGCTGGACGCAAAGACGAGCTGATAGCCACGGCCGATGGTGCTAATGCCGAGCTCAAGAAACGATGCGACGCCAGCGACCGCCTGGAAGACGCGACCGCCAAAGAGCGTGCCACCCGGTGGGTTCAAATGCACATTTACGTACTGCGTTGCAACGGACGCCGGCAGCGTCGGCGCCGTGAGGATGGTACCCCCGTTGAGCTGCAGCGCTTGCGTGTCGGCGTAGTCGAGGGCGCCGCTGCGATCGCCCGTTTGCACCGTGTATCGAAACAAAAGCCTCGAGCTCGCGCCAGCCGATGGCACGAGGAACGCTTGACGCTGGGACGGCCCCGACGCCATGCGCAAGAACGGTGCCCCGGCCGTCACGACGGCGGCGCTGAGCGTGACTTGCACATCGATGGTGCTTCCGACAACGTACGTGGCGTTGGGCGACAGAAAGGATATGTCGGTAATGTACGGTGTCGTCCCGCGGATCTCAACGTTGCTATTGGCGCTCAACGAACCAGCAACGCCGGGCAGCGGCAGTAGGCAGTTGGCCGGAACCGTCGGGACCGTTGCCCTACACAGTGTTGCATGTGAAATGACCGTGTCTTGTGGATAAAAGAAGCTTGCATGAAGCGGATGCGCGCGCCGGGTGGGCAGTAGAGCGATTTCGAGTCGAGGTAGCTCAAGTCCGTCGACACATCATCTTGCTCAATGGTATAACGAAACACCAGTACTGTGGACGCTGTGCCAGAGACGTAGATGGCGCGTCGGTCGTAGAGGCCGAGGTCCAAAAGCAAGACGGGGACACCCGTCACGGCGACGGTCTCGGAAAATGTTACTTGAATTTGAATGACGTCGCCGACGTAATAGGCGCCGTTGGGTGTCACAGCAGCGACGTCGGTGACAAGCGGCGTCCGTGTCGTGTCCACGACGAGGTTGAGACCGAGGTTGGCTACCGGTGGCAGCGCAAGGTTCATTGGCGTTGTCGGCGTCGTTGCCAGCCGGAGAATGCTGCCTCGGTTGTAGTTGAGCGTCAAGGCCGACGTATTCGTGTATCGCAGGGCCGGTGTCGCGTCGCCCGCCATCACAGTGTACTCGAACAGCAGCTGCGTGCGGTCCCCGTTATGGTACCCGACGAAAAAGGCAGCTCGGCCGGTATTGAGAAGCAACGTCGGCACGCCGTGGGGCAGCGCCGTCGGCGATGTCTGAACGTCCACAGGCTTGCTCGCAACGACGAGGATCTGAACGACGTCGCCGACGATGAACGTTCCGCGGTTGATCAGTGGCGCCGGCGTCAGCGCCGACACCGAGAGAACGACGGGCGCGACGGTGCTGATCGCAATGTTGACGGGCTGCAAACTCACGCTTGTACAGTCGCCGTCGACAGCGACGTTGTTGGCGTTCAGAAGGCTGCAGGGTCCGCCACCCGTGCACGACAGTGGCGACACTGCGCCGAGACTGAGGCTCGCCGTTGCATCCAACGGCTGCACCGTGTAGAGAAACATCAACGTCGAGGAGCCCGACCCTGTCGCGTACGCAACGCTGCGGGTGTTGAGCGCCAACTGAACGCTTCCCGTGACAAAGACGGCGTCGGAAAACACCACCGAGATCGCAAACGCGTGGTTTTCGCCGTACTCGCCCGCGATTTGGTCGGCCGAGATGGACACGACCGTCGTGACGTGGCCGATTGTTGGGTCGAGTGCGATGGGTCCGTTCGCGATCGCAGCCGGCCACGGCAGCGACAGCTGGGCTGGCTGCATCGGCGACGACGACCGCTGTCGGATCGTGGACCCGCGCAGCGCGATGGTGGCCCACGGCACGTAGCTCAGCGCCGATGTCGCGTCGCCCAACGCGACCGTGTATTCAAAGACGAGCGTCGACGTGCCAGAGCCAGACGTATACGTGGCCGAGCCTCCGTTGCTGAGAGCAATCGACGGAATACCGTCGGCGACGACGACGGGGAACGAAAAGGTGACGGAAAGCGCCACCGTCGTGCCTCGGACGTACGTCGACGGTGTCGTCGGCCATGCGACGGTCGTGACAACGGGTGCGAGGCCGTGGAGGGTCAAACTCGCGGTGGCACCGAGGTTCCGGCCGTTGGCTGTCGCGGCCGAGAGGTCTACGTTGCACGCGAGCAGCGCGGTGCCGGCGGTCACGTGCCGAACGAGGTCGCCGCCGTTGCGTACGAGCGCCGCCGACGACGCATAGTCGAGCGTCGGTACATTATCCTCCGGCTGGACGATGTACTGGAATGAGAGCACGGTCGAGCCGCTTCCCGAGACGTACGACGCATACTGCATCGTGTTGAGCAAGAGACGTGGGACCCCCGAGACGTCGACGGGTGCTGTAAAAGTCACTTGGAGTAGAATGGGGTCGCCCGCTGCGTAGACGCCGTTCGCCGTCGTGGATGTGACGCCAACGGTCGGATCGACGGCCGGAGCTGCCGACGAGAGGACGAGAGCACACTGCATGGGAAGTCGCATCGCTGCGGCCGTTGGCAAAAGCACGCTTGCATCCTGCGTGAGGGCCGTGCCGGCGCGCCGCAAGAGTGCTCCGTTCGCGTTGAGCGACGTCGTCACGTCCAGCGCTGCCGTGCTATCGGCGAGCCCACCGTGTACTGAAACACCAATCTCGCCGTGTTGTTGCCGCTATGAAAGCCAGCGGTTTGGCCAGTGTTGAGAGAAAGGTACGGCATGTTCACGCCTCGGACTGCGACGGGCAACGAAAAGGTCACGAGCAGCTGCAGCGTCTGCCCTGGCCCATACGTGCCCGCCACGGTCGGCGGCGCGCACCCCATCGAGACGATCACCGGAGCCGTTGTGTCGACCGATGCGATCGGGTGCAGTCCTGCCATCGGCAGTGCGAGCACCGGCGGCACGCCAAGGCGATCTTGCAGCGTCGCGCCGGGAGCCACGACCAGTGCCGAGGTGGATGCGTAGTTGAGTGCGGCGCTAGTGTCGCCGGCAGCGATTTCGTACCGGAATGTGAGTGTCGTCGACCACGTAAGGAGCGTGTCGCACGTCGCGACGGCGCCGAGTGCGCTATTGAGCTGCAAGACGATATCGCCAGTGGCGCGAACTTGCTGGGAAAAGGTGACGTTGAGAAGGAGCAGTGTGCCAGCCCCATGCCTACGCCGCATTGATAGAATGAGAGGCTTTGTTGACCCTGCAGCAGCTGGTTACGGCGACGAGAAAGGCGACGGCAAAAGAAAGACGTTTGTGACGACGGCGATCGGGCTGTTCGCTGTCGACACCACAAGCGTGCTGTACACGGCGAGGCTCGGGACCATCGCGACAGATACGAGCGCTGCATTTTCGCTGCGAAGCGTATTGTTACCGCGGTCCTAACGAGTGATCTTCATATCCCATCCCTACGAACGCAAGCATATATCTACCTTGAGCGCAACGATCGGCTGGTCCGTGAACGGCTGTCCATCTACGTATGAAGTAGGCGCTTGCTTGCCACTGCTTGCAGAGGAAAGCACCCACCCGCGAGCGCATGATTGCTTGGCGACTGCACGACCTGAAGCGAGAAGAGCGCGCCGACGTACACCGTAAAGGACGGTCCGAGGACGAAGAGACCCGTCTCGCTGTACATGTCGTACGTCAGGTTGTGCGAAATGACGGCAAAGCGCAGGACGTAGCCAGGACCTGCGGCGTCGATGCGCAGGTTCTTGAAGCTCGCGACGCCGTGAACGACGCTTGCATTCGTCTCGAGCGTCGGGTACAAGCGGCCGCCGGACGGGTTGGCGTATATCGCGGCGGTCACAAGCATCTTGGGCTCGGTCGAAAGGAGGTTCCCGCCGGCGTCGAGCAGCTGCAGCGTGGGCTGGACCATGAACGCTTGGCCGCCAAACGCAGACAGCGGGTGCGCAACGATCGCCATCTACAAATGACGATGACAGTTTACAGCGATATTTCAAACGGAGGCGCGTACTTGCGTCGGCGGCCCCGTCGCGACAACAAACGGGCGTGTGGTCAGCGAGCTCCCGCCCGGCAACAGCAGCGTCGCGTCGCACGTAAAGATAAGGGTGTACGGACCGCCCGTCCTGTCGATCTGCAGCTTCTGGAAGGTCGCGACGCCGTGCGAGAAGGTTGCGATCTGCGCGCTCGGCGGCGTGAGGATGCCACCGACGGGATTGCTTCCGATCGCCACGGAGACCGTCCCAGCGCTCACGCTATGAACGACGTTGCCGCCTTTGTCGACGATCGAGACACTGGGCTGCGGCGCAAAGGGGGAGCCGCCGGTCGTCGCGCCCAAGGCCGTCGTCAAAGCGATGGTATGCGGGAGTCCGAGGAGGATGTTGAAAGGATTTGAGGTCGTTTGGACGCCAAACGAGAGTGAGACAAACGTAAGCGTGTAGCCAGTGGCGACCAAGTCGATCGAGAGCCCCGTGCATGTGATGACACCGCCGACGATCGGGAAGGCGAGCCCGGACGCGCTAGAGAGATGCGCGTAGAGGCGCGGGTTGGTGCTAATGTACACGGACACAAAGCCGCTATTGACGTGGTGCAGGACGGTTCCGGCGCCGTCTTCGAGCTGCAATGTCGGTGGCGGCGAGAGCTCGTTGCCCGCGGCCGTCGCGACAGGCTGCGAGATAAGGACGAGCTCGTTGCTACTCACGAATGTGCTCAACGCTAGCAGCAGCAACATCCATCGCACGAGCTGCCACGCGCGACGGTCGTCCATGCTGCCCGATCCTACCCGAAAGGTCATCTCGCACTGCGATCGCGTGCAACGTCTTTAACGCACTGGTCAAGTACGTTCAACGACTTTACCCTCTACGTGCAGCACGAGACGCGCGTTGAACGACTTGAACCCATATGCTAAACACAAGTATGTGCGTCAATAAGCGTTAATTGCTTCCAGGATCACGTTAAACCATAGGTCTAGGTTAGAGGTTGCCGACGCCAAAGTTGGCGCTCGACAAGGTGAGACGCGCAGCAGGCTTGGCCGCGAACGTTGTGGCGAGGCCCTTCATCTTGGCCGGCACGGCGCTCGCACCGTGGTCAACGAAATCGCCGCTGTTGACAAAGGCGTCCGGGACGCAGTCGCGACCGAGCGCCGCCTTGCAGCTGCCCTTGTTGGCGTTCGTCGTCGACATGATCCAGCCGTTGGGCTCGGCGAGGTTGGGCGACGCGGTCGCAGCGAAAAAGTTGCCTTCCGAGAGCACGTACGCTTCGTCGACCTCGAACGAGTGGCCCGAGTTGTCGTGCCAGTAGTTGTTGGCGGTGTGGACTTGCACCGAGTACTTGCCGTTGGCCGAGTTGATTTTGGGCGCGCGGCCGGAGGTTTTGCGAATGACATTGTTGAGGTAGCTCATCTTGAGGTTGCTGATAAAGATGTTGGTCCAGTAGTGGCGGCCGTCGCACGTGGCCGACCACTCGGCCTCGCCATCAAAGTCGCAGTTGCTGACGGTGATACTGTTGGCGCCGGCGCCGTCCGTCGTGAGCATCTGCCGACCGACCTTGGAGATTTTAACGTGGTCGATCCAGATCTTTTGCTGCGCTGAGCCATCGGGTTTGCCGTTGAGGTAGATGGCATCGCCGCCCCAGACGTACTGCGGGTTGAGGTTCGTCACGTGGACATTCTGGAGAATGATGTTGTCGCCGCGGAGCCAGAGGCCTTTTCCGACGATGACGCCTTTCTGGCCCTCTCCACGAATGGTCTTGGCGCCCATGACGACGAGCGGGTTCTTGGTACCGGCCACGTCGTACGAGACTTGAACGGGCGTGCCGTTGGTGCAGCCGCCCGTGTTGGCCATGCCACCCGCCTGGAGGATCACGTCCTGGCTCTTGAAGCCGTTCTTCTTGGCGATGCACTCGCGCGTGTAGTCGGGACGGCACCCCGTCTCGGACTTTCTTCCTTCGGTGCCGCGAAAGTCGAACGTCTTGTTGAGGACAATGACCCGGGGCACCGCGTCCTGGAGGTACGCCTTGAGCTCGTTGGTGTTTTTGGGGTAGACGGGTGCTGCGTTGCCACCGCCCGTGACGCCGGCAGCGACGCCAGGCGTGCTGGCACCCGAGACGGCGTCCAAGGCAAAGGCGAGGAGGGCAAGGGGCAAGTACGAGAGCTTCATGGTGCTGGTGGTGATGTTGCGCTTGGCGAGTCGATTGAAAAGTAAGTCGATCGAGTCGCAGAGACGACGGACCCGACGACTTGGACTGGCACGTACCAGCTGCAACTTTCTCGTTGCAGTGCGTTGCGTGGTTCCGATCTCGAAGATCACAGGGCTCCGTACGTAGCGCTAAAAGGCTAAAAGCCACCGCCTGTCGTGTCGGAGCGCGCCTTGAAGTGCCTTGAAGTACCCATCGATGCGCGGTACTGCTACTTACAATGGGCCGACGGGGACTCATGTGGAATCTATACGAAGACGTCGCGTACACGTGTTTACGAACCGCATGGCGCTGCGCGTCAGAACGGAGGGCGCAGGGTCGTCGTCTGGGAGCAGATATGAGGGTCATGGATAACCCATCTGCTCGGAGATATTGCGTCTGATACGGTATCAGACCCCGCACGATTGGAACCCACGAACCGATTAACGACGTTGCGCTCCAAACCAATCGACATGGCCTTTCCAATGTCGTAAATCAAAATCCTATAAGTCCACCGCCACAGAATCGCAGCCGACGACAGTATCGGTTGTGGTGCTCACCGAGGCACAAGTGGCTAGTAAACCTGATCCACAGAGAATCACTTTCCTTGACGCGTCCTTATCTCGCAGCCTGTCGCGACGGCCGCGGGCAACGAGCTCTCGCCGCCACCGACATTGCAGCTCGAAGCCAGCGCCGGAACCGTACTGCACCACGTCAATAGCGGCTTTGTGTCCGTGTACATTAGCACCAACCCGCGCCTCTACGCGCACCTCTCTGGCGCGTCCGGGCTCGCCTTCCCAATCGTCGGCGGTGTCATCGCGCGGACCGTAGCTTGGCCCGACTCTCATTTCTCTGCGATATTGTCCAGGGTGTACGGCGACACAAACAGAATGGCCATAGATCCGTAGCATCTTATTCACGACGTGACGAGGATACCTGGCGTGCATCACGCTACGTTGGTGTAAAAGCCGTTGTAGTCGAGGCGTGTGCAGAGGTTCGAGAGGTGCGAGTTGTACTAGGGCCGCTGCCATCAGTTACAAGCCAGAGATCCAACATACCTGGAGGTGGGACCGGTGCAGAAGCTGCTGCATAAACTCGGCCAGAAGCGTGTCGAACTGCAGCTCGAGGTCGTTGGTCATGCGCACAAACGGATTCTCGCCCATGTCCGACTCGGTGAGCGCGCGCCGCACGTCGTCCGAGAGTTCTCGAATGCGCTGGCGACGCACGTCGACGTTGGAGCTGCGCCGGGGCACGGCCGAGCTCTTGCGCATGTTCTTGCCTTTGGTCGACATCATCATGTCGGCCTCGTCGCGGGCCTTCTTGTCGGCGCGGCGGTCGCGCTCGGCCTCGCGCTCGCTGCGGATCGCGTCTTCGTCGAGGCGGTATGGCCGCGTGAAGCGGTCAATGCTGTTGGCAAACGTGAGGCAGACCGTCATGAGCTTGGTGAGCACGCGGAGGAGCTCCGGGTCCGTGAGGAGGCACTCCTTGAGGCACTGGTCGAGAAAGTCGCGGTGCGTGTTGAGAACGTCGTCGACCGAGCCGATGCCGCTCGTGAGCGTCGTCTCGAGCGCGTGCCAGCGCGGCGAAATCACCTCAAACATCATGTAGTAGACAAAGTTTTGCTGGAAATGGAGCATGCGCTGGCGGAGGCAGTACGACTTGATCAAGGCCGAGCGCAAGCCGAGCTCTTTCGTCGTCTGGTGGTTGCGCCACGCGTCGCAGAGCCGCCGCTCGACGTGCTTGCAGAAGAAGAGGTGCCGGAAGATCATTTGGTACTTGTTGAGCGCGCCCGATGAAATGACGAGCGAGAGCGGCCACGTGACCTTGTAGTCGAGCGTGAGCGCGTCAATCGCCTTGTAGCCTGTAGAGGACATGTCTCATATACACGTTGGAACATAAATTGGAGGATACCAGGGTCGTTGAGCGACGAGGCAACCGACGACGAGAGCGGCGCGCGACCGACCTTTTGCGACCGTTCGTGGATGGCTTCCATTTGCGAAATCAGGTCGTGCGGCGAGAGCACGCACATGAGGTCATCCTTGTACGGGTCGGACGCACACGTCGACGTCTGCAGCGACAAGTGTAAGAGCGACTCGAGGCGCGACGCCAAGAGCTTGTCGGCGCGCAAATTGAGCTCGGGCTCGGCCGCGTCCATGAAATCCACGAAAAAGTCGCCTTGGTCCATGAGGAAGTAGTGCTTGATCGACCGGAGACGGTTCATAAGGTCATGCTCTTCGAGGAGGAGGTCCACGAGAAGCGTGCTTGCATACGCGTGCGCCTTGTCGACGAGCTCGTCAAAGCGGCGCGCGCTCTCGGCGTGCGGGATCGTGGCTGCAAACGGGCAGTTGATGTGGCGGCCGCACGTGCGAAAGACGTTGAGATATTTGCCGGTCGTGAGCACCTTGTGCGCGACCCGGTCGAGGTACGACGGACGTGCGTCGCCCGCAGCGTGTACCGGCGCTCCCAGTACTTGGACCACGGATCGTCGCTGACTTCTTCTTTCTGGAGCGTCTCGTCGGAGGCGACCATAAACTCGTCGTACGGGTCCTTGAGCTCGCCGTGGTAGATCCAGAGCTCGAGCATTTGGAGGTACGGCGCGCTCGCCTTCTCCAGCAAAAAGTTGAGCACGGACGTGGCCTTGGCATCCCCAGACGTCGGAACGTGCGCAATGCCACTAAGCAGCGCGCCGCCTTGCTGGGCCACGCTCGACTTGACCACGTTGCTCAAGAGCTCCATCGCGCGCAGACTCGGCTGCACATAAAACCAGAGCTTCGAGAGCGACAAGTCGCCGCGCATCGCCAAGTGCTCGAGCTGTGCGACGACGACCGTGTACTCGCGCAAAAGGACCTTGAGCCCTGCGCAAAAGGCGTGGCACACTTGGCCATACTCGTACCGGCGGCGCGTCTCGATGTAGTGCGTCACGTGGAGGTAGTAGGTGCCGAGCACAATCACCTTGGACGCGAGCGCGGCCAGTGACGCGTCCGTCACGGCGGCGTCAATCCCAAAGCTAAAACTGTCGAAAATCTCGGTCGAGAGGTCGAGGTACGGCGATGGCACGCGAGCAAAGGCCGAGCTTTTGAGGTAGCTCGCAGTTGAGGTCGTGGCTTTCGTCGCGTCATTACGCCGAATGTACTTGCCTTCGATGCCCAAGAGCACGTACAAAATGTCGTCGATGAGCGCGCGCTCCTGGAGCGCGTTCGGCCACTGCGTGAGCGGCGTGAGCGGCGCGACTTCGTCGCTCTTGGCGTCAAGGATGAACGCGCCCGTGAGGAAAACCCGGTCGCGGTTCCACGGCGGATCGTACGGGATGTTGGCTTTCGTGATCTCCCACACTTCAAAGCCCGTCATGTCCTTGACGTCGCGAAGACTCACGGCGTGCTCGTGCTCGACGCAGAGAACGTACGGCAGCGCGTACGACTTGAGGACGATGCGGTCCCCGACTGGAGAGTGCGCTGGGCGTTGCGTACACCGGGCGCCAAGAACGAGTCGGCGTCGTCGCTGAGCGGCAGCGTCTCTTTGCCAAAGAATTCGTCCTTCTCGCCGAGCCGCCACTTTTCGGCGTTGGACATGATCGGGCCCTTCTTGGTCGTGATCGTCGTGCCATCGATCGAGATGAACCGGCCTTTCGACGGCCCCGAGATGCAGTAGATGGCGACCGTGTCCGTGTACTTGACGCGCCCTTCGTCGCTGCGCAATGTCACGTTGACGAGCACAAAGATCTCGTCGGCGTCGAAGCCGGCGCCACCCGCGTCCACGGACGACACGAGCTGGTTCGTCTTGGCGTTGACTTGCGAATGGCAGCGAAGACACGAGATGTTGCCGGCGCGGATGCGGATGCGCGTCAAGAGGTAGAAGATGTCGCCGCCGTGCCCGTGGTCGCCCGTGCCGAGGCGAAACACATGCGACGGCGCGCTCGAGGCCGCCGACGTTGCCGTCATGTGCATCGTCGTCGTTCGCGTCTTGGTCGTTGCGACGCTGCTCTGGCTGTAGCTCGAGCCAAGCCCTAACGACGACGACGACCGGGACTCGAACGTGAACTGTGGCGCCTTGTTCGAGCTCACCGACATTTGGCTCACGGCGTCGAGCGTGTTGAGCAGCATCGAATTCGGGCTCAGCGGCTCTTGGGGCGCCGCCGCCGGTGGAAACGTCGCCGTGCGAGACTCGCGGAAGCTCGAGTACGTCGACGCGCTGCTTCGCCCTGGTGCCATGGTCGAGTCCAGTGTCAGTCGGCTCCCCGGCGTCAACGGGTCTGTGATCCCATACGTCGTCGTCGTTGCTGTTGTTGTTTGCTGCTCGGACGTGTAGCGCGCGTCTGACTCGCTCACACGGCTCGTGAGCGGCGGCTTCTTAAAGTGCGACGTCGTGCCGGACGCCCGCGCCTCGCTGGTTGCCGCCACCGACCGGACAGGCGTCTGGTACAGTGGCACCGCGGTCTCGGGCGCGGCCACGGGGGCAGGTACTGCCGACGTCGTTGCCCGTCGAGGGGGTAGCTGGGGCATGTTGAGGGTGAGCTTGGGCTTGGGCCGGAGCCGGAGCTTGCTCGGGTCCGTCGGGTCCATCCTTCGCGCCCCACGCCCGTTCTCCCGGTTTGAAATCTCGTATCCGGAGATATCCTATATTTTCATTGGCCAAAAAGGGACCAATCGGTTGTGTGTGAGATTGCTGCCGGCCATGACGGCGACCGACGCTGTCCTCCATGGCCTCTTCCACGCCATGCATACGTTACGCGAGGTGGCGTGCTTTTCGTGCGCCGCTGTGGCCTTCTCTTCGTCGCCCTTGGCTTGGGTACGTGACGCGCCTACCGTCAGCTAACCGGCGCGGCTAGGCCTGATTGCCTTCTGCGTCGTCATCTTCGTGCACTGGATCGTGCCGTTGCTCGCGCCCAGCGCCTTCGCGTACGGGCTGCTACAGGCGACGACAGCGTTCATTGTCTTCAACATCGTCTTCAACTACGCTCTTTGCGTCTGGACCGACCCGGTACGCTGCATACTCGCATCGTCGCTCATGTCGGCTGCAGGGCAAAATCCGGCCGCGGCCCACGGCCGACGAGTACGGTCGCGTTGAAGGCTTAGAGAGCAGAGTCTATTGTGAGGCAAATCCAAAAGTGAATTACAAGAGCTCGCGAGAAGCGCGAGCTCACTTAGTCTATCGGCGATTGGCTGCAGAGCTCGCAGCCAATCGTGGGGCTAGTACACTGTAGCGATCTTGCGCGGCTGTGCCCGATGGCTTACCACCGGGCACGCGACCCGATGTTGGCGCCAGCTGGCCGGCTCGGACGGTAGTTACCGCGGTCAGTCGTTACACAAGGCCGACGAGTACGAGTTCAACAACGATTCGGACGAAGACGCGTCCGAGCCAAGCCTCGCTGACGTGCGTCCGCCGCGCCGTGCAGAGGACACAACCTATTGCCGCCAGTGTCAGTTCCAGCGCCCAAGGCGAGCCCACCACTGCTCAATTTGCCAAGTGTGCATTGATCACATGGACCACCACTGTCCGTGGATCAACAACTGTGTGGGGCTTCACAACTACCGCGTACGAGATTCGTTGCAGTGACTACTGCACGTGACGTTTGGATGCGAGTAGTACTTTTGCAGCTTTCTCTTTTGGCTGGCCGTCGGCTGCTGGTACGTGGCGCTGCTGTCGTTTTCGCCCGCTGTCGGCGCCGTCTCGCGCGAGGAAATTGCAAAGGTACAGTACAACATCCCTCATCGCAATCTCAATGGCATGTAGTTTGCCAACGTCTTTAGCAGCGAGCTCCTCACGCTCGGCCCGAAAGCACTCATGTACTGCGTCTTCTTGATCGCGACCTCGGCCGGCCTCCTGGTTTCATTTCTCGCGGGCTGGCATTTCTACCTCGTTCTCACCGCCCAAGTACGTCGTCGTGTCGCACGTGCCAATATGACACAAGCTTTCTTGTCGTAGACGTCGATCGAGTACCAAATCAACCGATCCAAGCGCGTGCTACGTACGACCGGAGGCAAGGTGCGGGACTTTATGACACAAAAGGTCGCTGAATACTGTCGTTCAGATTCGATCGCCGTACTGCCGCGGCTCGAGCCACAAAAATTGGGAAGCCGTCTTTGGACCATGCCGGTGCGTATTGATGTGTCCTTGCGATCCACTGACCTCGATGACAGGTTCAAGTGGACGAGCTTGCTCCCGAGTCGGCGGCCGACGCCTCTCCAAGAGGTCGACCACGATAAAGACATGGTGTAAATCAAAGGCGTGTCGATGCCACTGCCTCTGTACTAACTACTAGTTTATATGGAGTAAGGGCTCCGACATTGTAAATGTCGGGTGAAGTTGCCGAAGAGTGGTGGCGGAAGACAACCAGACGACTAAGAACTCTTCGTAGTCGACCTTGGTCGAGTCTTTGGAGCGGTCTACAAATGCGTCCGCCGATGGTGCTTCGAGAGCTACTAGTACGTTGAGTGCGTGGTTGGCATTGCTGACAGCGGACACTGCCACGTCATCACGGGTGGTCTCTGCACAGAGGAGCTGCTCGTCGACTTTATTTGGTCGGTGCTCTGGTCAGCGTTGACGTTGACATTCGCTTCAGAGTGATATTGACATCATCATTGACGTTGGGGGACCACTGCGTCGCCTTGACGAGCAGTTGTCAGTCCACGATCTTGTTTCCGCCGACTTCGACGGAACACGTTTTCTGGATCCGGATAAGCGGGCCACGAATCCGGCATGTGGACGATACCGCAAATCCAAGGCCATGTCGTCCACGTCGTCGACGCTGGCGCTGCTGCATGCCAACATCTTTGTCTATGCGTTCGCCTTCTGGGTCACGCAGCCGACGCTGCCGTTCCTGCTCAAGGAGCTCAGCGCCGATATGCTTCTCTTCTCTCGCTTCCAGACCTTTTGCTCGTTCTTGCAGCTCTTTGGCGGACCGCTCGCCGGGCGCATTTGCGATGCCTTTGGCTTTACGCCGACGCTTGTGCTCTCGCAGGCAGCTGCTGCCCTCTCGTACGCGCTCCTCGCCACGACGACGTCGGTGCCCATGCTCTTTCTGAGCCAGCTCCCGACTGTCTTCATGCACGCGATGCACGCCGCGCAGTCGGCGATGACGGTGCTCTGTGACACAAACCAGCGCGCTGTCGCCATGGGTCGTCTCAGCCTCAGCTATGGCGGTGGCATGGTGGTCGGCTCGTATGTCGGCGGCGTCGTCGCCGAGGCCTACTCGAACCAGCACGCCGCGGGTCTTGCAGCGCTGCTCTCGCTTGCCATCATTCCGCTCACCATCGTGTTGCTTCCTCGCAGGCCCGCGACACCAGCGAAAGCTACTACGGCGTCGCCCGATACGTCGATGCACCTGGGGAAGATCCTATTGATCCTTCGTGAACCGTCCGTGCTCCACCTCGTCGTCGTGCAGCTTCTCCTCGGTCTCGCCGTGGCGATCTACCGCAGCACGTTCTCCGAGGTGTTGCGCGACCAGCTCCAGCTCGGTGCGAACACATGCCATTCTATATGGTCCGTCTCACTCATTAATTGCTCTAGGACGGCAGGACATTGGGCTTGTCATGTCGCTCAGCGGCGCGACGTCCATCGTGAGCAACGGTCTGCTCCTCCAGCTGTGCACGAGCCGGTGGGCCGACGCGACGGTTGTCGACAGCGCCGCCGTGGTTATGGCCACGACCTTCTTGGCCTACGGACACATTCCCGTGACGCCTGAAGGCCTCGTGTACGTGCTGGCGGTCGTGACGCCGATGACGGCAGCGTCGTCGATCGCGTACACGCTGCTGTCGTCGCAAATGTCGCGAGCCGTCGACGACCGGGACCGCGCGACGGCCCTCGGCATCAGCCACGCCGTGCGCAGCTTCTGCGGCCTCCTGGCGCCAACCATTGGAAGCTTCCTCTTCCATACGTACGCAGTCCAGGTACTCAGTGTGACGTGCGCCACGATCTCGGGTCTCGCAATCGTCGCTGGTACCTTCTTCCGCACCACGTACTATCCCAAGCCCTCTGTCAAGCGCGACTAGACATGCCGCCACCAACTAATGGCAACCCGCCTTGATTTTCTAGTCGATGTTTCTACTGTCTAGCAAGGGCCTTGCGTGAGAGCATTCGTACACGAAAATTCCAGGAATAACACAAGCATGTGCGTGCATATAACTGAGAAGCAGGCTCGTGGCGCAGCGTGTTGCGACCAATTTGGAGTCGACAGACGATTTCCATAAGTGCGCAAGATTGAAGGCGTACCATGTTGATTATCCTCTTGAGATTTGATTGATTTTCGTGGTATATAAGATACTAGTTGAACATCCAATGGGTCTGGCACGTTGCAATGTCGTTGCCGTTGGAGTTGGAAGAGGCGTCGACGAGTTGGCGGACGCGGTTGATGGGATGGGAAAGCGATGGCTCTGCAAGCGGCTCCATCTCGGACGATGCGAGCGAATCCAAGTCGTCCGTCGAGTGCGGCAGTCCATTCGACCACAAAGAAGCTCGAGTTGGCTGGTGCAGAGTCGCTAGTAGCGTGTCGTTGGAGACGATGGCTGCGTGAATCTTGGTCTCGAGGCTCTTGACCCACGTACTGAGCTGCGTGATCGTGTTCTTGTTCTTGGCAATGGTGGCGTTGGCGTCGACCAAGTGCATTTTGATGTGCTGCACCTGGGCCTCCTTGCGTGCAACGCGACGCTCGAGCTTTTCACGAAGCGCCGTGATCGTGTCGTCGCGCCGAAGGACGCGGTGCGCAAGCTCCAGCACGTGGTCGTGGGCAGCATGCAGCTTCTCCGTCATGGCAGCCAAAGCAGCTTGGTGCTCGGCTTGCAGACGTTCGATCTCCATCGTGTGGTCGCGTGCCAAATCCGATGCAGCTCGCGCGATCGGCGTGTTGCTAGCGCGAGGCGAAGAGCGCACCGCAGAGGCAGTGGGAGTGCGTGCAGCTGGCTTGGCCGTAGCCTTGGCCACCGACTTGGTGCTGGTAGGCCGGCGGAACGGGTGCGAGATGCGGAGTTGGGCTTCCAAAGCCGCGACGCGACGGGCCTCCTTGTCCTGGTGGTACGTTGCGCTGTAGAGAGTCATGGTGCTTCGATCGATGAATTGGAAATGAGATGTAGAAAGCTAGTCTAGCTTGATGGTAAAAACGACAAGTTGTTTTTACAATGCAAAGGCGAATTAAAGTCAGCAAACGATTCCGCAGCTTCTAGAGATTAGGGTAGGGATAGGGTTTTCAATTTGTCTCTTGTGTCCACTATGTAGCTCAGTCTGCCACAGAATGACACTTTGAAACAGCATAGCTCTGCATTACGCTGTGCGGAACGAACGAGATGCAGCGCCAAATGGCAATCATTTTCCTGAACCACCGGCGTCACAAGCCAGCTTCATGCTATCCTGCGCGTTGTAATTTCACTTGATGTAGGATGAGTCATCCTCCATCAAGCGGCCAAACACCCACATTGGCCACGAAGCTTGCCGCTCACCATGTCGGAAATCGTGATGTACATATATTTTGGGCAGACCTCCACAATCGTCTTGGAAAGAAGACGCCGAGATGGAGCCTGAGATGTATACAACGAAAATCGTCGTCTTGACTGGCAACCGCCATTGTCCTCGTGCGCAAACCTTGTGCCACTTGCCTAACCTGTAGCTTTCATGAGCCAGCAAGTGGTCCCGCTAACGCCATATACACGAACTGGTAACCCTTCAACATTACATGTACATACATGTAGGCCGCTCCAAGCCGCCCCGATGTTTACCAACTTCAAGTGCACTTTGGTTGACAAATGCTTACAAATTGCGCGCGGTTTGGCGGTAGCTTCCAGTCGCGTCGATGATTGGCTCGTTCGAAATCCATCACGCCGCTGATTGGTTGTTTTTGATGAGGCGTATCTTTGCAGCATGCCACCTTTTTGGCGCAGGATCGCTGTCAAAAGATCGCATCCCACAACTCAACTCGCACGACCAGCACCATGGCAGCCAAGCAGCAGACGACGACGACGACGGACGACTGGGCCTTGCTGGCCTACCACGTGGGCTTTGGCAACCACTTTTGCTCGGAAGTGCTCGAAGGTGCGCTCCCGGCCAACATGAACAACCCGCAAGTGTGCAACTACGGGCTTTACTGCGAGCAGCTCTCGGGCACGGCGTTCACGCTGCCGCGCCACAAGAACCAGCGCACGTGGCTCTACCGCATTCTGCCTCCGGTCGTGCACAACGAGTACACGGCGACGGCATCGAACGCCGTCGTCACGGACTTTGCGACCGAGAACGTGACGCCGCAGCAGCTGCGCTGGCAGCCAATGGCGCTTCCATCCTCGCATGAGAAGGTCGACTTTATCCAAGGCTGGAAGACCATGAGTGGCGCTGGTGACCCGAGCCTCAAGACCGGCATGGCCGTCCACATGTACGCCGCCAACTCGTCGATGGGCGACAAGTGTTTTTACAACTCGGACGGCGACCTCCTCATCGTGCCGCAAGAAGGCGCGCTCAAGATCACGACCGAAATGGGCAAGCTCCTCGTCTCACCGCACGAGATCTGCGTCATCCAGCGCGGCATTCGCTTCACGGTCGACCTCGACGGCCCGGCGCGCGGCTACATCCTCGAGGTGTACAACCGCCATTTCATCCTCCCGGACCTCGGCCCGATTGGCGCCAACGGCCTTGCCAACCCGCGCGATTTTGAGCACCCGGTCGCGTGGTACGAAGACCGCGACGTCGAGTATACAGTCGTCACCAAGTTTGCGGGCAAGATGTTCCTGGCCGGGATGCAGTTCTCGCCCTTCAACGTCGTCGCGTGGCACGGCAACTATGTCCCGTACAAGTACAACTTGGATCACTTTTGCACAATGAACTCGGTCAACTATGACCACCCAGACCCGTCGATTTACACGGTGCTGACGTGCCAGACCGATGAGCCGGGTGTCGCGGTCGCCGACTTTGTCATCTTTCCGCCGCGCTGGATGGTGCAAGAGAAGACGTTCCGCCCGCCGTACTACCACCGCAACCACATGTCGGAGTTTATGGGCATGGTCTACGGCCACTACGACGCGAAAGCCGAGGGTGGTTTTGTCCCCGGCGGCGCGTCGCTCCACAGCGTGCACACGGCGCACGGTCCGGACGCCGAGACGTTCCTTGCCGCGTCCAAGGCCGACCTCAAGCCCGTGCACTTTACGGGCGGACTCGCGTTCATGTTCGAGTCGACGTACCTGCTCAAGGTCACCGACTACGCCTTGACGTGCCCGCAGCTCGAGAAGGACTACTACAAGTGCTGGCAGCCACTCCCCAAACTCTTCAACCCCAAGAAGAAGTAAACGGTATATATTCTTAAGGATACGTGAATACGGTACCGGTACCGGTATATATATCGTTTGTCTAAATCGTGTCGCATGCAATCTCTTGGCATTTGGCTGCTGAAGATCGCTAACAAACTAGCAGCTGGGCTAGTGAAGCACACGAACGTGTGGAGTTGCGTTCTTCACAATCGCCATGCCTTGAAAGATCGCCACGACGCGCTATCTTTATCCGGATCCGGATATATTTGGGGTGGAGGCTCTGACGGTCCTACGTACCTGTAGCTCACGGCCCTGGCCCTGTGCTCTTCTGCCCGCCCATGCTAGCCTGCCCATGCTATACGTACCGTATACGGCGTGAAGTCCAGAATGGCTCTCTGTGCGAGGCCAGGCTTCATCTTCCAACTGGTTCCAACCGACCGTTGTGTTCAGAAGCGTCTGGGCTGAGTTTACGCGTCTGCACCGCCGCTAGATTGGTCGTCGGCTTCCTTCGTTCTTTGCGGTTCATCGTGCTTCGTGAGGGTTTTGGCAGGATCATCTTCTGTTTCGCTGAATTTGTTGCTCGACGGGGTCCGGGCAGTCGTCCTGCCGCCCGTAAACGCTCGGGAGTTGGGCCTCCCATGAGACTACAATTGTACGGTATACGCGCTCTCGGCTGAGGTGCCGCTGTATAGCGCACCTGCCTTGAAATGGCCGATCGCACGTGCCTGCTCCTGGCTGAGTTGCTTGCGTGGTGTTCTTCTTGATCACGCGCCACCTCTAGCACGTGCTGCTGAACACACTGGTGATGTGTCTTCTAAATGAAGAGCGGCCTGCAACATGACCACATTTTTCGGGGCTGCACCGTCCACACACGCCGCCTCCAAGCGCCGTCGTCCAGTCGCAAGACGCTCCCACCATCCAGGCCAGCGCAGTGTAAACTGCATATCAGAATCGACTCGCTTCAACAACGTCGGGCAATTTCTCGTCTCAAACGACAGTGGTATTGTTCTATACCAAAGGGAGGCATATGGTATGCAGGCGGCTGGGCGGGCCTGACGTAATGGTGGTTCGAAGTGATGGATTGCATGACTGCGGCCGCCGAATGGACAGCAGTCAGCACGCTCTTTGAGTCCAAGGACTGCGGCGTACGGAATGGCTCTCCGACAGCATTCCCTGCAGCCACCACGGTGTCAAATCGTCGCCACTCCATAATCGACATGTCAAAGACACGGCCTTGTGGGATATGATTGCCTCGTCTGAGTCGCGTGCTGCGAGATCCCACACAATGTACCGTACCAAGTAGAACCGTAGTACGGAGGTGGTGTCCGAAGGCGGCGACAGAGGCGCATTGCAAAGCCGGCTGCCGTAGCCACGGCTTCTTTTCCACGAGCGTGAAAAGGTTGCCGCGACGTAATGAATCCAAACGTCATTCTGGCGTGGATTTAAGCGCCAAATTGCCCTTTGGCCCTTCGTTGCAGTCTGTTCGGGACGTCAGATCTGATCGGCTACGTCGCTGTACCCATCAAAGCGCTTCGTTAGTCACTGTTCGACGACCCTCGATACTGTACAAGCAAGCGGCCATTCTTCGGAAAGCATGGGGTCGTGGCTCGAGTCGTACTGGAGCATCACCCTTCGCCCAAAGACGCTCGATGAGATCGGCGCCGAGCGCTGGCTCGTGGCCTGGCCCGGCGTTTGCGTCTGTCACTGCGTGCGCTTCCGCCGCATCTACCTCGCGCTCGCGAGCTGCGTCGCACAGGCGTGCGCCGGCATTCTCTTTGCGATGGTCATCGTCGCCGAACCCATGGCCGACTACGTCCTTGGACCGAGCTCGCTCCCGGACGCGTCTGTCACGTTTACGCAGTGTGCGGTGGCGTACTGCATCCCCGTCGCGCTCCTCAGTCCCGAGCTCGAACGCCGCGGCCCCCGCTGGAGCATGCTCTTGGGCTCCGGCCTCGTGCTCGGCGGCTACGCTGTGCTCGGTCTCGCGATCCTGATTCGCGTCTGGGTGCTCGCCCACGTCGGGTACATGCAGTGCTTTGTATCACCACAGGTTGTCTCATAGTCCATCATTGCCGCGTTTAGGCTCTTCTTCTCGAGCCTGGGGCTTGGGTGCATCCAAGTGACATCGATGGCCACGTCGCAAAAGTGGGCGCCGGACCTCCGCGGCACCATGAGCGGCCTCTGCAACGTCGGCTTTGGCTTGGGCCAGCTCCTCTGGGTGCGCTACTTTGGGTGGCTTCTCCAGCACGTCGCCCGCGAGTACTTGTTTTGGTGCGTCTTGCCGGTCCTCTTCCCGCTCCTACTTGCGTGCACGATCGTCCTCCGGACGCCGCCGCCCGACTTTACCGCCCACGGCCACGACATGCATGGGATTCCCGCGCACAAGTCGGTGCCCGCCGAGGTCCACGACGAGTACTTCAAGGTCGGCATGACGCTCGTCAACGTCGAGATTGTCGCCGAGTCGACGGCGGGCCTCGACGGCACGCTGCGTCAGTACCACGAGCAAGTCAAAGCGCTCTCGCTGCTCCAGTGCGTCTTTTCGACCGACTTTTTCTGTCTCTGCGTCGCGTTTGTGGCGATCTCGATGCTGAATTTACCGTACTTTCCGCTCGCGGCGCCCGACACGACGTGGGCGTCGACGTACAACCGAACCAAGGACGAAGCGTCGTCACTCATCACGTACGGCGGCGTGTCCGGGCTCCTCGGGCGGCTTGTCGTGCCCATGATCTCGGACGTGATCGTGCGCGTCTTCTACGCCAACCCCGCCTTTGCGCGCAAGGCGGTCTTCACGGCCCTCCTCGTCGCGGCGGTGATCGCGCTCCCGATCTTTGCCAACAAGTTCAACGAGACAGTGCCGACGATGATCTATCTCACGCGGCTTTTGAGCGGCGCCGGCGGGTCCCTCGTCACGTGCTTCGCCACTGACATGTACGGCGTCATCAACACGGGGGTCATGTACGGCTTTACGTTCAGCATCTACTTGGCCGTCGCCGACTTTGTCGGACCGATGGTGGTCGACGGCGTCGGGCCCCACGACCTCCGCGTCTTCTGGATACTCAGCCTTCTTGGGCTCGTGCTCATGCTCTTCGTGCGCACCGAGTCGGCCGATCGGTTCTACCATGGCTACCGCCTCACGATCTGCAAGAAGGTAATCGTCCAGATCCCGTTCCGCAGCAACGCCAAGGAGCCGCCCGTCTCGGCCCGCGGGTCGTTTTTCATCTATGGGTCCGACTCGGACGATGATTTGTTCGTTAAAGTCCCGATGCAATAATCATAGAGGACGACTAAGCTAATACATAGTACTGTACAACACATCACTTCATATTCCGAGCCATGCAGAAGTAGGACGAGATCGACCATCCCAGCTCCAAGCAACGTTGACAGATCGACAGGGTCGTCACTTCATAAAGGTACTGCAATCAAACACACAAGTGCAGCAGCTACTACCCGGTACGCCGTCCCATCGCAGGATAAGCTGCGTTGTCTGTGCCAAGCGTAAGACTACGTGCATCATCCTGCGTGCCACGTCACGTGGTGAGACGTGCACTTCACGATTTACGGAAATCTTGCTAGAAACGCGTCTCGGATTGGTCCAAATTCGAATTGTGGTGACCGTGATTGGTTGATTTTGCGGAGAACGGTATTTTGCAAATTGGTATTTCGGAAACCGCGGCGCTTTGTGAGAAAAACGCGCAAGTACCTTGCGGCTGTCGCAGTGCATGGGCCGATGCGTGTCCTCCTCTCGTTCGTGCTGCCATCGCCATAGAGTCTCTCTAGAGACTACGTCGTCGAATTTCAATGGCGCTCGCAGCTGCCGTTGCGACGAGCGAAGGCTGGCCACACGTGTCAACGAAGCTCAAGGATCCGGCCAACGTCTGTTTGGCGCCACCTCGCCCGTCTCGGCGCACCTTACGGAGTATATCAGATATTGTATGGCTTATGGGACCGTACGCGTGTCGCACTTGCCACGAGGTCGTACTTAGACGGCGCTTTCTTCCGCACCTGCTCACTTCGCCATCAAAAGGTGTCCGAAAGCGTCAAAAGGTGTCAGAAGCAGGCTGTTTCAGCAATTGGATCCCGACATTTTGGCATCACCACAGCCAAAGAATCGAGCGGTCGACTTCCTCACCTCCAGCAGCATGGACATCCCGAACGCTCTTCTGGCATCTGCGAGCCCTGGTACGAAGATGACGATTGACGAAGACATGCGCTTATGCATATGTAGATGCCAACCTCCGCAAGCAAGCCGAAGAGGTGCTGAACCAGGCGCTCGCCTCGAACGCCGGTGGCCTCATGCTAACGCTGGCGCAAGCGCTTGCCGCGGCCGACTTTCCTTCGGGCGGTCGCCAGCAGGCCGGTCTCTACCTCAAGAACTTGCTCGACGCCAAGGACGAAGCGCTCCAGGAGCTCAAGATTCAAAACTGGTATGCGCTCAACGTTGACCTCCGCAACCAGATCAAGGCCGCTGCGCTCGGCACGCTCACAGACGCCGACCTTGGCGCGGCCCACACGGCGGCAGTTGTCGTTGCCAAGATTGGTTCGATTGATCTTCCGCGCAAGAACTGGCCCGAGATCTTGCCCGCGCTCATGACCAACGTGACGACGGGCACGGACAACGCCAAGAACTACTCGCTCGAAGCGCTTGGCTACTTGTGCGAAGGCCTCGAAGACGACACGCTCGCGGCCGAGGAGACGAACCAGGTCCTCAGCGCGATTGTCGATGGTATTAAGACGACCAACCCGGACAAGATTCGCCTTGCCGCCGTCTCGGCGCTCCGCAACAGTCTCGAGTACATTAGCGAGAACTTCAAGCGCGACGAAGAGCGCAACCACATCATGATGGTCATTTGCGAGGCCACGCAGAGCAGCCACCTGCAAGTGCGCGTCCGCGCCTTTGAGTGCATTGCCACGATTGCCAGCCTCTACTACGAGTACCTCGAGGCGTACATGAACACGCTCTACGACCTGACGTTCAAGGCCATCCAGAGCGACAGCCCCGAAGTCGGCCTCCAGTCGCTAGAGTTTTGGTCGTCGATCTGCGACGTGGAGCTCGAGTACATTGCCGAGATGGAGTACGGGTCCGAGTACCCCAACCAGTGCAAGTACTACGTCAAGCAAGTGCTCGGCAGCCTCGCGCCCGTCCTTTTGAACACGCTCCTCCAGCAGGAAGAAGACCAGTTTGAAGATGACACGTGGAACCTGTCGATGGCGGGTGCGACTGCGCTCACGCTGGCGTCGCAGGTCGTCGACAATGCGATCATCCCGGTCGTCATGCCGTTTGTGTCGTCGAACATTCAGTCGGCCGACTGGCACCACAAGGAAGCCGCGATCATGGCCTTTGGCTCGATCCTCGACGGCCCTACGCACGAGCAGATCCAGCCGCTCGTCGAGCAGGCGATGCCGCTCCTCATCACGTGCATGCAGGACCCGCACCCGCTTGTGCGCGACACGACGGCGTGGACCATCGGCCGCATCTGCGAGATCCACGGCACGGTCATGACGCGCTGCGTCGGCCCGCTCATGCAGCTCATCATGAACGGCCTCGACCAAGAGTCCAAGGTCGCGGCGCACATGTGCTACGCGATCCACTACATCTTCCAGGCCTTTAGCGAGCTCCAGAACGGCCCGGAGCAGCTCGACCAGTTTTATGGCCAGGTCTTTGACAAGTGCTTGGTCACGTGCCAAAAGCCCAACGACGACAACCTGCGCGTCTCGGCCTTTGAGGCGCTTGGCATGATGATCCAGTGCGGCTCGCTCAACATGACGCCGCACATTCTCAGCCGCCTCTCGTCGATCCTCGACCACCTCGAGGGCACGATCGCCAAGCACAAGGCGTCGCCTGTCGCGTCGAACGAATTCTACGGCCTGTACACGTGCGCGTGCGACGTCTTGGTCGTCATCATCCAGCGCGTCAACGATGACATTCGCCCGTTTGCGGACCGCATCATGCAGTGCCTCCTCGACATTTTCAGCACGGGTCACACGACGGCCGGCGAAGAAGCCTTCTTGGCCGCGGGCGCGCTCGCGGGCGCGATTGATGCCGAGTTCAAGAAGTACATGACGGCCTTTTACCCGGTGCTTGTGCACGGCCTCAGCAACACGTCGGAGTACATGGTGTGCGCGGCCGCGGTCGGCGTTGTCGGCGACGTGTGCCGCGCGCTCGGATCGGACGTCAAGGTGTTTTGCGACGAGTTTATCCAGCTCCTCCTCACGATCCTCCGCGACACGAACCTCAACCGCTCGGTCAAGCCGCCGGTCCTCTCGGTCTTTGGCGACATTGGCCTCGCCATTGAGGGCGACTTTGACCGGTACTTTACGCCGGTCGTGCAGATGCTGCTGCAGGCCGCGCACGCGTGCGTCTCGGTCGACGTTGACGACGAAGACGTGATTGACTACATGAACCAGCTCCGCGAAAGCATCCTCGAGGCCTTTACGGGCATCCTGCAAGGTCTTGCGTCGCACAACAAGGGCCAGCTCGTCGAGCCCGCGCTTGGTGGCATTGGTAACTTTATCGCGCAGCTCGCGACCGACGCCAACCGCAGCGAAAGCGTGACCAACTCGTGCGCCGGCTTGATTGGGTACGTCGGCGCTGGCGTCGATTGACGGTCACTGATCTGTTTGTGTAGCGATCTCGCGACGATCCTCGGCCCTGCGTCCAAGCCGCTCATGCAGCAGCCGTACATTGGCACGCTCCTCGTGGAGTGCGCCAACTCGCAGGAAGGCAACGCGCAGAACGTTGCTTTGTGGGCCAAGGAGGTACAGACCACACCATTGGTTGTTCGTAGTCGTGACGTATGACTTATGTAGGCGGTCGCTCAGGTCATGCGCCAGTAAGTTGATGGTGGCCCACACACGTGCTTGCTGCATGTGGCCGTGGGCGCCGCAGCCTGACGCTTATTTATTGCTGTCAGCGGGCCCGTCGGCGGCGGCGACCGGTACAGGCTGCTACCTCGATGTGCATACGCTTTGCTTCCGCAACGCGCTCGGGGTAGTGGTGCTGGCCGGCTGTCGTGCCGCTGCGGTTGCTGTAGTAGTGCATGGATTATGGTAGTTAATAGAAACGACGGCGGCTGCCTGACGCAGTCGTCGCTCTCCTGTCGCATGTGTCGTGCTGAGTACCTCGGGAGATTCGAGCTGGTGGTGGCAGAGGTCCAAAGTTGCGTGCATGCAGCCATTTTCTCGCGGCCAATCAAAACGCGCCACTCGGGCCAAGGTACAGATTTTGGTTGGCGATCGATTGAGCATGGAGCCCAAGCAGCAGGAGCTCACGCAGCAGCAGCCGGGCGACGCCTCGACGGCCAAGGCCGACAAGCTCGCCGAGTTCAAGGCCGTCTTCCGCGAGTACCTCGTACGCCACATGGGCTGCCTACGCCTTGCCTAACCATGCAGCATCGTAGCTCCACGCGCAGGTCGTGCCCGAGGCCGAGGCCGATGCGATGATGGCCATCTTGGAATCACCGCTGCCCGTGTGCTTTCGCCTCAACTATGACGGCCTCGAGTCGGAGCGGTACCATTGGAGATCGACCTTGCAGAAGCATCCAACGTCTGACCTCGTAGCTTGAAGACGCTCTTTGGCGAAACGTTCCAGTTTGATGCGACCAAGTACAGCCACAACGACGTGCCCATCCATCCGCCTCGGTAGCCTGCACACCCTACGAGCCTCCTCGTCCTTATGCGCACCCTAGTCCGATTGCGTGGTACCCGCAGGAGAAGACGGCGTGGCAGGTCGACTGCGGTCGCAGCGCCTTTTCCAAGTCGGGTGCGAAATCTCGCTGCATCGACGAAGCTCATGCGAATTGTAGCCCATCAGTTTGAGGAGGTGCGCGACTTCCACGCGACGCTGCTCAAGCACACCGAGTACGGCAACATTGACCGCCAAGAGGCCGTGAGCATGCTCCCCGTGCTCCTCCTCGGCGTGCAGCCTGGCCACCGCATCCTCGACATGTGTGCGTCGCCCGGCTCCAAGACGACGCAGATCATCGACTTGCTCCAGAACCAAGCCGGCATGGTCGTCGCCAACGACATGAACAAGAAGCGCGCGTACATGCTCGTGCACCGCCTCTCGCGCAACACGCTGCAGTCGGCCGTCGTGACGTGCACGCCCGGTCAAGACTTTCCGGGTCTCTACGACAACGACGGGACTCTTCAGCGCACGAACGTCTTCGACCGCGTCCTCTGCGACGTGCCCTGCAGCGGCGACGGCACCTTGCGCAAGAACCAGGGCCTCTGGAAGGACTGGCACATTGGCCAGGGCCTCACGCTCTTCCCGACGCAGCTCGCGCTTGCGCTCCGGGGCGCCGCGCTCCTCAAGGTCGGCGGCACCATGGTCTACTCGACGTGCTCGTTCAACCCGATCGAAGACGAGGCGATCGTCGCCGAGCTCTTGCGCCGCGCGGACGGCGCGCTTGAGGTCGTCGACGCCTCAGGCGTGCTCCCGGGCCTCGCGTACCGCCCGGGCCGCAACAAGTGGCAGGTCGGGTGGCGCTCCAAATCCCGCGCGACGGCCAAGGGCCACATCATCAACAAGGTGCTTGTCGGCGACGAAGAGCAGCTGCACCAGTGGTTTGACAAGTACGACGACGTTCCGTTCCAGCTCCAAGCCGACCGCATTACGCGCACCATGTTCCCGCCGACGGACGAGCACACGCTGGCGTCGCTGCGCCGCTGCATGCGTCTCGTGCCGACCGACCAAGACTCGGGCGGCTTCTTCATCGCGGTGTTGCGCAAGGTGCGCGAGCTGCCGGGCGACAACCAAACGGGCTTGGCGCCGCTCGACGAGATCGAGATTGGCAAGCCCCCCGCAGGCTACACGTGCAAGATCTGCGGCGTCCAAGACGACCACTACATGAAGAGCTGCGCCCGCTACGAGATCAAGGAGCCGTCGGACGAACCGGTCGCCAAGAAGCCCCGCGTCGAGCACAAGATCCCCAAGGAGGCCCCGTACCGCCGCATTCCGGACGACGTGTGGGACACGATCCAAGCGTACTATCAGATCACGGATGCGTCGCTCAAGGTAGATTTGTCTCTCGATGGCTCTCAGAGGATAACAGCGTATCGCTAGAACCACCTGTGGTGCCGCGCCGACTCGGGCGCCAACATTAGCTACGTCGAAGACGGCATTGCTGCGTCGTGCTTGGCCGGCGACGCCATCCACGTACGATCCCATCTCGCGCCTCGCCGCCGACCTTATCCTTGTCGATTGATATAGATTGTCAACACGGGTCTCAAGATCTTCACCAAGGCCAGCATCGGCAAGGGCTCGTACTACCGCCCGACGACGGTATGCTGTCGTTTTGTCACGGAAGTCGTGTGCTGAATGCGGTGGTAGGAGGGCCTCGCCGTGCTCCGCCCGTACATGAACGCACGCCTCCTCGCCTTCTCGGCCCGGGACCTCAAGCTCTTGATCGAGAGCGAAGTCGCGGTCCAGTTTACGGCGCTGCAAGACGTGGCCGCGCACACGTCGACGGCCGACTTGGCCGCCCTCCCGCTCGGGCCCGCGGTCGCCGTGCTCCTTCCGGTGACCGGCATGGACGACAAGGTGTTCAAGATCCTTCGCGACAAGCTCCTCCACAACCTCTGGATCGGCAAGGGGGCGTTCCTCCCGCGCCTTGCCAAGACGGTCCGCGACGAACTGAAGGAGCTTCTGACCACGTACTTGAACTAAGCTCGTAACGCTACGAGTTGCTACTCGCTCGTGTGCATGGCCTTGTATGTGGATGGGGTGCGCCGGGCGTGCATCGACTTCATGAGAAAGTAGAACGAGTCGCGCTTCGTCGAGGTGGTGGGCGGCGATGGGTCGGTCTCGGGCGCGCCGTTCGAGCCGTCGCCATGCAGAATGCGCGAGAGGACGCGCGTGAATTCGGCCCGCGGCACACCGACCACACGGCACTCGGCGCGCTCGACCCACGTGGCCAGGCAGAAGGCCGCGCTCGCAACGAGCAGCAAAAGGCACACGCGGCTACGCACCACGCGTCACCCTCCTTTCCTAGTAGTAGAAGAAGCGCCCTACTTGTAGTAGGCGGGGAGCTCGTACGCGACGAGCGTGTAGTGGCAGAGATTGCCGATGATGACGCCGACGATACCGGTGGCCCACGACGCCACGACCTGCGACGGGAAGCGCATGCCGATCCAGACGCGCGTCCAGCCGATGAGGACCACGCAGGCGGTAAAGATCTAGCGTCATCGTATCTCCATTCGACTACGAGCGTCCGTACCGCGCACGTGACGGGCGAGACGGACGACACAAAGTACGTTGGGCCGACAATGACGACGGCCATGTGCGAGTCGAGCGACGGAAAGCCCATCGTGTCGGGGTCCGTGCACTCGGGCAGGTACAAGCGGCTGTCGTAGTCGATGGGCCGCTTGGCCTGGAGGACATATTGCAGCGCAACGACCGCGAGAAAGTTGCCAACCACGTTCCACACGTAGCGAAACCCGAGCTCGGGCGTCATGAAGACAAAGATAAACCTAGTCGAATCAGAACTGAGCGATAGTGTGTGGCGCGGTGCATGTGGACCAGAGGACGACCGAGATGTCCTGCGTCCGGTACCGCGACGCAAGGCCGTGCAAGACGACGCTGACGCTGGGCCACGCCTACGCCGTCGTCGTGGTTGACGCTATCACAGACGAGGCGACGCACCTCCTTGTACCGGTACACGGTGTACACGATGCGCATGTCCATCGCGAGGATCGGCTGCGTCGCATGCCGCCGCATCTTGATCGGTCGCGATCTTATCGCCTCTTATCCGGATGTCAATGGGTAACGGACAATGACGTGGCAGCACGGTGCGGTGCGATGGGAAATGGACGAAATGAGAGTGTTTTATCATGCAATATGGCGGAAATCTATCAACAAATGCCCCGAAAAACGAGCGCGTCGACGAACGGACTGCCCACTTCGACCATGAGGAAGAAGCAGAAGATGCCAAGAAGCACCGAAATTGGCAGCGCCGGCAGCGCATTGAAGTGGGCGAGCAGGTACATCGTGGCCGCGAGTCCCTACGCTACGTCAAACCACTGACGTTGGCGAAAATGCGTACGATGATGACACACACAAAGCACGCGACAAAGGCAGCAAAGCCCGTCATGGCCGCGCGCGCCACAAGCACGCTGTAAAAAATAAAGTCGCCGAGTCCGAGCTTGATGGTTTCCCGCTCGCCTACGCCACTTGTTAAAACAGATGTCGTTGACATCAAGAACGTACTACGTTGGGCGTCGGCAAAGACGAGCGCGACGTCTGGATACGACTTGTGCGCGGCCACAAACGTGATGTTGTATTTCGTGTACAGCATGCGCCAGCAGTCTGTTTGCCGGTCGACGTACTGCAACGCGACCGTGCGGACGTGGTGGCCGTTGGGCGATCCCACATCGACACAAAAGTCGCGCAATTGCGACTCAAATGTTTGGAATGCGTCGTCGCTACGACGCTGCACCATCTCCGTGTCGCTCGAGGCCGCCGGTGCCATTGGCAGCGACCGCGCCTTGTGCTTGCGCACGTGCCCGTCATGGATCTCGGCTTCGTAGAGAAGACCTGGCATCGGTCGCCCTTCCGATTGGATCAAGTTCACCTACACAAAGACATCCAGCCAGATTTCTGAAAATGCGCAAACGCACCAAGCACCGCAGTGGGCCACACGGCGTCAAGACCGCAAAGAGATCCCAAAAAGCCAACGCGAAGAGAATCGCCCACGTGCTCCACTACGAGGAGATCGCGGATAGTACCGTGTAAGCCGCTGGCTCGTCGTACCTCGGGCAGCTGGCAGAGCTGCCATGCCATGATGACGCTGGTGAGAATGAGGTACATTCGGCCCACGTTGGGCGAGACCCCTTTCTGGTAGAAGATGCTGACCGTCCCGACGATGGCAAAGTTGTACATGATGAGCGACGTCGCGTAGACTTCGAGGCGCCAGTGGAAGAGACCGCAGAAAATCTTTTGCACGAGCGCACTTCCGACGAGCCCGAGCAGCGTCGAGGACGATAGCATCAAGTAGCCCGTGAGTCCCTACGCCGAAATATTGTACTTCGGGTTGCAGCCACTGTGTCGTACGATCATGCAGTTGACTTTGTAGAGCAAGACGACGACAAAGGTCACGATCGCAATGAAGAAGATGACCACGAGCGCGTTCGTGAGCGCTTCCATCGTCTTGGTGCCGGCCGTCGCAGTCGACGCGTCAATGTCCTTGTAATAGAGGTATTGACTACAATCGCAGCGTTGATTGCAAGACCATCGTGATGGGATGCCGTACTTCATCGCGGCCTGCGTCTCGCTATCTTGCACCGAAACGGCCACAAGGCTAGGCGTGCAGTCAATGCACCGAGCTACGTGTATGCAATGGCGCGTACCTTGTGAGCGCCATGGTGATCAAGACGGGCCAGAGCACGGCGAGGAACGAGTTGAGCTGCGTGATGACGGACGCGAGGCTCAAGCCGCCGAGGCTTGGCGCCGGCTCGTTGATGCTGCGGTCCAGCAGAGGCTCGTCATAGAGCTGGTTGCTACAAGAGCCATCGACCATGAGCCGCCATCGCTCGCGACCGCCACGTACTAGCCGACCGCGTCCATCGATCTTTTGGCGTTTGGGAAATCTCGAAAGATATGAATGCAATCACATGCGCGTACGGTATCCGGCTATCCGGATACGAAGTCCTTCGACGTCGAAGGTCGCATCCGAGCTCGCTGGTGCGACTCGCTTGTGGGCCGCTTGCACAAGGCGTCTTACTCTAATTAGTCGAGAGAGCATTCTTAGTAGATAGTAGTAAGCTTGACTTTATATTAACACGGTGCACCAATTTACGCGGTGGCATAGACAGCGAGGCCGGCAATGGCGAGCACGCCACACTGAACGCTTGTGCTGACGGCGGCGCTGGGCGCTGGCGCCTTGGGGGCTGCCGTCGAGGGCGCGGCCGTCGTCGTCACCACCGGCTTCGAGACGACGGTTGTTGGCGCCGTCGTCTTGGTCGAGTTCAGAGTCGACCCGTCGCACGACGTGTTGGAGACGAGCGTGAGCTCGGGCTTCGTGCACTTGGCCTTGCGAAGGAAGCACTCGTTATCGTAGTTGACGCCGTCCGAGCCGCAGACCGGCGACAAGATCTCGATGCAGCCGCGAATCGGGCAGCCGGCCTGCGAGCCGCAAGCGCCCTTGCTCACGAGCTTGATGGTCGGGTCGGCGCAGGCGGCGATGTCGAGCTTGCACTCGTTGGTGTACGTCTTGCCGTCCGAGCCGCAGACCTCGTCAAAGAGGTCAATGCACACGGTCGGGCACTTGTCGGCGGCGGCGACGGCGGCGACGACAAGCGACGCGAGGAAGAGCTTTGTCTGCATGTTGGTAAGTTGTGGAGTGAGTCGAACAAGCGCGGCCATGCGGTTGGAAATTCCTTTGAAACAACAGAAAATGCATGCTTTTATCAAGTAAAGCACGGGGTTTTCGAGCCGTAAGGAGCCTAAGTAGGTAAAAGTGAGTGAATAGCCCGCAGTGAATCGACATCTGGAACACCATCTGAGAATAGTCAGATAGTCAGACACCCACGTTTGATTGGCGAGCTTCGCGCAGTCAACTCAATTTTTTCGATTGAGTTCGGCCAATCAATACATTAACCAAGTCAATCTGATCCAGGTGCCATCCGTTTTCTCAAATTGCAGATATTTCAGAGTGGTGATCGTGCCGGCGTTGGTCGATTCATGTGTTATACTTTTATCGACACGCGGGGCTAGGCAGAGCCATTAGGCTGCGGCGCCTCCTCTCAGCGACAATGACACAGCACCTGGCCGTCTGTGTTATAAGCGTCGGAGAGTTGGGTGTGTCGTGGCGCTGAAATTCTGGTGCGTCTTGGTCCATTTTGAAGCTTGAAGTTTGGATCGATTATGCAAGATCGCAGCGTTGCTATGCCAGTCAGCTCTCGTGTCGAGGGTACGTACAGTGGTGAACATGCTCAGGTTCTAGATCCGTCGACCACATTGCGCAGCTGAGAAGCACATCGTATGTAATCAGACACCAATCACCGTTCAAATCTGAGAGCCAATGTGCTGTTTGCTTGAGCGGTCCTTCGGTTATAACATATATCTTGTGATGTGATAACACGTGCCAAGGATCGCGCCGTTTCGCATTGGCTACCGATGGCGCTGCAGATCGACGCGGAGGAGCCCGAGACCTCGGACGCCGTGTACCCAGCGCGGAGCAGCTCCGTCGCCAGCTTCAACAAGCAGCTACGTGAGCTTGAGACGCGCTACCACCGCACGCGCCAGCAGCTCGACAAGACGACGCTCAAGGTACAACCGACGGCAGTGCTAGCGCTACATGTCTTGCGCGGTAGCACGATGCGATGGCCGCCGAAGTGCGAAAGGTGCGCGCCGACAACAAGGCGTACGAGAAGGAACTCGCCAAGAAGGCCGCACTTGTACGTCGACGCTGGATGTCCAAAGTCGGGACCCTTGTCTTCGGTAGCTCCAACGACTGGCCGCGGACAAGAAGATGGTCGAAGCGCAAGCCATCGCCAACCGCGACTACGCCAAGCGCATTGAGCAAAAGCTCGCCATGGGCGCGAAAGGCCAGGTGGACATAGCCCAAGCGCACGTATGGACATGTGGTGTAGGCCGCGGCCGCCCGCCACGCCGAAATGGCCGCGCGCATGCTCGAAATGGAGAAGGGCCACCACGAGACGCTACTGACGCTAGAATCCAAGGTGCGACTTGCATCATTTAAAAGTCGCTTACGATGCGAGGAGGACGACCGCATCAAAGACCTCGAGGCCAAGATTGTCGTGTTCAAGCGCTCGCTCGACGTACTAGCATCGTCGCACATGTCCCTTTGTATAGCGAACGTGTAGGTGCGCGTCCGAGAGCTCGGCTTGGACAACAACGTCCACAATGGCCTCATTTACGAGATTGCGCGCCTTCAGGAGACGAATGCGTCGCTGGCGCTGCAGCTGGCGCTGGAAGTCGACCAGTCGAGTTGCCTCAAGGTAGGGTGGAATTACTCGCTGGTATAAAGTCGTTGCGTGTAGAGCGTGATTGCCACAAGAGACGCCGAGCTGCAGGCCATGGATGCGGCGCGCAACGACCTCGAGAGCGTCGTGGCACGGCGGGAAGAGACGATCGCAGCGCGCGAGACGACCCTCGCAAGCGTCAACACGGACCTCAAGACGCTGCACGAAGAGAAAACGTTGCTGCTGAGCTACGTGCAAGAGCAGACGGAGAAGCTGCTCAAGGGCGAAGCGGCCATGAAGAAGCAGGCCGCCCAGCACACGCAGGCGATCGAAGCATTGGAGCTCGAGCTGCAACGCCGCACGTCGACAATCGATGAGCTGACGGCGACGGCCGCCGAGAGTCAGCAAAGCTACAACAAACTACTCCAAGTACGCAGCATCCTTCCATAGGCTGCACCTTATCTGGTCGTGTAGGCGTACACGGTCACGCAGGAGGCCATCACCCACGAACGCTCGACCTCGGACGCACTGCGTGCTCTCTTGAATGAAAAAGCCAACGAACTCGAGGCCGAGGGACACAAGGTACCAGCGCATACGAACGCAGCTGCGGGACGCGTCCCTAGCTGCGCACCGTGTCAAGCGAGAAGGAATCATTGCGCTTGCGCGAAGAGGCGCTCCAAGCTACGTGCACCACCCAGGGCGCTGACATTGTCGACTTGCGGCGCCAGGTTGAGGCGCTGGAGGCGCGCTGTGGGAGCTTGAGCGATCAAGTCGAAGCCCATGCTGCGTCCACGCGGGCTCTTCAGGACGAAATGGAGCGGTCGCTCGTGGACCTCGCGAGTGTCACCCATGAGGTACGAATGTGGTCTATTCGAGTAGTATGGCTCAACGCTAAAACGTTGAGCAGCGCAACGAAGCCGCACGGGCGATGAACGAAGCCGTCACCATCAGCGCGACGGCGATGGACGAACAACAGCTGCTTCGGGACAAGCTCACAGCGCAGGCAGCGCAGATTGAGCAGCTCAAGCAATCCAAGGCGCTTTTGCAGAACGCGATGCTTGAGCAGCTCGCAGCGTTGCGAAAGCAGCTACAGCTCGAGCGTGTCGCCCGTGTCGCTGCCGAGAGAAAACAACCCTCCAGCCTCGACGAGGTACCACCGCCACCACCGCCGCCCACCAAAGTGCACGTGCCATATGTCCTCCCGAGCGATACTATTAGCACGCTCACCCTGCAGGATCTTCTCCATTAAATAGTATCAATGTGTCAAGCTGAGACCCAGCTTAGTAGACGTGCCGCCGCGTGTCCGTGTCGGTGGCATGAAACATCTCGACGTCGACGTGCAGATAGCCCGTGTGCTTGCCGCCCCATGTGAGCGCCACGTCAAACTGCCGGCTCACGCCCACGTCCCGCGGGTGCAGCGCGAGAACGCCTTCGCCACCCGAATCCCGGGGTCCTTCGACCTTGACACCGACGTGGAGCACGGCGTCCGATGCACTTCGCCGTGTGACCGACGTGTGCACGACGCCATGCTCGAGTGCGTCGGCCCAAGACACTTCGGTGCAGTTGGTGTAGTCGTCATGCGCGTCGTCGGCGACGTCATAGCCCTGCGTCACGCTCTGCGCGAGCTCATAAATCTAGTCGAACCGTGATAAGTCGACTACGCTGGAAGAGGACAACTTGTACCTTGCGCTGCGAGCGGAAATTATCGACCGACGGCAGTGGAAAGACCACATAGAGGCGCACGGGCTCCACTGACTGCACCGCTACGCAACATTAAGCACGCTCAATCTCGAGGAAATCCATCGTAGGGTACCGATCGACTCGTCGTCGGACGGCGCATCGCAGTACTTGCATTCGCAGGGCGCCGATGTCGACGCCTGCAACTGCTTCCACGCATTCAACGGCGTCGCGCCGCCGCTGAACGCGTGGTGCATCGGATACGTCAAGAAGTTTTCGGGCACTTTCTCGAGCTTCTTGCGCGCGCACTTGGTCGCGGGTCTCTCCAAGAACGACGGCGGCCGCGATAACGTCGTCGCAGACGACGTGCGCATCGAGTGCCCGCGCGTGAGCTTCGGCGGCTCCCACAAATTGGCGTCTAAATTGCGCAGATGAAAGCCAAAGTGCTGCGTCTCTTTGGATTGCAGCTGCGCCGTGTGCAACCGGTTGACTTCGAGGCGAAACTCGGCGCAGATCGGCTTGTGCGGCGAGCCGCCGAGGTCTTCGCAGAGGTAGTACGCGTCGACCGAGAGACGAGGCTAGACACGAAAAGCGTTTCCAAGCGGAAAACAAACAGAGTACTAGTACCTCGACTCCCGGCAGCGAGTGGTAGAAGATGCGGTCAGCGTACGCAACGTCGCCAGGGCCAAAGAGCCGACGGCCCATTGCGTTCTTCTCGCCAACGCCCAGGACCCTCGGAAACGACGGCGGAAACGCGATCGGTGGTTCCTCAAAGCCGCTCAACACCTACGCGATCGATTCTCAACCGACTCGCAGCGCAAGCACAGCGTACGTCGTTGCTGTCCATGAGCGCTCGGAGGCGGTCGCACTGCAATACGTCATTCCACTTGGCGACCGCAGCGTCATTCGCGTCCTTGGCGGCTTGAACGAGCCCGCGGTGGCTCTTCTGTGCCTTCTTCGGTGGCCCGCTGCACAGCTGGGCCTGCAAGAAGGAGCGGAACGATGACACGTGTGTGTCGTCGTCGTTGGCTGGCCCCATCGGGCTTTGCACGAGGCCAAAAATGATATCCGACTGGCGCATCTCGCACCTTGTCTCGTACACCAAGTCGTGCTGGCCCTTGGCGTCGGTCGAGGCCCGCGGCCGAAGCGGCGCCTCGCTAAAGTACGCATCGAGCGCGTCGTCGGCGGCGCGTTGGCGAAGCTGCGCACTCATCGCTGCGTCAATGCGCTCTTGGAGCGTGCTGCCTTGCAACTTGAAGTTGAAGTTACCTAGAGCGCGATGTTAGAAGAGCTCCCATCAAGCTACAAGTTTTGTACCGGCGAGGATCGTGTGGTGGTATTGGTGTGGAAAGTCAAGGCCGGGGTTATCAACGTCGGGCGAGAAGGTCTGGAGGATCTTGCCCATTTCGGCCAGCTTGCGGTGCATGAGGTACTCCTACGCCAACGAATATGGAGCGTCGGAGATGCCTACCTCGTCCTACCTCGCTCGAGGGCTTCAAGCTGCACGTGGCAAACGCGATGGCAACGTCAAAGTACCGCAGCGACATGCCCGTGATCTGGCGCGACCCGCTCCGGCCTTGTCGATCGATATCGAATGCAACGCTGCCGGACGCCACGTCGGCTCTTCGTGCAAAGACGAGCTGCACGGTGGGCGCGTCGGTCGAGTGGAGCGCCTTGCGGCTGTGGCACGCAAACACTTGGTACTGCGTCAGTGGTGCGAAGCGCGCATTGAGGTGCTCGAGGACGCTGCTCTTGGCGTCGTCAACGTCGACGCAGTTGATCAGTCCAAGCACATAGATGTCCATCGCGCGCGACGGCAGCCAGAGACTCAGCGATGTCTTGGGAAACAGCGACCGAGAGAGGTCGTACGACGACACAAAGAGCCGGGCGTGCCCCAGTGCGTGCATCGCGTGTGCTGTGGGAAGCGACGGGCGGCGGTCGACGGCCGACGCAGCTTCGAGCACATCGGCGGCGTCCACGCTGTGGCTCTCTAAGCGCCGACAGCAGCAGCAGCGGTGATAGACACTGTGGGGCGAGATGCCGCCGTAGATGACGGCGTTGACGAACCCTGCGCCCGAGACAATGAGGCGACGCAGACGTCGCGAGCGTACCGGTGAGCGGCGCGAGAATGTTGTTGAGGATGAGCACGGGCACAAAGTACGCGTCTTCGGTCAGGTCCGACATGCTAAAGACTAGTATCGAGATATCAAGCTACGATCAACTATCAATTTGGCGAAGCGTACGCCAGTCGATGACGTTGGAGATGCGAAACACGAGGTATGCGCCGACGTAGAAGACGAGCTTGCGCCCGACGTCGTTGTAGGCGACGACGGCATTCCGGTTGGCCAAGCTAGCGCCACCTCAGAGATAGTCTTTCGATGGGAAGCATACCCGACGGGGCTGCCGAGGCGCTGGCGCATGTCGTACTGCACGCGCACGAGGAAGAAGATCATAAAGAACCAGCCGAGGACGAGCCACGCGTAGTGGCAGCCCACCGCGTACGCGATCTCGTCGAAGCGCATCGAGTACGAGTGCGTGTCGTACGCCTTGTCTAGAGACGAGGTAGGAAGACGAGGCAGAGAAGGCGTCGTACCAAGGTACGGGAGGACGCTCATGAGCAGTGCGAACGCCGTCATGCACCAAAAGTACGAGATGAAGCGGTGGTGGAGCACGCGCTGGTCGTCGCCCTTGCAGACCCAGCGGTAGAGGTTGACCGCCATCATGCAGTGCCAGCAGATCGAGCCCATGAGCGAAAAGTGCAGCACTACATGAGCAAAATGCGACGGCCATGAGAGAACGATACCAGACGCTAGCAAGTCGTACCCGCACACAAGATCTGGCCCGCATGGTCCCGCCACGCTTCACAGGCTGCTGTCCAGTTCGGGTCAAACCAGTCGGGCGACGCCGAGACGTTGGCGACGTCGAGGAGCTGCGACGGGTTCGATGGCTTGAGCGCCTCGAGGAGGATGCGCGCGACGCAGCCCACAAAGTCGAGCCACGCGAGCACGTGCACGAGGCGGCCCACCGAGTCGACGTACACCTTGCGCGACTGGCGTATTCGGTAGGTCACGATGATGTAGAGACAGCCGAGCACGGAGAAGACCGAGCAGCCAATGCCGAGGATCGGGCGCAGCGGCAGCACGCCCACGCTCGGCTCGCCACGGGCCTTGTCATCGGACCACAGGCGACACGGGACCGACGACGGCGACATGCAACGCTTGCTCTCTAGGTGACTTGGCGGGCGAGTGTCATCATCATTGCTTCGAACTTCGACCCAAGCGTCTGAGTCAGCGCCGGCAATGTTATCTTCGAACTTCGCACGTCAGTCGGCAACCAAGCGCTTTTTAACAAAAGAAGCAATACCTAGCAGGCGCAGACAGGCGCGTGAACCGGTTGCATGCAAGTTTGGACCAAAGAGCCGGGCGGCGGCTTAGCCGGGCGGCGCTTATGTAACCACCTTGTATCGCCATTAGTGCTCGTCGTCGCCAGTCTCCTGAGCGTGCCAAGACGACAAACGAACGAGGGGCTGCGAGCCTCTGGGGCCAGCGGCCGCTTACGTTGAAGTCGCTGCTGCGTGGCATCTGCGATGAAAATTCAGACCTGCCACTCGGTCCGGCCCGTGCATGAATAAAATACAATAAAATAAAAATACGATCCATCACCCGACTTGAACCGCGCGTTCTGGATGATAGTTTCACTCGCGGCCCGGAACTTAATTCTGCGAAATTCCCGCGGTCCAGACGTCCCGCGGGCCAAATCCTGCGGCGCAGCATGTCTCGCTGTTCCCGCACCAAGATGTCGCTAGGAGGTCGACCTCTAATACCTTGCTCCTCGATACTAGGAGTGTCTTTGTACTTGTGGTGTACTACTACTACCTTACACGGAGCAGCTCACCACGTGGACGCTCCAAGATGCCAGTCGCAAGATCTGAAACGACGATGGGAAAAGAAATACTAGCGTTGTCCCAATAATAATAATTCCGATAAAACACAATGCACTGGAATATTTAAAAACATCACCGCGTTGTTCTCGAAGCCCATACGTGCTGGAGTCAGTACGCCCCGTATTCTTTTTGGAAATAAAAATCCAAGAAATCCAAGGCAATAAAAAATAAATACGCTCGCCGCCGCAACATATTCCTACGGCGCCGAGCGCATTAATCAGATGGAGCCGTCGCCCACCATGTGCCCACCATGTGCAGTACCCTTGCAGGCCCCGTCGTCGCCGGCGGTCACTTTGCGATAAGCTCGACCGCCCACGAGGACTCGAAGCTCAGCGACACCTTGCCGCTGGACGACGAAGACGACGACCTGCCCGACTTTCCCGACGCCACGTCCTCCTCAAGCTCCTCGTCCGACGAGCCGCCCATCGAAGACCGCCTTCTCAAGCCGATGCCTGTCCTCGCCGTGTGCCCGATGGCCGACGCCCACACGATGCTGCTCGACAAGCCGTCGATGCTCGGCGCCGTCCAGATCAACATGCCGCCGCTGCCGCTCAACATGCACTCGCCGCCGCCGCAAAACATGATTCTCAAGCGCGACCCGCTCGCGATCCGCCAGCAGTACTGGAGCCAGCTTGGCATCAACCTCTCGGTGCGCGACCTCGAGCGCTCGACGGGCCGCCGGCGCATCAACCGCGAAGGCATCAAGGTCAAGCTCAACGACGTCAACATCAAGCCCAAGTCCAAGAGCTTTTTCAAAGCCTTCTCGCGCTGGGTGCGCAACGACTCGCGCGACAGCGACATCTCGGAGGCCGCGGTCGAAGAAGCGATTGCGACCGCCGAGTCGCCCATGTCGTCGTCGTCCTCCTCCGACTCGGAGACCGAGGCGACGCCGCCGAAAGAGTCGTCGATCTGGATGCTGCAACAAGGGCGGTTAACACCGCCCCGGACGTCGCCGCTCGACGCGCCCACCGAGAAGAAGCAGATCAAGTTCAACGAAGAGGCCGTCATGTATCACATCCCGCTCCACCGCGAGCTCTCTCGGCGGCAACGCGACGCGATGTGGTACACGCGCGAAGAGTTCATTTCGATGGTCGAGCGCAACCTCGACGAGATGTACGACGAAATGGAGCGCGAGTACGAAGAGCAGGTCAAGATGGAAGCCACCGAGAACGACATGATGGCGGCCGAAGAGGCGTATCAGCGCCGCGTCGCGGTCGAGCTCCAGAAGCAGACCGAGACGATGCTGCAGCAACAGCTGCGAGCAGCCGCGCTCCTCCAGCAGCAAGCGCAGCTCGTCAAAGTGGCGCCGCGTGGCTCCAAGGAAATCCGATTCAAATACCTCAAGCACCTCGGCATCCACAACAACTAACTACTATCATCCCTACTATAATACTCTATCTATAATCTAAATCCACATTCAGGTGTACAGTCTGTCTTCGTCTCGTGGCCCACGATGCGCAGCCATTGTCGTCGCCAGCAGTGTCGCCAGCCGACGCTGACAATATACCCACGCGACCGACGGACGGCAACTCAGGATCAGCGTCCAAGGTTCAAGGTGTCGATCTTGCACAGAAGGTGACGTCGCCAATCGGGTGCGAGGACGACGAAGGGGCTGGACGACACGCAGCTGCATGCCTCGCCTCGCCTTTGCGGTGTCGATCCGTCACGACCCACTCTTGAGGTAGTCGAGACATGCTGCGGAAGCTTGCAAGGGAGAAGCCGGCGTCGCGTTGGCTTCTTGAGCGGGGGCACTGACCTTCGTTCGAAGAGGATCGGACGTTCTAGTGACGACGCAAACAGCTTGTCCAAAGATCCCACTCACGTCCAGGAGTGCCACGCCTCGCGCGATGATACTATGCAGGTTTTCGTTGCCACGTGGCGTCCTCAGAGGCGATGGCGCGAATCATGGATCGCTTTTGATTGGTCGAGAACGGCGTAAAAGGGGCATGCCTCCGTGTATAGCATGTCGTCGCCGCGATTTGGGTCTACCAAGCGTGTACCCGGCAGCATAATCACACAAGGGCTGTGTGCTGCTGGCTGCCTTTCACATCCGCTCTCGCTCGTCGCCGTCCACGGGTTGGTTGCAACGCGTCGTCCTGGGTTTTCTAGCACTTGGATTTGTCTTTTTGGATGTTCTGCAAGACAACGTCCTGCATCGCAAGAGCTCGAGTTGCATTATAACTGGGGCAACGAGTGCCATTTGCTTGTGTGCACATATACGATGCAGGAAGCGATATAACTCGAATTAAAACGTATACGAATGATTTCAAGTTGGTTCTAGCACTCGACAGCTGCACTAAACCAGACAAGAGGACGTAGACGGCACTTGACTATCGATGCGACCGTTCACGTGGGTGGGCTATCCTAGGCCTGGAGGGGGACGGCGCTGTCAGCGTGGCTTGAGGCGTTGGCACCCAAACGAAGCCGTTCTCGTGACGCTGCTGCACCACGTTGTCGAAGCTGCGCCCGGGGTCCTTCTCGGCCACGATCACGCGTAGCTTGATATCGCGGTCTTCGTCCGACATGGCGGCATGCCGCGCCACAACACGCTTGAGGACGAAAAGTACGAGCTCGGATACAATGACGAGCAGGCCGTACAGAGGCGACATGGGGGTTCTGGACGTTTTCATAATGTCCAGCAGCCGACTGTTGAGCTCGTGGGCAAATTTAACTCGCGGCAAAAGCCCGCGCAGCACTTGGAGCCGCGCTTGCATCGCGCCGAGCTCCATCTGCAGCGGGTAGCGCTCGTGCACGATCGGGTGCTTCGTCTCGGGGTCGCACAAATAAAGTAAGCCGCCGACCTCGCCGTTGAAAAACAGCTCGGAAGGGGTCTGCACTTCGACGTCGTCGCCGATACGGTGCTCCGTAAAGAGCCACGACGGCTCGACGACCTAAAGCAAATCGTCATCAAGCGGCAACCATAGAGACGCGTACGTACCACCGGTGACGTGGCAAGCGGCACAGACACGTCCTCTTGCGCTGTCGCCTAGCGCACACGTAAGCGACAGAAGAAGGGAGTTCGCATAACGTACGAGCGTCGTGGTCGCATGCTCTTCTGGCCCGACGCCGCCTGGTGCGGACGTCCACACGCCGTCTTCGTCTGCCTGCATGGTGAGCATGACCTCGAACAGGTCGTCGCAGGGGATCGCGCCTTCGGCGCCGAAGGCGGTGTGGAGCCAGCGGTCGAACATCGCGCTGTCGGTCATGGTCGCCGATCGCAATGCAAATGCTCTTCTTGGCGAAGATCCACGAAGCGTCGTTGAAGTTGGTGGGTTTTCTTTCTCACATGCTTTTCACACGTAGTAAATGCGTGTGAAATTGAAAAGCACTCGTAGGATCGTCCTTGGAGAGCGGCGGTGCATCGACAGCCTGTGCACTGCGCGGGCCAACGACGACGACGACCACAAGCAAACAGCCCAATCGCCAATGCACTCCTCCTGTACCTTCTCCCGTTCTGCAAGGACTTTGGGGCACGCGGGTCGTGGTGTTGTGGTGTTGTGGTGAGAATTATAAAATAGAATAAAAGAATGCCGTTGGATTTCAACAGTAGTTACTTGATATTTGTATGTGGCTCGTTGCAATTCACAGGCGTTTTCTCGTTGCAATTCACAGGCGTTTTCTTGTGGGACATCAATTGGCCGAAACCACCCTAAAAGAACCGTTCACATCAAGCTGCCACGTCACTGCGATCGACACACTACTTACTACACAGGGACGCAAGCTGTCGACTTCATTTGTTCAGATCGAGCCACTCTTGGTCGGTACATGGACCGTGTAGATCGTTGCCGACGCCTCGCTTTGGCGCGCATCCTGTCGCCCATGGTGCTGTACATCCGCTCCAAGACGCCAGCAGGTTCCAAGTCTCTGTTGGTGTGCATTGAGGCTGTAGGCGTCCAAGAGCTCGGTGAGATGGTCCCGGATTTCTTGTGATATTGTACAGAGCAATCCCATACAGTCTGCCGAAAGATGCTGAAAATGTACGTACATGAGAATCCCTGTCGGCACACTTGTGTGCGGAAACCGATAGCAGAGATGTCCGTGGACCTACCTTCTCAAGCCCTTGCGCTCCGAGAGACCACATGTGGACATCGTTGATATCACTCGATGGACTAGCTCGTTTGGCAAAGTGCTTCAACGTCTGTTTGGGAGTACTCATGCGTGCGAGTCCCTCACCATCAAGGACAGGCTCCTTCCGGAAACACTTGCCTACACTGCTCTACGCGCCGTCGACCCAATCTTGGGACCCTACGAGTTGCAACTTCACGACGAGATGAGCTTGTCGTGCCTACTAGTACACATTTGTGGCTTTCCGTTGTGGTTGTAGTTGAAGCGCAGTAGCGGTAGTGCGCTAGCGATGACATGCTTCTAGAGAGAGGCAGCAACTTGCTCCATACAAGCAAAGTGCTCCAAGCTGGTCGATGTCGGAGCTGCCTCGTGGTCGATCACATTGCTCTTGCATCCTACTATATACTACGCGCTGTACCCCACTTCGGTCCGCTGCGTCACCATCGCCAACGCCGGAGCCAGAGTCACAGCCAACGCCATGCTTTGCCAGAGCGACGCTTCGTGCCAGGTGTCCTCCTGCTTCTGGCATGCGCATCGGCGGGAAAGCCAATCTCGGATAACGTGGTCGCGGTTTTGATTGGTCAAAATCCATCGAAATATTTGCGATTGTTTGGTGCTCCAACCATCATGTCGTCGACGACGGGCCAAGCGGCCCATGCGAAGAAGACGGTCAAGCCAGCGAAGTGGAAGTCCGGGCCGCCGAATGGCAAGTCCGGGAAGAAGAAGCCGATGCCATCGCTCGAGGAGAAGGCGCTCGAAGAAGAGTCCACCGAGGTCTCGGGCACGACGCCGGCGCCGACCAAGGGCCGCGTCATGAGCGAGAGCGACTCGTACTCGAGCGAGAGCGACGCGTCGAGCTCCGACAGCGACGAAGAAGAGGAGAGCAGCTACAAGCCTGGCGGCTACCACCGCGTCCGCGTCGGCGACGTCTACAACGACCGCTTCACAGTGCTCGATAAGCTCGGGTGGGGCCACTTCTCGACCGTGTGGCGCTGCCACGACGCCGTCACGCAGCGAGACGTGGCCATGAAGGTGCAGAAGAGCGCGCAGCACTACATGGAGGCGGCGCGGGACGAGGTCGAGCTCCTCGAGTGCGTCAACGAGGCCGCGAAGAAGAAGGGCGGTCCGTACCCGCGCGTCGTCAAGCTGATCGCGAGCTTTGAGCACCGCGGCCCCAACGGCTTGCGTACGTCCTCTCTTGCTTACTGATGTGGTCTTATCCGTCGGTTAGACATGTGCATGGTGTTTGAGATGCTCGGCGACAACCTCTTGACGCTCATCAAGCGCTACGACTACAAGGGCATTCCGCTGCCGCTGCTCAAGGTCATCTCCAAGCAGATGCTTGAAGGCATGGCGTTCCTGCACGAAGAGTGCAAGATCATCCACACGGACCTCAAGCCCGAGAACGTCCTCCTCGTCGACGCGCTCATGAAGCTCCCTAAGCTCCCGAAAGCCCCTGCACGACCCAAGGACGAAGCGTCCATGACGGCCGACGAGCGCAAGAAGCTCAAGAAGCGCAACAAGCGCAAGAAGCAAAAGCAAAAAAAGGCCGACGAGGCGGGCCCTGCGGTCGAGGATGATGCCGACGCGGCGCTGGCCGACGACCTGGCTGCGCTCACAATCGCACCAACGATCGACGATGATGCTTTCTTGCTGCGCGATTTGGAGGGCAGTGGCGTCGCCGAGCCGTCGACAGCCATCGAGGTTGGTCCTATCGCTGTCTTCTACAGGAAGATTCATCCCAAGTACGTAGCCGTCGCTCCACGAGTACTTGGTTGACGCCCGCACGAGCCGCGACTACGCCATCTCGTCCAACTTTGCCATGCGCATTATGGTCGTTGTGCCGCCGCAGTTTGTACGCTGACCTTTCAACGATGACAGTCGTCTGATGCTGGTGTAGATGTCGGCGGCGATGGGTGTCGGCAACCGTGTCTACCGCCTCAAGCTGCGCATTCCGTCAGCGGCCGCCAAGGTCATTCCAGGCTCCCGCAGCTCGACATGCTTTTCGTTCAAGTACGCTACCTCTTGGACGCAGAATAGCACGAGACTTTTGGCTTGTTAGGTTTTACAAGACGACCGACGATGATGACGCGTCGTACAACGCGCTAGCGTCGACGATCCTCGGCGCTGGAACCGAGGTCGACCGCGCTGAAGTGTGGCGCCTCGAGCTCGATGCGCGGTACCTTGACCTTATTAGCACCTTCCTTGCCGAGTCGCTTGGCCCGGTGTTCCACCTCGTCAACGTCCGCGCTACTGCTACGCACGCCCTCAGCGGCTTTCACTTTCCTACCGAGTCGCCGCTGGACCATGCGCTGCAAGGCATCGTCTTGCCGTCGCCGCGGCTTCTCCGAAGCATCCACGAGCGTGTCGCATCGTGGCAAACGCTCGCGACGACGCGGCATGTGGACGAAGCCACCAACGTGCCGCTCTACGACGTCAAGATCGCCGACCTCGGGAACGCATGCTGGACGTACAAGCACTTTACCCAAGACATCCAGACGCGCCAGGTTATCTTTTATAGCATTCGAGGGCGATCGCATGATTTGGCTGGATAGTACCGAAGCCCGGAGGTGCTTCTGGGCCAAAACTACGACCAGTCGACCGACATGTGGTCGATGGCGTGCTTTTTGTTTGAGCTTGCGACGGGCGAGCTCCTCTTTGACCCGAAGAGCGGCAAGAACTACTCGCGCGACGAGGACCACCTCGCGCAGATGATGGAGCTGCTCGGGAAGATGCCGAAATCGTTTGCGACGAATGGCAAGTACAGCAAGGACTACTTCAACAAGAAGGGCGACCTCAAGAAGATCCACAACCTCAAGTTTTGGGGTCTCAAGGACGTCCTCATGGAGAAGTACGAATTTGATCTGGCCGAGGCCGAGCCGTTTGCGACCTTTCTCGAGGCCATGATGAAGTTCCAGCCCTGTACGATATGCTTCATCGATGTGGATCCCTTATATACTATTGCCCGTTATGTAGCCAAGCGCGTGACGGCCACCGAGATCCTCAGCCATCCGTGGCTCAACTAGTGTAGATAGCAAAGACGACGATGATGATAAATGATACCCCTTGCGCCAAAATGGCGTGGGACCTATGAATAGCCTCTGTGCGTCGTTCGTTTCCCAGCGTTTCCGACTACAACAGAGGAGGCATGGCGCTCAACAACACAGCGGACGAGTACTCGGCCGAAGAGGTCTCGGCGCTCAGCGGTACCTATCCGAAAGGATTTGCCCGCGCTCACCGCTCTCGCTAGCTGTCTTTTCGCTCTTTGACGAAGACGGCGTCGGGCGGATTTCGGTCCAGCACCTCGAAGCTATCTTTACCAAGCTCGGTCGACCGCCCCATGAAGGTAAGCGTCTCGGCGTCACCGAGGCAGCGATGGAGTGCGATGTCGTAGCCGACGACCTCCTCAAGTCGATCGATTTGAGCCAAGACGACGAGACGATCACGTTTGAGGAATTTCTGCTCCTCGTGCGCAAGCAGCCTGACATTGGTACATCATCTCACGCGCCCGTGTTGTCCACTCACGAATTCGACCGCAGACTCGCCGTACAATGTTGGCCCGGACCCCAAGGTGATGGAGTTTATCAACATCCTCGAAGAGTACCGCGCGAAATGCGAGGAAGATGGCAACTACCTCGAGGCGCAGCGTGCCGATACGCAGCTCGTGGCGCTGCGCACGCAAGAGGCCAAGCGGCAGTCCAAGTCGCTCAAGGCCAAGCAGATCGCCGAGCGCCAAGACATTCAGATCGCGCACAACATGCAGTACACCGACTTCAACATGGCGTGGGACCAGTACATGGAGGAGTACGACAACATGGCGCAGGCGTACATCCGGCAAATGACCGACAAGCACAACGTCGATTTGCGCAGCTTCCAGGAAAAGCTGCACAAGGAGCTCATGGAGCGGCCGCCCAAGTTCTCGAAAGAGCTCATCGAGTGGCGGCGCCGGCAGCACCGACTCGCACAGCAAAAGAATTATGCAGAGGCGCAAAAGATCAAGCTCATTGCCGACGACCTCGAAGCCGCCGAGCGCGCCAACGTGAACGAGAACCTCCAAGTCATTTTCACGCGGAAAGAAACCAAGTTTCGCCAGCAGCAACAAGCGGAGATCCAAGCGCTCCTCAAGCGCATTGACGGCCGCCGAAAGGAGCATATCAAGCAGCGCAACCTTGACTCGAAGCGGCTCCTCCAGCGCAATCGCAACGTCCAAGCCGTCCTCGAGTCCAAGCAGTCGGTCGAAGCGACCAAGAAGCTCCAGGACATCCGCGCCGGCCTCAACCCGCGGGACCGAATCGTCTCCAAGCACCCGCAGTCGGTGATTCCCCCCGAGGCCCGCGTCATCAAGCCCAAGAAACCTGCGCCGCGCGACGCCAACTCGACCACATTCATCACCAACAACGAATAGAAATCATCCATTGTCGACTGTAATAAGGGCTGCTTCCAGTACCATATACTGTGCTGCACCAAGTGAGTTGGAATCTACTTCTTTTGTTGGTGAATGTTTAGTTTGATTTTTGTGTTATAGAAGTACATATTTCCTAGTACTAGCTGAACATCCAATGGGTCTGGCACGTGGCAGTGTCGTTGTAGTTGGAGGAGGCGTCGACGAGTTGCCGGACACGGTTGATGGGATGAGAAGGCGATGGCTCTGCAAGTGGCTCCATCTCGGACGATGCGAGCGAATCCAAGTCGTCCGTCGAGTGCGGCGGTCCATTCGACCACAAAGAAGCTCGAGTTGGCTGGTGCAGAGTCGCTAATAGCGTGTCGTTGGAGACGATGGCTGCGTGAATCTGGGTCTCGAGGCTCTTGACCCACGTACGTAGCTGCGTGATCGTGCTCTTGTTCTTGGCAATGGTGGCGTTGGCGTCGACCAAGTGCATTTTGATGTGCTGCACCTGGGCCTCCTTGCGTGCAAGGCGGCGCTTCATCTTCTCCCGCAAGGCAGTGATCGTGTCGTCGCGCCGAAGGACGCGGTGCGCGAGCTCCAGCACGTGGTCGTTGGCGGCATCCAGCGCGTCGTTGGAGGTCACTGCTGTCAGGCTCGTCACTTGCGCCGAGAGCTGCGCGATCGTGTTGTCCTTTTGAGCGACCGTGTCGGCGAGGGCCATCTCGGTCTTGATGAGTTGCTCGTGGAGCTCCGAGATCGTGGTTTTGTTCTCGGCGATGACGGTGCTAGCATCAACCAAGTGCATTTTAATGTGCTGAACTTCGGCCTCCTTGCGTGCAACGCGATGCTC